TGCGATCTACGTGCTGTAGATTGTTGAAGAAAATGATGCTCAAGTTTGATCCAGAGGTCACGAGCAGTAGGACACCCCAATGCCACCGATGCCATTGAAGAAGACAACGAGGCAGTGAGACAACATTTGACAAGGCGATCAAGTTTTTGCCATTGATTAAATTCTTTTGAAATAGTAGAATCAGGTGAAGAGTCTTTTGGTACTCCAATTGAACCATCGATATAACCATTGAGATCAGTGGTAATTAAAATTCCTTCATCTTGATCTCTTCAAATTAGATAGTAAAAGTTATCAAGAGATACAGTGATAAAATTTGTGATATTGGAGAGAGGAAATGATTGAGTAGTAGTGAGTGATTGTGAAATAGTCATTTTAAAACAATGGTGATTAGAGTAAAAAGAAAAGGAAGAAAGCAAAATAAAATAAAAATAAAATAACATGTAGTAGTATGTGAAATAGTGTGTGCAATAGTGATTTTTGGAGGTAATTAATGGTGGGATAATGTGAAGAAAAAAAAAATTTAGAGCAAGATCGATTTTGCTCTCGATACCATGATGAGAAATAGATTCATGAAAGAAGATGAAATCATGAATTGTATTGTGTGCAGCAGTACATTACATTGTCTCTATTTATAGGGATATATCAATATTAGTTAAGATCTAAATATTATAAAATCTGAAATAACCTAAACAAATAGAATCTAAATAATCCTAACTAATGAGATCTTTTACTAATCTTATCATATAACTTTCCTCAAAAACACCAATTTTGGCACTTTTTCCACTTCTCGATACATCCGAGGTTCTTCCAAAGTTTCAACTTTCAATTCAACCCACGATTAGTAGCATTAGTTCTATTCCGTAGAACCCTAAGCTGCTTTCAATGGTGAAAAATCCATCGCTGGCTGGAGTATAAACCATAAAGTTGGCACCTTCGGCCCAGAGCCATCAACTTGCAAAACCAAGGAAGGTGTGTTTTTTCAACTTTTTTTTTTTTGGTTGTTGATTGAGTTGATCTTCGTATGCTATTTGCTTAGATTGTGAGAAATGTTGGAACATGAATCGGTTTATCATGCTCTGTCAACTTGAATGCTTTCTGTTTTCTCATTTGTTTTTGGGGCAGTCCATTGTGCATTTTGCTTCAACTTTTAAGGCCACAAAGAAACCCTTCATTTTTCTAAGGCAATTTCGCTTTCAGTTTAAAATTGGCTCCAATGGTATCATCATTCAAAGTAAGCTGTTCAGTTAGTTAGGAATTTGTATAAGGTTATGAAAATGTTAGATTCTAAGTATTCAATTATTCACTTCATTTTTCAAGACTGTCCAAGTAATTATTTTCTTCATCATATGTATAGGTACTATTGGAATCTAAGTATCCAAGACTAGTTTGATCTCAACTTTTGAATCGTTCAATCGCTCTATATTGAATTTGAAGCATTTAAAACATTTGGTTCTAAATAATGGGGAAATCCAAGAGTGGTGATTCTTTTGAAATCCCTGGTGAAATAGTTTGGGGAATCTTGTTGTTGATGCCTGTGAAATCCCTGATGAGATTCAAGCGCATACGCAAACTTTGGCTGTCTATTATTCAAAATCCATAATTTGCCAACTCTTATCAGGGGTGTTTTAAGGGTCTCCTCATTACCAAGCCTTGTGACCCTCGCGAATGGTTATAGGAACCCTACGACCATCCTTTCTCTTACTTAAAGTTGCCAGATGTTGACAATGGCGTTGTGCCCATAAGCATCCCTTTTAGCTATTCCATGAATCTGGGTAAAAGAATGGCTGCCACAGAGCCTGTGAATGGCTTGATATGTTTTTTCTATCGCAATTTCTCTTGCCTGTACAACCTTGCCACCAGAGAACATATGGTTCTTCCTGTTTCTGTGCGGGATGAGGAGTCATGTATTTACCATCTTGGTTTTGATTCATTCAACAGATTGTATAAGTTAATAAACTCTGCTTGCCTTATGAGGACCCAATGGATGATGCCTATGACAAGGAAGGCTCTTATTTGGATAGTGAAATTCTAACCATTGGCGTCGATTCATCATGGCGGAGTATTGATCCTCCACCATGTGCGATAACCACACGTGGCGTATGTACTAATGGTGTTCTCTATTGGTGTGATTTTTCATACAAACCTCCTGGTAACAAGTATTATCTGGTTTCTTTTGATCTTGGTCAAGAGAAATTTCAAGTTGGTCCACTACCTGAAAATGATCTAAAAATGTTGTCTTTTGGATCGGATCTAGCTTTTGCATCACGTCCCCCCTTCCAATTCCAGGAACGATGGGGTGGTGACCCTGTAATGTCTCTATATTTCTACAATAGTGATCATCCTATTGTCTGTGGTATCAATGGACAGGCCTCATCAAAGGGATCATGGGTAAAACATGAAATTATGCTCCCAAAACCTCGAGGACCATATGATTATTTTTGTTTTGAAGCTGTGTGTTCTCTCCCCAATGGAAAGGTCTTGATTTGATGTCAACTCAGGGACACTACTATATTCAAGGACAATCCTTTAAAGACGATCTATCATTTATACGATCAAGGCACGAGGATGCTGCAGAAGTGTTTTACATCTGACTGTCGCATATCAGAAATTTTTGGAGGAATTATAGCAGCAAATTTTCCGCTCTATGAGGACCTTGATGATGATGCTGAGCAGGATCTGCTCATGTCATATCACGAGGAGAATATCATGCTATTACGCTGTTTAGGCTCCAACTTTCAGTCACTCCCCAGGTGAGTTGTTCGGCATGTGAACCTTTTGTTGTCATTGCCTCCTGCTACATGACAAACAACATTTCTCCGTTTGGTTTGTAGAAAATGTTGAGAGCATGACATTTTGTGGCAATATTAAGCAAGTTGCTACCGAATTCTTACAGACTTTGATAACGTTTTGTAACTAAACTTGGATGTTGTATTGTACCAAGAAGAATGGGTCTGAAAATGTTAAATGAATATGTGTGTAGTTTCTACTGAACCAAGTTTGATGTTCTTTGTTGCAATAAAAACATTACAAAAGTAAATAGTATTCTTCAGTTTAAAGGTGTGATTTTGAAATGGAAAGTTGTTACTCCCTCCGTCCCATAATTTTTGTCCAATTTGGGTTTTCATTTCTAGTTCAAATTACACTAAAAAGTGAAATCACAAACTGGACAATAATTTTGGGACATAGGGAGTATAAGTCCATTAGTTTTGAACCAATGATAATGAATCAACCAACTCATGTAACATGCCCAAACCTAGGATGAATTTGTTCAACAGCAATTACCAGTTACCACCACTGTTCTTTCTCCAAATTTACTCAAGTCTGGACCTTTTCCTCTTTACAGGCTTCATCCTCATATCCTCTTCCAAAATTCTGTGAGCTTCTTGGGAGACTTGCTTCAAGCCTTCAACTCATGGAAACTTTAGCACAATCATTTGCTTATACTTGTTTTACTTTCAATTCTTATCTTTGCTTCACCATTAACAAGAGGTTTTCGAGAATCTATCTATACTTGGGTTAAACTTTCTTCTTCTTATTCCGAATCATGTCCAAAGTCGACGAACAAATTTCCGCAAATACGAGCCATTTTTTACTTTTACATTCATACAAAAAATAAATAAATAAAAAAATTATAGAATATCTGAGAGTTACGACAGGAATTGGAAAAATAACGGTTATAATTAAAAATATATTTTTTTATTGCTCCTATTGATACAACAAATTGATTTTTATGCTTCGGTCGACTTTGTCATCTTCTTTTCTAAGTAGAACGAGTTGATTTAAATAATATCGATAAAATAAATATTATGTGATTGTTACATTGACAAGAAAAATATGAGTATTTGAAAGAAACTATAAGCATTAGAAAACTTAATAGTAAAATTCAATAGATTTTAAAGTTATAATCTTTCAAACAGTTCGACACATGATAATTTTTTTTTTTTGTTTGTTTGTAAGTTGATTTCATAATTGATCATGAACAAAACCCAAAAAATCCAAAAAACAAAAAAATTTCCGCAAATACGAGCCATGTTTTACTTTTACATTCATAAAAAAAATAAATAAATAAAAAAATTAAAGAATATCTGAGAGTTACGACAGGAATTGGAAAAATAACGGTTATAATTAAAAATATATTTTTGGATTGCTCCTATTGATACAACAAATTGATTTTTATGCTTCGGTCGACTTTGTCATCTTCTTTTCTAAGTAGAACGAGTTGATTTAAATAATATCGATAAAATAAATATTACGTGATTGTTACATTGACAAGAAAAATATGAGTATTTGAAAGAAACTATAAGCATTAGAAAACTTAATAGTAAAATTCAATAAATTTTAAAGTTTTAATCTTTCAAACAGTTCGACACATGATAAATTTTTTTTTTTTTGTTTGTTTGTAAGTTGATTTCATAATTGATCATGAACAGAACCCAAAAAATCCAAAAAAAAAAAAAAAAAAAGAAAAAAAAAAGAAAAGAAAAAGAGAGACGTACAGATTATGATGAAACTTTAGTGCTGTCCGTATTTGAATCGATGCTCTAACACTAACCTTCTAAACACTACAACAGCTTCAAATTGGATTTCTTTACAGATAAGATCATAGGAACTAATATTTTGTGCTTACTGCTTACTTTTTAAGATTTAACTTAAACTCGTCAAAAAAAGGAAATTGATGAGATCTAGCTCAAACTCATTCCACTATAAATAATACTTCCCGGGATTCGGAAAAATAGTCTATAGTGAATTTTTAAACTTGTACCAAAAGTAATACAAATATCAAAATTTGATTGTGAACCTTCTTTTGTTGGGGGGTGCCTACAGAGGGTGTATTATTGTTTTAAGGTCAAGTTCAGATATAGACTAAATTTCAAATAATTGATACTTCTGAGGTCATTGAGTACTATACTTCAAATTATGGGAGGTATGATGTAAATACAAAATACCTCAGAGAGTTATTTGCAATTTAATCTAATTCAGCTGAAACTGGAACAAACACAATCAAAATTACTCCGGAATCCGGATAACTGCACAGCCTCCGATGATCACCACCGGCCACATCCACCGCCGACTTCTTCTCCGTCGCGCACTCGCGCCTTGCTTTAGTCTATGGAAATTGATCACGTCCATGAGAAATTCGTAGCTGGGAATGCTTTTATAATGCGTTTTTGACAGATGAAAGGACGCTTTTCTCAAATCATTCAACAAAAGGTAAGATCCTGGCCCGAGTATCGAATTGATTACCAATGGTTTTCTGATGTTTTAAAATCTTGTGCAACCAATTTAGATGCGAATTTGGGAAGGACCCTTCATAGCAATGTTGTTAAACTAGGCCATGGTTCTTGTCAGCTGGTTTCTAAAGCTTTACTTAACATGTATGCCAAATGTAATGCTCTTGATGATTGCCAGCGCCTTTTTCATCAAATTCAATGTTGTGATACAGTCATGTGGAACATTGTTTTGTCTGGGTTTGCTGGTTCTAGGATTCATGATCTTGAAGCAATGAGTTTTTTCCGTTCAATGCATGCTTCCCAGGAAACTGAAATAAGTACTGTTAGTCTTGCTATAATACTTCCAGTTTGTGCACGCATTAGGTGTTTGAGTTTTGGTCAAAGTGTGCATTGTTATGCTACTAAAGGTGGGTTGGATTCTGATACATTGGTAGGAAATGCTTTGGTGTCTATGTATGCGAAATCAAGGTTTGTCGTGGACGCGTATAACGTGTTTGATGGAATTGCGGAGAAAGATGTTATTTCATGGAATGCAATCATTTCGGGTTTTTTGGAGAATGAACTTTTAGATGATGCTTTTGAAATGTTTCAAGGGATGTTGAGATGGAACATTTGTCCGAATTATGCAACGATTGTGAACGTTCTGCCTTTGTGTGCTCGCTTGAAGGAGAATTTTGGTGGTGGTTTAGGAATGGCAATTCATGCCTATGTTGTGAGACGCACAGAGTTGGCAGTAGAGATATCTGTGCTAAATGCTCTTTTAAGCTTCTACTTGAGGATAGGACAGTTGGAGTATGCCAAAACCTTATTCAACAATATGCAATTTAAAGATCTGGTGTCCTGGAATTCGATGATTGCTGGATTTTCACGCAATGGTGAATATCTTAGAGCTTTGGAGATGTTTTATGAACTTGTGGTCCTGCAGGCAATGGCACCAGACCCTGTTACTCTTGTTAGTATTCTTCCTTCCTGTGGCCAACTACAATATGCAAATGTAGGGAAACAAATCCACGGCTATGTTGTTCATCATCCTGTCTTACGCGAGGATACTAATGTGCAAAACGCAATAATAAGTTTTTATTCCAATTGTAAAGACAGAGGATCTGCACTGAAGACATTCTTTTCCATGTCTAAGAAAGACTTAGTTTCCTGGAATACCATACTTGATTGTCTTTGTGAAACGGAATCCAGATCGGAGTTTGTTGATCTTTTACGTGTTATGTTCAGAGAAAGACTGAATCTTGACTCAGTTAGTATTCTAACCATTATCCGGTTTTGCAGTTCTGTTTCCAGAATAGATAAGGTCAAAGAAGCTCATGGATTTTCTTTAAAATATGGAATCCTGCTTAGTGATGATGAACCTACTGTTGGAAATGCACTAATTGATGCATATGCAAAGTGTGGGAATTTGGATTATGCATATAAGATTTTTGAATGCGTATCGAGAAGGAAAAATTTGATTACATGGAACTCAATGATCTCGGGATTTGTAAATCACGGTGCTCATGAAGATGCATTTAAGATGTTTCAGAACATGACACAGAGGGATCAAACCACGTGGAATCTTATGGTACGGGTTTACGCTGCAAATGGTTTTCCTGCTCAAGCTCTTAGTCTGTTCCATGAGATGCAACTTGCTGGTGTAAAACCTGATGCAATGTCCATCATGAGTCTTCTCCCTGTATGTGCCCAATCTGCCTCTGTAAGTTTATTGAAGCAGTTGCATGGCTATGTGGTTAGGGCTTGTTTCGCTGATGTGCATCTGATGGCGGCTCTGCTAGATATGTATTCGAAATGTGGAAATGTGAACTATGCAAGTAGTCTATTCCACTCAACAGCCAGAAAAGACCTTGTTCTTTTTACATCAATGATCGGAGGATATGCAACAAATGGAATGGGTGAAAAGGCAATCCAAGTCTTTCATCATATGCTAGATTCAGGCCAGAAACCTGATAATGTAATAATGACTACGGTTCTATCAGCTTGCAACCATTCTGGTCTTGTGGATGAGGGGTTGAAGATTTTCGATTCCATACAACAGGTTCACCACATGAAACCAAGTGTTGAGCAATACGCATGTTTGGTGGATCTCCTCGCCCGAAAAGGTAGAATAAAGGATGCCTATTCTCTTGCACACAAAGTGCCTATTGAAGCTAGTTCCAATATATGGGGTGCATTGCTTGCTGCATGTACCATCCACAATGAAGTTGAGATGGCACAGTCCATTAGCAGTCGCCTTACTGATGTTAATGCTGCAACTGATGATGTCGGAAACTATGTGGCGCTGTCGAATTTGTATGCTTCCAATGCTAGTTGGGATGGTGTTCTGAAAATGAGGAGACTGATAAAAACGAAAGATTTGAAAAAGCCATCTGGTTGCAGTTGGATTGAGGTAGAAAATAGTAAACATGAATTTCTTGCTGGAGATTATTCCCACCCAAAGAGAGGATGTATATACGAAGTATTAAGTACCTTAGATCAGCATATCAAAGAGTTGTATGAGTATTTTACTTTGTAAATTTTAGAACACTGCCCCAATACACACCAAATCCATTGAAACTTCGTAATGAAGCACGTCCTGGTCAATAGTAATATGATTCATATAACCGATTCCACCCAGTTAATGTTGTGCTTGAAAATCGCAATGCAATTCTCGGATAGGAATACTGAAATAGCGTATCAATGAGGGATATCATTCATTCCATTAGAAAACACAACCACAATCCTAATGCAGCGATTATCCATCGTTTTTATTACTCGTATACTGATATTCATTTTTCTTCACCTTTATGATTCTCAAGTTTTTGTTGCAATTGAAAAACTCACTGAGTAGGGAAAGCACTCTGAAAATTTTCAGATGAAATGGCAAAATCCATAGATGACGATTTCTTAAACGCAAAATTATTTTAAAAACTTTTTTTCCCTTTAAAAATTAAAAAAAAAAAAAAAGTGGCCTAGTGATACTGTACTTGAAAAATCTGAATGTGAACCTTCACCTGCACTAATAACCATTATATCTCTTCCCTTTGCCGTCAAATAGCCATTTTCTATATGAGTTCCCTTTCCATAAAATTGTTATATTTTACTGGGAAGGAAGCAAGAAAGAGGGAAGTTGGAATTAATTCATAGCCTTTTATTCGGGGTTTAAATTTACTTACATTAACTGATAACTTATGTATCAAAATGTTAAAAAAGTGGATCAAAAGCATAAGAAATTTTGAAAAACACCAATTTTTTTTACTGCTAATAATTTTTTTTTTCTTTGATCTGAATAGTCAGCAATATTTGTGCATTGTTGTATCGTAGCTGATGAATTATTTGGCATGCCAAGGATGACATGAGCTTGCTAAGTTGGGTATTGTTCCCAGCCAAAAAAAAAAAAAAAAAACCCCTCAAATTGTTACTTTAATATGTTATGCATTTCCTTAAAATAAATTCTATTTATAAAGTTAAACACTTAAGGATATAGAAAACAGTAATCTTTCTAAATCATTGAAGATTCTAGTTTTGTAATTTTAAGAATGAGGGATGTTATAATTAAAAGATTTGGTTCCAAGTGACTTCTTTTTTATTTCTTTCAAAAAAAAGGGTACTACCTCAGTTTTTTTATTGTAGCTTTAGAGTTTGCACAATTGTCAAGAAAACAATGATTGAGAATTTATAAGGATATTGTCTTTCTTGCCCCTAATTAAAAGTATTGGAACTCTAAACAATTTAAAATTGAAATTAAAGAGTAGGTAGTTGTCATTAATATATGTTATCAAAAGTAGAGAGAGATAAGGGTAAAATTGAAAAAATAATATTTAATGTTACGTATGAAATGAAATGCGACAGATAAAAAAACACTTTGGATTCATCCTAAAATGACCGATAAAAAAAAAACGGAGGTAGTACATTCAATCACATAAAAAGGTAATTAGTTTATTGATTAAAAAAACGAATGATTTTCAGAGACAAAAAGAATACAAAACAACAAAATTAAATAAGATTAGAGTGTACAGTATATGCATTATAGTCATATATAATTGTCATTTGTCTCATATGAGACGATTATGTTTGTTTTAATTCTCTTTTTTCCCTCTTCCATACCTGTTAAGATTAAGATGTTGATTCTCTTTCCGGATTCTTAGTAACGTTGTCGTATATATTGATTAGTATGAGGGAGCATCTTGATTTGTCTTAATATTTGAAGTACTAATCGTCGTGAAATGAAGAAGCATCTTAATATTTGTCTTAATATTTGAAGTACTATTTGTCGTGTAATGAGGAAGTATCTAATTTCCTCTCTTAACACATCAATTAAACGAAAGATAATTCTTCAGCTTCTATAAAGAAAGAAATTGACTTGTAAAAAATATTGACGTTTTGTTATCTACATTCACTAAGATTTTGTTGATTTTGATGAATTGTCTAAAAAGACATATAAAAAATGTAAAGGTAATACTATATACTCCTTTCGGTACTTAATAGAAGTCGTTTTGATTTGTTCTAAATTTTATCTAGTACATATTTTTAATTGACACAGAAAATCTTAAAAATATTTTTCTCACAATCAAGAGAACACAACGAATGTAAGAGCATATTTTTTAAGATTTTTTTCAAACTAAAAATTCATATTAGGTGAAACTTAGGACAAATCAAAATGACTTATATTAAGGATCGGACGAATTTAACAACTCTATCATCAAACCTAATTAATACGTATAATTAATAATGGCCAACTTGGTGGGAGTTGACTCTTGAGGGCACACCAAAGCTAGAATAAACACTATTACTACTATTCGACCAAAATGCTCCACAAACCTTTTTCAAACAGAGTGCAGAGTGCTCCCGGCCGACCATGTACTCCTCCAATAGCTTCTCTCTCCCGGCCACCTCCGGTCGCCGGCACCATCTCTTTGTTTCCATTTCGATCGCTGAAAGGCCGTTACATGTTACCGTTACACCAGGTAATTGCAAAAAAAATAAAAAAATAAAAAAAATTCGTCGTTGTATTATTATTATATTGATATAAAAGGACTTACGCCAATCATTAATTAGTTTCAACGTCGATCAAACTCGATCTCTCACAGTGAATCTGTGTTTCATATGTTTTTCAAATTTTTTTCGTAACTCATTGTATTTTATTTTTTATTTAATGATTCTTTATAGGTACATGGCGGTCTGGAAAAAGGCTTGATCATTATCAATGTCGTCTTAAGAGTAGCATAGTTTCCAGGCAACTTATACCTGGTAATTCACTTCAACTTGTGGAATATTACAAAAATAGGATATGGTGATACCAAACCATAAAAACACAGAATTCTAATTGCCTGTGAAAATCAATTTTAACTTTCATGCAGAAGAATTAAGGGAAGAGTTGCAGAACGGCATCCAAGAGGTGAGCAAGCCACTTTCGATATTTAAATCGGTAAAATTTATAATCTCTATTATTTTGTTTTATCTATCGTATTATAGTAAATATAAATTATTTTTTTATCTGTCACATACTTCATCCAAATGCAGCATTAGATACAATTTCTTTAATAATAACCATCAGCTTTTCTACTTAAATTTTTACATTTTCGTACTTTTCATTAGGGGCACTAATGTATGTAAAATGTCTATAGTTTATATTAATGGCATCATTTAAAATCTTCTTGCATTGTAATTATGGGTAAATCACATCATAGGTGCTCGTGGAAGGAAGAATAAAAGAAGCAGTAGAAGGGATCAAGAGAATGCTGCGTACCATGGAGGACGGCGAGATAAGCATATCTCCATACGACACCGCATGGGTAGCATTAGTGGAAGACATTAACGGAAGTGGCGGCGGTCCTCAGTTTCCGGCATCCGTCGAGTGGATTGCCGACCATCAGCTACCCGACGGTTCCTGGGGTGACGGGAAATTCTTCCAGGCTCATGACCGGATCATCAACACCTTAGCGTGTGTCATCGCGCTAGAATATTGGGGCGTCCATTCTGATATTAGCCAAAAAGGTCGGTAAAAATGCGGCTCTTGTTTTAAGACCCAAGGAATTTTGTGTGTTCTAATTTCTCTTTTATACTCCCTTTATCCCGAAATTATTGTCCAGTTTAAGATCTTACTTTAAGTACAATGATTTGAACTAGAAATGAGAACCCAAACTAGACAATAATTATGAGACGAAAGGAGTACTATATCTTTAAATGAGCAATTTGACATTCAATACGTGTACAATACATAACTTTTGCCTATTACAGTGGTAGTTAGTAACAGAATGGTGTGATGTTTGTTTGTTCATTAGTCGTTATTTTTTTCACTATATATAGTCATTGTTTTTATCAGAGCATCTCCAACCAAGATACCAAAACACTAAATTTGGTATTTTGGTGTAAAGTTTTCACTCCAACGAACACACTAAATCACTACACTGTTTTAGTGCAAAGAATAGTGTTACACTAAATTTGGTGTAAATTGTCCATTACATTATTTTTAGTGCATTATTTTTTTACTTAGATCTAAATATATATTTGCCATGTAATTAAACTTATAAAATGAATTATGTTATAAAAATTATATCATATTAAATATTTTGTTGAGATCTTCAAAATAACACCCATATTGAATATAAATTTTTTTTAAAAAAAATATTTTTTAGTTATTAATAAAATTGAATATGAAAAATAAGTAAAAAAAATTTGATACTTCTACAACCAAATAAAAAGCAATTATAAGGAACAAATTTCATAAAATAATCGCCAAATTACATGATTTTAGTTAACTATAAAAATAAAATTTAAACTAAAATATTTAATATGTAGACATTTTAGTGCATTAATATTGGAGTGTAAAGAACTTTGGTGTAAAAAGATGCATGGAATATTCCATTTGTGTGCTAAATTTGATGTAAATTATAGTGCAATGGTTGAAGATGCTCTCATATTCTCTATATTTTTTGGACACTGGATCGAGAATTATGTTATTTTTAATACAAATCTTAAAATTTAATATAGGTTTTTTTTTTGTTTGTGGAATGGGAGTAACATTTTTGGAAAACAACTACTTGCCCGAGATACTTGTATTACTTTCCTTAAGGAAATTTATGCCATTTTTAAATCTATTTTATGATTTTTATCCTTTACCTGTTTGTACCATTTGATTCATTTCTCGTGCAATGATGTACATATCTAGTTTCTCTGATATAATTTTTTTCATCACTTAATGATTTATTTATTCGCTTCGTCTTCTTCTTCTTTTTTTTTTTTTTGGGTTCATGCCATAGGTCTACTATTCATCAAAGGGAACATAAGCAAGCTCGAAGAAGACAATGCCGTGTACATGCCCTGTGGTTTTGAAGTGACATTTCCTTCCCTTATTGACCTAGCGAGAAAGTTGAGCATTGACATCCAAGACGATGCTCCCATTTTTCAAGAGATTTATGATCGAAGAAATGTTAAGCTTGCAAGGTACAATATTTAGGGAGACAAATGTTTGGTTGTCTAACTATAGCATAAAGCTCTCCTATACTATTTCGCCAAAGAACACAAAGATCACTACTTACCTACTAACATGCACAAAAAATTAATTTTGATCAAACGAGTATAATAAGTAATATTAAATACTCCTTCTGTCTCAAAACTTTTTTTTATTTTAGATTTTGATTTTTAGTAATCTGTTCCAGAAAAATATTATAAATTTCAAGAATCAATATTATTTTTTTTTGGGGGAGAAGGGAACAGAGAGAGTACAATTTTGGTTAAAAATTAAAATCTAAACTGGAGCTATATTTTGAGGTAGAGGAATAATTACACATGCATGCGAGTGATATTGACCATCAGAAACGAACTTAAAATAAAGGGTTGCCTCATCATTAATGTTATATATAAGTAAGTGGAAAGTAATTCCCTACTTCTCTTTCACTAAAGAGTTTAATTAATTTATGATTAGGATTCCGATGGAGGTACTGCACTCAGTCCCTACATCATTGCTTTATAGCTTGGAAGGAATGCCGGGGATTGATTGGCCAAGACTGCTACGATTCAAGTCGAAGGATGGTTCATTTTATACTTCGCCAGCCTCCACTGCCTATGCGTTTATGCAGACTAAAGACGATGATTGCCTCCGATACTTAACTTCTCTCGTCAAAAAGTTCAAGGGTGGAGGTACATAAAAATAACAATCCTACTAAAGCAGTATAATAATCACAATTGTTTTTTTTTAAAAAAAATAAATTTCGGAATGACTCTTCAATACACATGTGCTTTTATTATTATATATTATCAGTAATGGTAGAGATAGTAATTATATACAGAAAAATGAGATGGTGACTCATGAAAAAACATTCACCATTTCACTTAATTCATAACTACTAACATAGTAAGTTCAAGTAAGTACATGCACGCCACATCAGTCATTTTCACATTTCACTATTTATTTTTACTGTATATATCCTTTTTCGTATATTATATAGTAAAAAGGTCGAATAACGGTTCATCTTCTTTGCCACGGATGATCTCGTCTTCATTTCAGTTCCAAATGTCTACCCGGTGGACTTGTTTGAACGAATCTGGGCCGTTGATCGGCTTCAAAGATTGGGAATTTCTCGGTATTTTCAGTCAGAAATTGAAGAATGCGTCAATTACGTATACTGGTACGGAATTTAGAGCATCGATAATATTTTCTTCTTTTTTGAGTAAAAGAAAAAGATTTCCTAGGTAACTATTAACATTTGTATCAATTCTGAATTCATTCAAAGCCGTTGATTTTTAAAAATTTTGTTTTTCCTTTTTCCCATGTATGGCAATTGCAAAATGTATTCAGTCACTGGACCGACACAGGAATCTGTTGGGCTCGAAATAGCCTAGTCCATGATATTGATGACACCGCAATGGGTTTTAGAGTTTTAAGATTGGAAGGTTACCCTGTTTCGGCAGGTCAGTGTTCTAAATTGAATCTATATTGTTATCGTTTCAAAATATCGACCCTCTTCCTGTATTAGAATAATTTTGTCTAATTCGAATTTACATTTTTAATATAATTTGTATTAAAAATATAAATTTAAACTCGATAATCATTTTGTAATATACCGTGTATTGAAACAAAATATTACATGTGGAGATGATATGTTTACTTAGCGAAGTACTGTACTGACAGATGTGTTCAATAAGTTCAAGAGAGGGGATGAATTTTTTTGCATAGCTGGACAGTCGGACCAGGGATTGACCGGAATTTATAACCTGTACAGAGCGTGTGGAGTGATGTTCCCGTCGGAAAATGTATTAGCCGGTGCCAAGAAATTCTCGTCGGAATTCTTAAATGATAAGCGTGCAAAAAATGATCTCATAGATAAATGGATCATAAGCAAAGATTTGGCTGGGGAGGTAGGAAGATTTAATTTATCTATAACGAGGTCTACAATCTTATAGTTTCGACCATTATAAATAATATTTTTACGTAATTTTATTTTTGAGACGGAAGAATATGATTATTAATTTGTGCAGGTGGGCTATGCATTAGATTTTCCTTGGTATGCTAGCCTACCCCGCGTGGAAACAAGGATGTTCTTGGAGCAATACGGGGGAGAAGATGATGTCTGGATCGGCAAGACACTGTACAGGTTAAATGATATCGCTAATTCTGTTCTTGCCCAATTTTTTGAGGCAGCAAATTAACCAAAATAAGACTCCTACTAACAATGTTTAATCCAGAATATTCTCTCTTTTTCAGACCAATGCATTTTAGCCAGATTTAGATACGTGTGACATTATTTACCGTTGGACATATATTTTCATAAGTAATACTCATTCTGTTCCAAATGATTGTCCTATTTGAATTTTTATTTCAATAAATATTATACTATATACTAAAAATGAAATTTTAAATACGGACAATCATTTTGTAGACAAAGGAGTAACATTGTAACTTAGCAGTTTAGCAACAACCACTGAATCTCCCTTCAGATATGGGAATCTGGGTTCCTGAATCATCATGCAATTGGAGTATCCCATCCTCAAGCATGTCAATTTAGAAATTTTAGAGTATGCCTCTTTATGAAACCAAATAATAATAATAATAATAATAATAGTAGTAGTAAGTGAATCTTCTTGAGTGTCACAGAAAGTACAATATTATCAAAAGTGTCCAACCATTCTTAAATCTTTTTGTTTAAAATAAATTGTGGGTTTCAATATTCTAGCTTTGATTAATCAATTTTATTTCATTGTTTGTTACTGTCTCATGCAACTTTGTGCAGCATGTACATGCCGTTTCTAATGTTTTTGGATTTTACAGGATGTATAACGTAAACAATAATATTTATCTTGAGCTGGGTAAATTAGATTACAATAATTGCCAGGGATTGCACCAACAAGAGTGGACATGCATTCAAAAGTAAGTATCAAAAATTCCATTTGCTTCAATTAATTTATTCGTATCTCGTTTAAATAATCAACTTTATTATGCAATGTAAAATTCTAAGGAAAAGAAAAAAGATTTTAATCATTTTAAACTATTCTGAAATCCGGATAGATTGATAAAATAATTTCGAATACCGTGCATATTTTCATATCTTCTACCCCTCAGTTCAAATTGTACTAAAAGTGAAATCTCAAATTGGACAATAAATTTGGAACAGAGTGAGTATGTTATTAAATCATTTCATTTGATAAATTTACAACTTCTCCCCATTTAGATCGTATTAATTAGAGTTATCTTTATGTATGTATGATCAGATGGTTTAAGGAATCTGGCCTAAGGAATCTGGGAATATTGAGTGAAAGAGATCTTCTATACAGTTACTACTTGGCCACCGCCAGTATCTTTGAACCAGAGAGGGCCAAAGAGAGAATTGCTTGGGCAAAAACAAATGCCCTTATCAATACAACAAAATCTTGTTTGAGTATCCAACAGTATGACAAGAGAACCTTTCTTCAAGAAATGGAATTCTGTGGCAATAGCTCCAATTCTATCAATGGTGTAAGGTTAGAGACACTTCCCATTATTTTTTAGTTTTAAATAAATAAATAAATAACCATTACTTAATTCACACTGAGTTTTAGGGGAATAATTAACCACAATTTTTTTTTAATCTAGTTCACCATTTTTGTTTCACAGTTACAAGCCAAAACAAACACTTAATCAAGCTCTACTCGACAAGCTAAACCAGTTATCAATGGATATAATATCAAGTCACACTGGAGACATGTACAAGTATTTGCGTCAAGCGGTGAGTTAATCCTGACAACTAACCAATTAAATTAGTTAAGTTTAGTTAGTTGTTGCTAACTAAGTTAATTGTCCAAAACTAATACTAGTACATGCATTAACCAAGTAGTACATACATATGATAGGATGAAATGCTATCTGGCTTCATTCACTGATCTTATTTTGTTTTATTTATTCTTCTTTCCTTCCAAAATAATTGTCATATTTGGGAATAATGCATTATTTTCTTCATTTTGAAATTATTATCTAGTTTAAATTTTCAATTTTAGTACAAATTAAGCTAAAAGTGAAAATTCAAACTGGACAATAATGTTAAGATAGAAGGAATATCTTGTTTGTAGTTTAGTTATTCTCCTTTTGGACAATTATTTTATATAATATATATATATATATATAAATTTTTTTTCTATATAGTGGGAAAATTGGTGGATGGGCTTGCAAGCGGGAAGCTTAGGAAAGGAAGCAGAACTCATTGTGTGGACACTAATTCCAAATCAAAGCACTGTTCGCTACGAACCGTTGAACTCACTAATTTCCCATCCCAAATACCAACAGCTTATGGATGTTACCAATAGAATTTGTCTTCAATGTTCTCAATTCCAATTCCAAATCCAACACAAAAAGGTTAGGAATTCCACCACTGTTTTTTTCGACTCGGTTATTTGACATTTTTGTTAATATTTAACAACAATCTGATCAACACCTTACAGTTATTCTCACTTGTACATTTCACTGTAGATTTAACTTAAAAAACAGAATTATTACATAGGCTAGTTTGGGTAAATATAACAGATAGACGATTCTCTATTATTATGTGTGATTAATTCGTAAATTGTTGAATTATGATCGACATCAATTGGTATAAGACAGAAAGAATAATGTTTAAAGAATGTAACGGTATTAGTTGATTTTTTTTTTCTTTCTCTTTTTATCAGGATCAAAACATGGATAGTGGAGGAGGGCGAGGAGACTTGGCTGGCATCTCCTCAATTGATTCAAGCATGCAAGAACTTGTGGAATCAGTTCTGACGAATTCCCCAGGCGATCTGGACAGTGATTTGAAGAACACAGTTCTCACAGTGGCAAAGAGCTTTTACTACACAGTTCATTGTAACCCACAAACTATCAATTCCCATATTGCAAAAGTGCTATTTGAGAAAGTACCATGATTGTTAGCCAAAATGAACAAAAGAAAAACGCCCTTTGGTCCAAACATGGATTTCTATATTGTCAATCAAGCCATCCTCAATCAGGCTGTCTCCTCTGGTTTTTTATCTTGCTCAGGAGACATTTCAATCTGTTTTTAAATTTACCCTCAAAAGGCATTGGGATTTGGACTTGCTTGGACCAAATCCAACTCGGATTCTCAATTCCTGTTGATCAAGTCACTTGTGTCACATTAAGATCTTTTATCTTCAGTTAACCATTATATATCATATGTAAATAGAATTAGGATTTTCAGATTTTTTTAAAAAAATTTAATGTAAAAAGTGTAATTCTGAATAAGGTCATCTACAATGCGGTAAACATCCGCATAAACAAATTCTGAACCAATCAAAGTGGCACTTAGCTATGAAATAAGAACCCTTAATTGGTCATTGAACATATGAGCAAGTTGATTTGGGAAAGGAGAGATTATACGTTTAGAATGACGTAATTTAAACTAATGATGGAGAGACAGATAAAATGTGAAATCCAAACATTCATTTATACGTTTAATTTAGAAATGTGGTTGCCAGATTATTTTCTGCCTGCTTCAATTTGAATTAATGGATTATTCACTGCAAAAAAAAAAAAAAAAATCACTACATAACATTGTCTATATATATGACATTACAACATTCATACATTCTTTTAGAGAAAATGAGTCTTTTCATCCCAAAGTTTGGGCCACACCATCCAAAACATCCCAAAGTTTAAGAACATGTCATTTACATCCCAAACTTTTTAAAAACATGTTACATTAGAATATTCGTTAAATTTTTAACTCCAGTTAATTAATTAGTGGTGGTACTTTATTCTGTTTCTCCGCCCCCAATTCTTTTAATCATTTAACACGTTCCACTAACTCCCACCTTATAAGAAAATAGCTAAACCTAATTTGGTTTTCACATCATCCATTCTTCCCTTGCTTAGAAAAAGAAAAAAAAAAATCTAAGATTCACCTTCTAGATTGATAACAATAATGAGAGGTTTTGTGTGTGTCCTAATTAGAAAGTAAGCCCTATTTCATTTATTTTTTTAAATATGTAGCATCATTATAAAAATTGATATTGTAATTGATGCAGGAGCATACAACTTTTTTGCTTGGCATGGACCAAATTTACCAAACGCAAGTATGAAACTTTTTTGACTAAAAAAATGGGAGAAAAGAAACTGAATGAAATCACCGTTAATAATTTGAAAAAATTAACAAATGTCCTAATATTACATATTTTTGAAAAGTTTGGGATGAAAATGGCATGCTTTTAAACTTTGGGATGTTTTAGATGGTGTGCCTCAAACCTTGGGATGAAAAGGCACATTCTCCCCATTTTTTTAATACTTTAATCATATCGTGGAGACGATGTTTTTAATTAACGAATTAATGTACTGACAGATGTGTTCAGTAAGCTCAAGAAAGGGGATGAATTTCATTTTTTTGCATGGCTGGACAGTCTGACCAGGGATTGACCGGAATCTATAACCTGTACAGAGCGTGTGGAGTGATGTTTCCGTCGGAAAATGTATTAGCCGATGCCAAGAAATTCTCGTCGGAATTCTTAAATGATAAAGCGTGCAAAAAATGATCGCATAGATAAATGGATCGTAAGTAAAGATTTGGCTGGGGAGGTATCCCAAAAAAAATTCTAATTTTAAAAATATAAATCTTAAAATTGGACTTATGAGATTGGTATCTATAGTACCTATAATCGATTAGTAAATTGATAAATAGTTATGAAACTTTATTTAATTTTTCATATTAATTTTTTAATACTGTAAGATTAAGTCATCTAATTTCTATATTTTAGTTTTTTTTTTTTGAGTTGGACTATTTTCTAGGATGAAGGTAGTACTTTTATATTGTGACTGAAGAATATAATTATTATTTTGTGCAGGTGAGCTACGACTCCAAGTTGCAATAAGGTTCTTTTCAGCTAAAGTTTTCCGAGGAAAAATACCATATGGTTTTAGCCTATTATGTACGTATGTAGTGGGTTTATTGCACTTATATGGTCATCAAAAATAGAAATTGCAAAAAAACGAAATGTCGCACACTTCAATGAGTAATTTAATTCATGCCAAACAATACAATTGTGATGAACATCACTGACCAATAACTCTTTATTTTTGAATCCACACAACATGAAGAAATTATGGAGAGTAAGGAATTTGAGGAAAACACACACACACACGCACAAAATCACAAGTAGCTGTTTTCACACACTCAATTGCAAATGAATGTGTCTAATTGACAAACCTACAATCCTTCCTGATCTCTCCTTGAGTTCCAGAAAGAACTTCAATTGAACCCATATGCACCATAGCTTTTGCAAATTTCTTAGCCCACAAATTTCCATGATTTGCATTGTTCTTCACCATCTTTCTAGTTGAAGAAGTAGCCCACAAGATTTGATCTGAAAACAGTAGCCCTTTGTTCATCTCCAAATTCTTGTAGTATACATTATCCAACCGATCAGGAGTAACAGGATCAAATGACACAACAACTTGATCAATACTAGCCCCACTCATCTTTTTGGGACACATTTTTTTCAACAATTTCGCATAATTAGGATCAATTGATGGGTCTTGCGAGTATGTTTTGTTGAAGGAATATAGTCTTGACATGAAATTTGAACAATGTGATCCACCAATTGAATGTGCACCTGAAAGTGTGACCATTTCATCAAGTGACAACCCTTTATTGGCAAAATTTTTCTTGAGTTGCGCGACAGTGAAATTAGGTGAAGGTAGATTTGCAGCGGCCTCAGCAGCTCGAGAAACGTTACCATCTCGACGTCCGGCCGGGACTGTATAGTACAGTCCGCCAGAGACGCTAACACTGTCTCGAGCTGCAAAGGCAAGGATGTCTGCACAAGAAACTGTGTTTGGACATTGGGATTCTATCTTGGCTTTGGCTTCATCGATCAATTCCAAACCTTGTACGCCAGAATTTGCGGAGCTATCTTTTTCGGCAAGATTTCCAGGTGTTGAGTTAAGAAGAATTGAGGCATCGCAACCCTGATAAAAGAATCAAATTCATTCAACTAAATTTAGTCAACTTTGGTCCTGGTTTTTTACTATAGCAATAGAGTCGATCGGGCGTAATATAATGTTTTAGTTCAATGCATAACAGTCTTATTAGACAGAAAGACTAATAAATGTAGTATTTTGGTTTTGGTCTGAATTACTTGTATTGGACTAGCTCAAAATCAGACAAAATCTAGTAGTCCGTCCATGGATTTGCAAAAATTTAGTCCAGTATTAACTGATTGACTATTCGAAATATTTAACGGAGAGGATTATTAATATAAGACGGAATTTTCATGTCAAGAACCACTTAAAAACCAAAATATAGACACCATTTCATGAGGACCATAATATAGACATCATTTCATGAGAGACACTAAACTGAAAAGGTAATAATAATATCAATATCAATACGAATTGAATCCCCAAAAAAAAACTATCCTAGCATTCCATGTATATTAATTTGCAGCATAATAATGTATCAAAAAAAAATTATATTGCAAAGTATCCATTATCGGCAACAATGACTGATCCTTTAATTTATTTGTATCAAGCAAACGCCAAAATTGTTATGTCCCAATTAGGGTTAGCCAAAAGGACTCTGATCGATATATAACGCATCAACAATCACTATGTTGAAGGCAATATCGATGCCTACACTGCATGCATGCATAAAAAAAAATATTAAGCCAAATGAGCAAAATTTCCCTTCATCAAAAAAAAAAAAAAATCCCAAGAAAATGACTATCTTTTTCTAACGGGAAGAGTACTAAAATTTTTGGAGTAATTTTAGGAGAAGAGTAAAAAAGGGTGGGCTTACCCTGACGAAACAGTCGTGAAAATGAAGCCTAATGAAGGCTGGAGCTGTGCCTGAATCATTAGCAAAAGCCTTCTCCACAACACTCTTAACAATCGCTTCAGCCGATGGACATGTCTTTTGATAAAATCCCACTTCCAAAGATGCAATTTTGGTTGGATAAACCAACAAAATGGCAAGAAATATAGCAAAATATGCCATTAAATTATTTACTTGGTTGAAAACTATTGATTAAACAGGGAATTACCGAGAAGCAAGTTTAATTTGAAGACGATTAATTTGTGTGTATGAAGATATGCAAACGAGCAGGCAATTTATAGGAGAGGAATCACCAAGGAAGAGAGTTCCAAATTAAATTTGAGTAGAAAACTTCAAAACTTTATTTTAAAAATTCATAAGGGGAAAAAAAAAATACCCATAGAAATGCTAAAACAGGAAACTGGTTACTACTAATAATAATATTAAACAAATGAAAGGCGTGTGGCATCCACACTCTTCTTACTACTAAGACAAAAGTTTGAGATTAAAGTAATGTAATTTGAGGAATTGTTTAGTAAGATTTGCTAATCAAATTCAATTACGAAATGACATGCATGCCGCGTCTTTTACCAACTTCGTTGATTCTTTGACCTATTTTAGTGTGTGCGTGTGTGTGTGTGTGTTTTTCAAATATTTAACTAGGGTTTAGGGTTTAAGACTCTAATAGAGTATCTTTACTTTTTTTTGAAAAAAAAAATTGTCTTGATTTTATTAACTACTATAAGGTAAAAATGACATTAGATAGTACCTTGAAAGTTGAAAGGAACGGTAGGCTTACGATAATCATCAATAAGATGAGTAGATGACTCACACTGAACAATACACAAAGAAGAAAAATACAGGCAGATCCTACGAAATAATGTTTGTGTGTTTTTTCTTTCTATTTTTGGCCAAATCAATAGATTTAGTCAATGCTATATATGGTAAATACATAAGTTAAGCGACTTGATCAACATTTCATAGATTAGGAAAGACACAAGCAGCTCCCGATATGGAAAAAACAAGTTTTCTTTATAATTAAAAATACTTAGTTGCAAACAGCAAAATTAATCAAAATCGCGTATAGGTCAATCATGTTTTGTTGGAATGCATTTTACTGATTATTATATGGCCATTTGTAGTTAAAGTTGAGGATCCAATATTATCAAACCGTGCATGAACCGAAACTATATGTGAAGTATCAATGAAACATCGATCATTGCATGGACCAGGGAGAAACTAATATTTGCATCTACTTGCCAATGTGAACATCTCAGATTCTGTAATAAGAAAATTTTTAGGAGGCAAAGACCAGAAAAGTGGAAATGAAGACCAAGTCTTCCTTGCCATCTTCAAGTAGCTACATTCAGGTATATTCAGCCTATGTCCAGAAAAAATAATCTATTATTTCTGTCTAAAAAAGTAGTTAATATTTAGTTTTCATATATATACTAAATATAAAAACTAATGTAGACTTTTTTTTCTTTTTAACAGAGGAAATAATTGTTTATATTATTTTAGATCAACAAAATTGATTTATTTATCGGGTCAAGAAAATATTATTAAAAATCTATTTTGATATTGCGATTTCTTCCGATTAAGGTCAACATTGGGAAAATACTTAGAATGTTGTATTTTATAATTAGAGAGATTTGATTTTTTTTTTCTCTCTTGTAAAGATGAATACATGAATTATTTGGAGTCGTGTCAATGTACACTATTGAGTCTTGTTGCCGTTGTATTGAATTACTATAGGTACGACTAAGTTCGTCGCAAGATGATACTTCTCCGGTTCTCCTCACCTTAATATCCTTACTTTTCAAAGTAAACCACTTTTTAAAGAAATCTGAAGGTAAAAAGCAGTAGATGTAGATGTGGTACCTTTGTTTGGAGAAACAATTCTTCACATATTACAATATATATATATATATATATATATATATATATATACACTGGGAACCCCAGTAAACCCATGTCACTGTACTAGCTTGCAAACCACAGTAGGAGATAAACCACCCTAAGCAAGCTCGGGGTGACAAGTTCTGAAATTAGGAGTTCATTTGTGAGTTTGTCATAACAAGCCCTCTAAAGGTGCAAATGGGCAAGGTTAGAGCCATCCCCTCACTCTCGTTGGAATGGAGGTTTGAACTCATGACCTTCTCTTGAGAGTAAAAGTGGTTTTATTACTGAACCAACATCTCATTCGCTACAAATTATATTTTTAAAAGGGGTGAAAAGAGTAATTTTTGCTTTTTCCGAATTTCCCAAACCAATACATTCATCATCAATTGAAAAATGATATCCAAATTCATTTTTGAAGTTTGAACCCATCCAAACTGTGGGTTGATCTGCTTCAACTGTGATCTGCGAGGGCTCAAAACTTTGTGAGATAGATGGTGTGTGGACAAAGATCTCAATAGTTGGCGGTAACATTGGGGCAACAACGAAGCAAATAGCCCAAAACTGCTCTTCTTGTTTACTTTTCCTCCTCCTTATTCTTCTTTTCTTTTTCTTTTTTTTCCTTCTTCTTTCTTTAATTTGTTTCTGGGTGAAGAATGATCATTATGGTCCAATTTTTATTTATCTTTTAATCGTAAGAATAAGAAATAGGTAACTTTGAGATTCATTGTAGTCGTTAATTTTTGCTATGATTCGTCTTATAAAAAATGGCGGATCTAATAGTTTGCAAACTAGTCTACTAACACGTGACCTTAAAAAAAAAAAAAATGCAATCATTTTAAGACGAAGTGTGTAATAATATATTTTTTGGAAAAAAAAAAATTTCAGAACTCTGTAAAGTATAAAGTATTGCCTTTTTCTTTGTCAACCAAAAAAAAGTAAAGATAAGAGAAATCATGCATCACATCCTTCTCTTACTGTCCATCCCAAACTGCAAAGTTGCAAGCACTTTCCAGTTTGCAACTTTGCAGCATAACATCAATTGCTTCTCAACCACTCAAAACTCCATTAAATCATCATCAACAAGCTCATCATTACACTTCAAAAAATTACACCAACCATCATAAATGCCACTTAACCCTTTTAAAGAGTTACTTGGACCTCCCCTTTTACCTCTTTTTTTCTAAGACCTCCTATTCTAATTGCCAACTTTTCATCAATCACATATAGGCTAAAATGATTCCCAACGTCCCAACTAAAATTGTATCTGTGAACTTGTTAAAAAGACAAGTTTAATTGTATCTGTGAAATAATTTAATTGTATTACAACCCCCTGTAATTTGACCATATGTTAGGGCAATTTTTTTATGTAGGCTAGGTACAAAGAAGAATTACATACTAGTAGTATGTTTATAGCAATTGATGTGTCACACTGTCACTATGTAGGTGTTATCTTAATATTTTTCGGCCACAAGTTTCAATAAATTGTAGTATTCCTTCCGGTTTTTATTATATTGTATTTTGATTTCTCTTAAATTTTATTTACTAAGTTTTTTTATTGAAAATAAAACTTTATGATATATTATTATATTTATTGTATTCTTTAATTATTATAATTTATTTTTTAGAAAAAAAATTAATTAAAAATAAGATAAATAAAATTCAGAAAAAATCAAAATGTCTTGTAATAATATATATCAAAGAAGTATCAAGATTCCCAACAAATTAAAAACAGAGAACATGGCATAGAGCCACAAATAAGGAACCAAATGAACCAAGGTCAAAATTTTATTTATTTATCCCTTTTTCCCTATTCAAGCAGGAGACATGAAGCTTATGTGGCAACTACGTATGCATCTGTTTTGGCTCCAATGCACCATATTTCAGATTTCAGAAGTCTTTTTGCCACGTGTAAGTCTCTTTTAATTAGAATCTATATAATTTTTTTTTATAAAAAAAACACATGTTTTACTACAAATAAGGATCAATTACATTTCAAACGAATAGATATATTAATTCAAATTTAAATGTCCAATCGTATAGTTTTGCAGGCTTAATATAAACAAAAAATAAAAATACCTAAATTCAGCAATTAAGAATAATGCCTTATAAACTAATTATTTATTATTCCCTTATAACCTCAGATTTATAGGTATATTTTTTTAAGCCCCAAACCATAGCATAAATGATATATACGCCAAATTAATTCCTCAAAACATAATAATTCAATTAGATTTTAATAAAATAATAATTTAGAGAGGGCGTCCCGATATGTGTCCGGGCCAAACATCTAGTTTATTTTTAAAGTACAAAGTTCCCAATATAAATACTTTTATTTATTTATTTATTTATAAGAACTCTCAAGAATTCTCATTTCTCTCTTTATCTCTCTCTCTCCTTCGAAGCCAAAAAAAACATTTTCCAAAATGGTAAGCCCAGTGTCAGCTGGGATTAAGCTTATCCTGATCTCGGCTGCAACTTTCTTCACCATAATGCTGATGTCATCTCCGGCAGTCGACGGCCAAACCGGAGCAGCCCACGACCTAGTAGGCTTCTACTTCCCTGCCACCTCCACCGTGTCCGGCGGTTCCACCTGCAACGGCGGCGGCTCAATCGAGGAGTGCTTGATGAACCAGGAGGAGGAAATGGATGACATTGACATCGGGGAAGATGGGTTGCCGGAGATGGAGTCGGAGAGCAGCCGGAGGAGTCTTTATTACAGAAGAAGGTACATTAGCTACGGTGCTCTGTTCCGGGACAGAGTGCCCTGTTCCAGAAGGGGATATTCTTACTATAACTGCCGGCCGGGAAGGCATGTCAATCCGTACGTCCGGGGATGCAGTGCCATTACCCGTTGCCGGAGTTTCTAGATTTGTAATTTTAGTATCAATTGTTATTATGGGTAACAATGTGAATTTGTGTTCATGGATTTTTAATTAGTCGATGACAAACTTCATCATTTCGGTGGAGGGGAAAAAAAATGATTGAGTAATTAATAATTTATCGTACTATGATTAGTTCTAGTTTTTTTTTTTTTTCCTGCTCATGAGTTATCCCTTTTGTGTGGATGTCAAAACTCGAATGTATGTGTTCTAATTATGCATTATGCTGTGATAATCCTACTTAAATTTTACTCCCTTAGGCCCTAATTTAAGTTTATTGTTTTTTGTATTGTTAATGTTCAACAAATACTGCCTTTTTTTTGAGACAATGGATTTTCGTGTCTACTAAATCTTTATTTGTTGTGGGTTATTCCAAAGCAAGTTCATTGATGATATGTGTCTAGCAAAATTTGATGATCAGAAAATGGGAATTCTATCCATTCTTGATTAACTAACTATAGGAGGGTCATTTTCTGGTACATGTTATATTTGGAGTGGATGGAACTCGAGTTTCTTCACCCTAATTCTTTTTGGGGTTGTTTGTGCTTCCTTTTTGGGACCAAATCTGATCGGAATTCATACATTATATAGGTCGAGAAGATAATGATTCAACATGACCAAAAACAAATACGAGGAAAATAAGAATACAAAAAAAAAAAAAAGGAAAGAAAAAAGACACAACAAATACAAGAAATTTTATTTACTTTTGGGAATGGATGAAGTATAAATTTTTTTTTGCGAGTTGAAAAAGCATTTGGTTCGGTTCTCATTATTCTCCTCAGTTCCCCACTAAATAAGTTGCATTATTCATGCTTTGAAATGGATTTTTCTTACAAAATAAGCAACAGAGAGAAATGAGTCCAAATTTTTGACACACTGCCATTGCAAAAGGGACAAGCAACATCGATCAAATTGACCCTCGCACAACGTGTATTAAAAGTAAAGATTAGCAAATTTAGCATCCTTGCACTATTAAGTATTAACCACTTTAGAATCACTCAATCACAAAACCTGTTCGGGAATTGTTTTAGTACAAAAAAACATGGCTATTATGTTGGGACGGATTAGTCATTTTGGAGGAAAAAAAAAAAACGGGGTAAAGAATCGGACCCTTCACCACCGACAAACTAAGCACAAACGAAATGGTCATTTTCAAACGTTTGTTTGTCAAAGCCTCTCACAAATCACGGAACCAAACTAGCGACTTTCACATGCTCTGAGTTTTTGGGGCATTCAATTCATGCCCCCACAAGGGCCACAGATTGCTCCCTAACAGCTAAAAACTATAGCACCCACCCGCACTCATCAACAATGTATGATAGGCCGACAAAGCTGGCAATTAACAGTTAACAACATCGAAACTAGCTGTATGGTGATGCTCCCAAATGACCTAAACTACTAACCATCTCATTAGTAAGCTTGCACGTGCACAAGAACACCATCTACCATTACACAGAAACATGGGATTAAATGGCAAATAAAGAAGAACAGCATGAGTCAATATACGGCATCCACGACTTCCCTACCCTACAAACTCTTCTCAAGTTTCACACCAATCATGAGTTTAAAAGGTAATACACATTATATATGTGAAACGCTGAGTAGCTTCAGGCAAAATAATAAGGGAGAAAGAGTGTTTGAAGATAAACTACGGCACTACAACTAGTTACTGAATCGAACAATGGATGTTGTTTCCCGCAAAACAAAATCACATTTGACAAACACAGTGCTAAAACTACTGCAAGATCGGATGCCAGAAGTTAAGCAGAATCTGACATCGCTTCGTCTTTTGGCTTCAGAGCTGAGATCGATTCATCTTTCGGCTTCAAAGCTGCTGAAGGAGATGGAGAGCCTTCTTGACCCATCTCAGCTCTAAGATCATTGATGCTTTGTTCCAACTCATCAATCCGGTTTCCCATCTCATCAAGTGGAGTCATAGTTAAGGAGAAAACAAAAGAAGCATATCGATTACAGATATAGCATCAGCATTCAGCAAAAACTAGAAGCATCTGATGAATGCCCATATGCACAAGGAAAGATGTCGTTAAGTTTTAGGCCTAGGTTTTGACCAAATATCTGGCCAACAGTCGAAAGCTTACAGCTAATTTAACACTGTATGACAAAGTAAATATGCGTGCTAATGGTTATCTTTCAAAAGTACAAATATAATTTTTAGGCCATTTCAATAGCAAATCAGTTATTCAAACAGCAACTAGACTCCAATAGCATGAAAAGGATATTCTTTGTAATGATTGAATCAGACATTACTTGAAACCTAGATTGCTGGAGGAGAGAAGAAGAAAATAGTTAAGCCAGTATCAAATAAAAACTTAACTGTTAGTGCAAAAATAAAACTAGAGCACGAAGGAGAGAAACAACATAGAAGAAAATAATCAGAATTCGATAGCAAGCATGTACTAAAAAATTAAACAAAAAGGGGAGGAACAAACGTAAATAAGAATCCAGACATACCATTTGTTGAAGAAGATTTTGCACCTGAATGAAAAAGAACACAATGAGAACAAGATCAAAACATTAAACAGGGGGTCAGGGGTTTATCTTGTAAGAAATGCCAACACCAAAATATGAACGGAAGGTTCCAGTAAGATTAATAAACTCAGCAGTCATTTAAATGCACATTAGATTATGTGATAAGAATGAATCACAAAATAAAGGCAAAATTTGAAAGGTAGAGCACCCGATTACAAGGTATCATTTACTAAAAGCAAAGAAAGCTTACAAAGGCAGTCATATCAGCAGTGCTCTGTTTAGAATTGTCTCCATCTTGTCCATCCTGCCAGAAAACCAGCATGCAGTATTGCAGTTAGTTACAAGATAAAAGGCAGCTAGCTTAATGAGTTCATTTTTCTGATGTGCAGATCTTGACCATAGAAAAATGAGAAACAACTTTGTTAGCTAGTCAATGTATAAGTCATCAAGATGCACATGCTGCTTTCAACAGGATATAGTAATCAAGAAGCAGAAACTTGAGTCAACAGGATATGCACATCGAAACAATCCAAGAATTGTTAAATGTGGTGGTGCAGACAACGTCATATAACCAGGTTCTGAAAAGTTGCAAGCTAAAATAATTTCCCCGGATCTTTATCAGTCATACTACAAATAGCCAAAGCATCTATCATCTAATAAAGTTCTATAACAGAGTGTTCCCACGGAAGAATCCTAACATTGTCAAGTTTACAAGAACGCATACATCCTCAGAATGGCAAATCACCAATCAGCGATGTAAGCCAAACTTGAAATATAACAAGGGAACAGAATCCACAATGCAATCAAGTCTGTCTTTCAAAAATCAACATTCTCTTTTAGTGAGCTAAGGCATGCAAACCCTGCACGAAACCACTCTCCCCATAGTGCTACATGATAAACCACCTCACCTAGTAACAGAAAAAAACATTGAATGTAATAACTAACAGGAATAACTTCATTACTCGTTCATCGATTATAATCGACACTCTACAACAAACAATCCACTTTCGAAATTGTTAACTCAATAGCTCACAAAAAAGACTTCAACCCAAACATTTCCTACATGATTCTAAGGGAATTCTCCATAAGCAATATGAGCATTTCAAAATTCCTTCTCATAAAAGGTCGTACGGGTAGCTTTCTCTCCTACTACACTCTAATTCTAATAAATTTATAAGCACACAAACAGCTGATAATGAAATCGTACAACCGAGAAAGCAAAACAAAAATCACTGACCAAAACCAACAAGGAATCGAATAATCAATCGAAACCCTAAAACGAAATGGAAAGCGAAGTAGATTCAAAGCCAACGATTGGAATTCCCAAAATAGTACAGATCGAGCAAATCGGATTAACGATGTAAAGGAATACGGGAATTAAAAATCAACAGTTACATTACCATTGTTCAAATTTCTGCAGATGCGAAGAGAAGATTGTGTGTGAGATTTGAGTGAGTTTCGCCTTTTTTCGCTTTTCCAGACCGAGGAAGAACGATGTCGTGACTGGTGAATTTGAATTCCAAATTGGGACAAATTGCGAAGATAATTGAAATGACAAAATTATCCTGACCAACCAAAAAGTTTTTATTTCTATTTTCATTATTTTCCCTTCATTTTTTTTTCCTTCTATTATGGGCTCTCTTTTAATTTTCTACTTATTTTTATTTTTCATTTCAAAGATGATCACCTCTTTATTTTTATTTTTTTTCTTACACTTGTAAAGTCATATTTAGAAAGATGTTCACTTACATTTCTTTTTGGTAAAATAAAAGTGATACAAAGTCGAAGTTAATATCGTTTATATACTTTTATGTTTCTCGGGTAATTTCATTTTGATCATACCTTTCCAAAATCACAGTTTCAAGGTCGTGTAATTTCTGATCTTATAAAGTAATCTGTGAAAAATTTTACCTATGGTAAATGTAGTGTGAGTTAGTTGAACTTAGATTCTTAAATTTATTGCAAGTGAAATTACCTCTCCATAACATAATGTATTCAAGCTTAATCCAATTGGGGTTTGCTTTATATCTAGTACCCACACTAACTTAGATATTGCTACTAATTTCAAATATTTTCTTACGAAATTCGTTTCTTATAAACATGTGAGAATTTACATATCGTTCTCGATTTCACTATTGATTGTGAAATATGAAGAATTTATGTCTTCTTAGAAATATGCCACGGTTTTTTTTTTTTTTTCATTTTGTCAATATACTACGTCCATAATACGGTGGAGTGGAGTAGTCAAACCTTAATTAAGTCAACCCTACTTCGTACACATTTGATCAACATACTTCTTAGTTCTTACACATTTGAAGGATTTTTACTAAAATCATACACTGCCTATTGAACAAACCATTATACCTCGGCTTAGCCCATGTATTTACACATTCAGCCTGTGTAAACCGCCGTCCCAGTCCACTTTCCGAGCCCATCTCAAAATTACACACCCTAGACGGCTACACCCCATTCCGAGGCTACCAAATTTCAGGTAAGTCCTACAGGCTACAGGTGTTGACCCTACATACAAAGTTTATTAGGGTTTTTTTTTTTATAGGTAAAGATCCTGTTGTACCAAAAAGTTTAAAACTCAATTTTTTATGATATAAAATGAACAAGTTCCATATGTACATGAAAGTTTATCCCAATGAAGATATAAACATTATTCTTGATTTAAAAATAATTATCTAATTTAAATTATTATTTTAAATATAAATTATATTTTATTTATTCTAAAAGGATTGTCTAATTTAGATTTTTATTATTGAAAAAATTTAAACCAAAAATGGAAATTGAAATTTGGAACTGTAAAAATATTAAAAATGAAAATCCAAACCGGTAAATATTTTGAATCAGAAAACCTGCACTTTGAGATTCAATGTATTAGGTGCCACTTCAATAGTCATCATGCTCTCAATCACTTAACTCACTAGATTACATTCCAAACTTTAATCATGCCGACCTAATTGAATTTTCTATAACATAATTGTCCTATCAATCGTCCCCTCTAATTATTTTCAACAATTACTCTACGTATTGGCGAGAAAAGAAATAAAGGGAAAATAAAAAATTCAAAGTAGGTGGACAAAAGTATTTGGCACCAAATTGTGGATGTGCCATATAAAGTGACCAAAAAATGTAAATGGTCATTAAACTATGTTCAATGAGGTGGTGCTACTACACATGTCATGACGGATCTTGATTTATAAGAATTTATATTATTAGCATATATAAGTGAATAAACTAGTATAATTAGTTGGTCCCTCCCTCTCTTATTTCTCTAGAAGACGAATAACTTAAATAATTAACTAAAGCCACATTAAAAATTTTGCATCATTTTACCTACCGCCTATATACATTTCGCATTCGCTGATTAAGATGCCATGATTTTCATGTAGTATGATCAAACATGTAATCAGAATTTGTAAATTTTATGCATTGCGTTCGTGTTCGTGATCGTGTTACATTGTGCGTATTTACTTTTATATATAATAAAGTTTTTTAAAAATCATTCTCTTGAACAATAAACGTCAATTTGTAGGCTCTTTGGGGGGGGCTCCCATTATATTGTTGTGTAGATTTATTTATATTTTGGTATGAAAAAATAATTTTAAATATTAAGGAGAAAGAAATAAGACAAGTCAAAGAAGAGGGGATTAAAATCATTAAAACACCAATCACGTAAAATCGTCCCCAAAGAAAGTGATTTCTGTTTTATTGTTTCCGCCTCTCCTTACAGCACACCGCCAGATGCTCTGGGACCCACGCTCACACAGAGAGACAACTGGTGCTGAGACAAATCACACTGATAATTAATAATATTGCAGATCACCCCTTAAGATACTTTCTTATTGAAAACATACCCACACGCTTTTTGTTTTTCATCAAAACCCATTCACACACTTTTGACACCAGTTTACTGACAAAAACTGTCTAAAAACAGATAATCAAACTTTAACAATTCACACGTTATCCATTCGTAACATTTTATCAAAATCATAGGTTAAACATAGAGAAAACTGTTGTGCTTCAAATGTGTTTACTGCTAGCTACTTTGATTATAGTGTTTGAAGGTTGACTCAATTAAATTTAGAAAAGTTTGTAAATGATAGAATTTAAAAACAACATAAGGAAGTCACTTAGTGGTATGTAATAAATTAAATAGGTTTTTAAGGTTATGTTTAATAAATAAAATAGGTTTCTAAGGCTATGTTTAATAAGGTAGAATTTGACTCAACAACCTTAAATTTTAGGTTTGGCTTTGAAAAATGATTCATACTGCAATCAATTAATTCAAATTTCAAACTTATGCATGGATGAAAATTAAATTATCGTTGAATCTTTGACTCAATTTTTTAGTAACATTTAAATATTAGACAAAAATAAATTTGGGTCCATCTTAAGTTGCTCCAAAAATAGAAAAGAGACCACAAATATAGACTTGTGTTGAAGGAAAATTCCGGTTTCAACTTTCTACATGACAATTTCGATTGATCTGTCTAACTATAAGAGCTTTTTATGTGACATTTCGTGTAACTAATTACGGGTAATTTTGCAATGAGATGAATAATTTAGGGGTATATTACAATTTACACTAACTACAATCTAACCTTTCCATCTTCCTTCCTAATACGCGTGAATGGAACTGGAAAATCACGTTCAAACTTCAAACCTTAAATACCAAAATTTTAAACACAGAATCTAATCTTTTTCTTAATCTAAACAAATATTTACAAATCAATCCTATATTTGTCCGAATCCTTTCAATCTCTCTCTCTCTCTCTCACTCACACACACACACACATTTCCGAGAAGAGTCTCTTCCCTTCTCTCATCAATCACCATTCCTAATTTTTCATTATTCCTTCCTTTTTTATCACATTCTCTTTCCTTCAAATCGCTCATCCCACGTTCTTACTGCCTCCACCGACACCTCATTCTTCATCAGACCCTTGTACTATTTTGTGATTTTCAAAGCATAAACCCCGTCACCATTGTTCCACTTTTTGTTACATTCATAATTTTAGGGGAGGAAATAAGATAGGAAAAAAACCATCCATTTTTTTCCACGTTTTTTCACGGCCCTTTTTCGATGTTATCGTTTTGTAGTTTGAATCTCATAGCTTAATCCTCATTGTGAAGAAAGTTTTGAGCTTTTATTCAAAGCCCGGTTGTTTGTAGGAGGAGAAAAGTTAAAAGGGACAATGCTGGATCGGTTTTTGAGCCCGAGGCGAGCTCGGCAAATGCAGAGGCTGGCGAAGAATTTCAAGATTACTCTTCTCTGCCTGTTTCTGACGGTCCTCGTTTTGAGGGGAAATCTGGGTGCCGGGAAATTTGGTACGCCGGAGCAGGACTTAAACGAGATCCGGGAAACCTTTTCTTTTATCGGCCGGCGAGTTGAGCCGCGTCGTGTTCTCGAGGAAGCCAGGCAGACGAAGAGTTTTTCGATGAGAGGTTTAGGTCTAGGTTTTGGTGGTGGGTCTGATAGTAATAGTTATGCAGATTTTGATATGAAGAAGATTATAGCTGATGAAGAGGATGGCGAAAATGAGGTAGTTTACAAGAGAGATCCCAATGAGCCTTATAGTTTAGGGCCTAAGATATCGAATTGGGATCAACAGAGAGCAGAATGGTTGAAGAAAAATCCGAACTTCCCGAATTTCGTCAGCCCAAGTAAGCCCCGGGTGTTGTTGGTTACTGGGTCATCTCCTAAGCCTTGTGAGAATCCTGTTGGAGATCATTACTTGTTGAAGTCGATTAAGAATAAGATTGATTACTGCAGGATACATGGGATTGAGATTTTCTATAATATGGCTTTGCTTGATGCGGAAATGGCCGGTTTCTGGGCCAAATTGCCTTTGATTAGGAAGCTTTTGCTTTCCCATCCGGAAGTGGAGTTCCTTTGGTGGATGGATAGTGATGCGATGTTCACAGATATGGTCTTTGAATTGCCCTGGGAGAGATATAAAGATCATAACTTTGTGCTGCATGGCTGGAATGAGAAGGTTTATGATGATAAGAATTGGATTGGGTTGAACACTGGTAGTTTCTTGCTGAGGAATTGCCAATGGTCTTTGGATCTTCTCGATATATGGGCTCCTATGGGTCCTAAAGGAAAGATTAGGGATGAGGCAGGGGAGCTTCTGACTCGGGAGCTTGCAGGTAGGCCTACTTTTGAAGCTGACGATCAGTCTGCAATGGTGTATATATTGGCTACTCAAAAGGAGAAGTGGGGTGATAAGGTGTATCTTGAGAGTGCTTATTATCTGCATGGTTATTGGGGGATTTTGGTGGATAGGTACGAGGAAATGATTGAGAATTACCATCCTGGTCTTGGTGATCATCGGTGGCCACTTGTCACGCACTTTGTGGGTTGCAAGCCTTGTGTAAAATTCGGTGATTATTCGGTGGAGCGGTGTTTCAAGCAGATGGATAGAGCCTTTAACTTCGCCGACAATCAGGTACTCCAGATGTATGGATTTGCTCATAAAACATTGGCTAGTAAGAAGGTGAAGAGGATCCGTAACGAGACAAGTAATCCTACTGAGCTCACCGATGAACTAGGCCTGCTTCACCCTTCATTTAGAGCTGTTAAGGTATCAAATTCTTAGTACATGATCAGAAGGGGTGCTAAAGGGATTCAATATTAGCTTTTATCTGTTCTGGTGGCTCATTTTTTTGTTGACGGTTTCACTTGTAGTAGGTGTTATATATATTGTGGTAATTGCATATTACTTGCCGTGGAGCTCTGGTTCTTGTATTACTTCATTTTTCACATTCTTTTATGTGAAATAGTCTTAAAGAAAGCAATAGCCTAAATTCAATTATATTATGTTTTGCTGCGAATGTTGATTATATTTATTTTGTTGAGGCAATCCTTACTAGTTCGTTGACAACTAATTAGCTCCCCTGATTATTAAAGTATAATTACTACCATATACGCCGAAATTGCCTGTGAGGTTGCCTTGTCTGTAATTAGATTCTGTAATCCATCTTTGAATTCAGTATGCCGCTCCCATTTATTGTGCAATGATCAATGTAATTTATAGCACCACAGAATCAATGAGTAGAATTTGATTATTTGTCTATGTTGGGTTCCTTAAATGTATTCTAGTAATGTTTGCTTGTTTCGGTTGTTTGTCTGTTAGTTGATTCTTTTGTTATCTTGTGGCTCTAGACAGCTGTTGCAATGAATTTATTCTACTTTTGACTTTTGATAGTCTTCAAATCTTACCTTCTATTTCCTATTGCAAATGACATTTGTGGCGTGTAACTGAAGACCATGCAACTTATTACGTTTCATGAAAGAATCTTTCTTCTAGGGCTTGCTCTGCTTGAAGTTTCCTGAAAATACAGAAAATCTATGGAACATTACACACCACAAACCCGATGACTGCAAATGTTCACTGTAAAAGTAATCTAAAATTAACTTCTATTGTTTAGTAGTTTTCGCCTTTTGAGTTTGCATGTAGAAGGAATGGTTGTTTTGATGATTAGTGGTTTGTAGAGTAAAAGTAAACTTTGAAAAGTTGCTAAATGAACTAAGCCTGTGAGCTCTGAGCTGCGATTTTGCTGCTACTGGATTGCATTAGCTAGAGCAGTATTTGAGAGTGACTTATAGTATTCTGGAATACGTGGCATAAGAAGAGTAATGAAAGGAACTGAATCGTCTTTTTGTATATTAATTTGGTATAATTGGAACTGTGTCAAGGCATTTCAGATTTTCCTTCATTCTGTTTTCTCCTTTGGTGTGTCCCAAACAATTTGCTTGCCTCTGATCTTCTCTGAGCAGTGCAACTTTATCTTAAGGCTTCTTTCTAATTAAAGTTGTATAAAAGGCAACAATTTTCTTCTATTGAATCGAAAGATTGTGGCTTCGAATTAATTTCCACTCCACCCGATCCTAAAAGCATTCTAAAGATTTAGCTTGACTATTCTTGTTGTCAACCACCTTTGGTTGAAAGTTTAACAGGACTCCTGTTAGATGTCTTCTTGGCTGTGTATTGCAGTATTACCTGTTGATGTTTTCTTTAGTTTTAGTCTGAGGATAAGTTTTAGCTGGGAACATAGTTTGCACTATTATTGTTGTCAACCACCTTTGGTTGAAAGTTTAACAGGGCTCCTATTAGATGTCTTCTTGGTTGTGTATTGCAGTGTTACCTGTTGATGTTTTCTTCAGTTTTAGTCTGAGGATTAGTTTTAGCCGGGAACATAGTGCTTTTATGTGTCAGATTTAGGTTAGTGGTTGATTCCTATCATAGCTTTGGATGGATAATGCAGAATAGCCTTTTTGAGTGTAACCTGAGGTCCAGACTTTAAACAGCAGGAATTTGGTTTGTCGATCTCTTCCTGATGTTCTTGAGTGGTTTAAACCGTTGCCAATCATTGAAGCTGGGTTATTGTAGACCGAAACCTTTGGAAAATGTGGCGAAATGGTTGCGCTACTAGATTTGTTAAATTTTATTGGCTATCGTAGCCTGATTGTAATGTGATTGTTCTGTTTTCGAGAATCTTCATTCCTTCTTCCTGCTTGATGTAATAAGCCAGAGTGCAAAATGCTTAAGAATGAGCAACAAGCTCCTTGGTGCCATACTTCTTGAGCAAAGACCTGTCCATTACTTGACTTGGACATAATAAAAGATTACTAGAAGTACAAGAGACTCATGAAGGCCATTGATGGAGGTATAAGAATACTGCCTTAATTGTCCTCTACTCCTCTGTTTTAAGACGGAAATTCATTAGTGTTACCGTCTTAAAATAACGTGTTTTATGTTAAACAATACTACTATCCTTTACTCCCTCCATCCTATAATTATTGTCCAGTTTGAGTTTTCATTTTTAGTTCAAATTATACTGAAAGTTAAATCTCAAACTGGACAATAATTTTAGGACAAAGGGAGTAATTTTTTTTCTTGTAAATTGTTTCAAAACACAAAGATTGCCGCTTGACCACGGATTACATTTTGATTGCTACTCTTTTAAGATCCTTACCATTTTGATCTTTTGTTATTTTTTTAAGATTCATAATAATATTGGATCATAAAATACGATCCTTACTCGCAAAAGGGACAGGTAAAAGTAAAACTACCATGAAAATTGAGTCAAATTCCCTGGTCGAATATGCATCCCACGGGCAGAATAACTCGTTTGTCGGCAAAAAAATAATAATCAAAAAATACTATCACTTGATCGAAGAGACAAGGATAGGAAAACAAAAAGTAGGAAAAGCGTTCCTCAAAAGCAAAAGTAAAAACACTACCATTTTTTATATACGTAATTCCTTTCATTCTATTACAAGATGGTGCTTCGCATAAACTAAGGTGAAACTCTCACATATTATTTACTTTCTATCTTGAAATTATTGTTCAGTTTGATTTTTTTTATATATTAATTAAAAGTAAAAAAATCAAAATGATCAGTAATTTTAGAAGGGAATAACGTAACATTAGTTAGGAAATTGAGGAATAGGAAGGTAAGAGAGAGATTCGAACCATGTACCTCTTGCTGCCCACTGACACTAATACCAATTTGATTAAAGAGACAAACATTGTTGAAATAAACTAATCAATAACAATTGGCATTTATTCCATAACAAAAACAGAAATGGAGACAAACATCTGCAGCTAGGACCGACTCTCCTCATCTTTCACAATTGGTAGAGATTTTTTAATTTGAAACTAACTGCCCGGGCACTGATTAACATGTCTAAAAAAAGAGTATATATATAGAATAGAAACAAAAAAGTATTTTGCTATGATAAAAAAAATTAACTTACCATAAATTAAATTAATCTATGATAATTTTAAATATAAGCATAAAATTATGAAATTAGTCCGATTGTCAATTTTTATTCTAATATTTATTTTTAAAAATAGATGCCCAAAATTTATTGACCCATAAAATTAAATTAATCTACTATGATAACTTTAAATAGATGAGTAAAATTATGGCATTCCTTTATAACTCTTGAAAGCAACTATCACGTAGCTTTTATGGAGTTTAGGCGGAAATTTTTTTTTTTTTTTTGGAGCTGTCACGTGACTTTTGTGATAGCTGCTTTCAATAGGTAATAATCCTATATATTAAGAGAATAAGCTTTTAGGACACGTGTCACATAATGAGATATCTAATAAAACCTTCATAAAAATTAGACTCAATTAGATATAATAAATTTTTATTGTAACAACTTAATTTTACTTATTTACGCATACACCTGATTATTTAACCAGGTAAAAAAACAAAATAGCCCTTTCACTTAATTACATATATGTCTCTACCGTTAATGCAAATAAACATGGATGAAATTTCAGTTTCACAATTGTCCTATCCTTAACTATTTTAGGTATGTATTGATTATCCCATTTCAAATACCATTTTAAAAAAATCTTATGACCCATAATTCCGTTCAGATTCAAACTACAATTAATGCGCCAAAATTTCAAAATCACTTTCCCATACTTACTAAATCATAAAATGGAAATCAAAATAATTAATTATTATTGGAAGCAAAGATTAGGCGTTACTTATGCGGCTTATGTGATTCAGGAATTTACGCAACGTAAACAATGCCCAAGTCCCAGACCAATCTTTCCAAAAATTATTCCATGATTACTATTTTTTAGATAATTATTAAATTTTCTCATTCTTACTAAATCAAAAATTTGGACATTCTTACTATATCAAAAATTGAAATCAAATTAAATCTTTATTAATATAATCTAAGCGCGCCAATCATGGCACACAAATTTCACGGTTTGACCACATAAATATTCCCCCCTAATCCGAAAAAAATGGTGCATTATCCAAATAAAAAAAAAAATTACGGAACTTTCATTACCTATAAATATTTAGCATATGATTTGAATCAAAACACACACCAAAATACACTCACATCCATATTGGTTTTGTATATCATGTCTTCTAAATTTAATTTTCACAACGAGCTCGATAATAGCCGAGGAGTTGGATGGAATGTCCGAGTTCGTCTTCTACGCGTGTGGACAAAGATGGATTTCAATGATGATAATGAAATCTCCATGATTGAGAGCGTCTTAATCGATGAAAAGGTATATTGCACTTATTATTAAAAAGTATTTTATATATATATATATATATCTAGATATTCATATATACACACCTATCATTGTGATTATTTGATTACTAAAATTTTATTTTCTTTGTTGTATTATTATTTCGCAGGTCAATAGGGTCGTTGCTGAAATTAAAAAAGACCTAATATACAAGTTTCAAGATCCCATGAAGGAGGGAGAGTACAAACAAATAAGTCATTTTGGTACGGCTACTGACAAAGAGTTCCAAAGATATAGTGATAACAAATACAAAATAATATTCAAACGCAGTATCAAGATTGCGACAATTCCTGAGTTTGTGGATCGTCCTTATATTGGTGAATATGGTTTTCAGTTCCTGAAATTTGCTGACATCATAAACAAAAGGGTGAATGAATCTTTACTGATAGGTGCATTATCTTTTCTACATTATATATGACTCCACAAGTATTACTTAATATTTAGACAAAATAATCCAATAATTCTCCTTTTTCCAGATGTCATAGGTGAAATAGTGGCTGTAGGCAAAAGGCAAAAAATTCATCTAAAAATTATTAAAAAAAATTCCCGCTCAAGTATATTGAAATATTTTCACATCCCGGGCAACGCACGGGTCCACCACTAGTATATATAAATAGATTATATTATTAATTAATTTTCCGCTGGTGTTCTACAAAAATTATAGGGTACACAATTTGCATTAAAAGATTTATTAGTTCTCTTTACAAAATTTCGTACTTTTTTAAAAGGAGAAGAATTCCTCTTCTATAAAATTTCGGACTCCATAAAGTGACATAATAATTTGTAACGTCCATTGTTTCAACCAAAACGTCCAAATTCTTTTGGGATATATAAGAAATCTTGCAAAACATGAAATTATCGCAATATTGTCATACAATAAACCCGTCAACGTTGATTCAACTTGGTCTAATTTTTAATTTCATTCAATTTGGATTTTTGTTAATGGCGATTGAGTTGGAAAGCTCCATACTCCATCCACGAAGCATCCATAAATCCGAAACCTCAAAACTTTCGCGTGCGGATTTGCATTATATTATCAATGTTAAAATCAATACCGTCAAATGGATAAACTTTTTATTGTTTTAGTCTTTTTTTTTTTTTTTTTGAGGTTTTAAGTTCAAACATTAAAGAGGAGCTGGATTAGATTTTGCCTATATATAGTGTCTTTCAACACAGCATTCCTCCAACCTAATCACAAACAAGTCAATCAATTTTCTCTTCTTCGAATTATCACAATGGGATCATTTGCTTTCTCTGTTTTCTTCTTCCTGATTTCTTCCTCCATTGCCCAAACAACATCTTTTAGGCCTAAAGCTCTTGTTCTCCCTGTGACTAAAGACTCAAAAACTGGCCAATACATCACCCAAATCAGCCAAAGAACCCCTCTTGTTCCTGTCAAACTAACAGTAGATCTTGGTGGCCAATTCTTGTGGGTAGATTGTGAACAGGGCTATGTTAGTTCATCGTATAAACCCGCGAAATGCGGCTCCGCTCAGTGTTCACTTTCCAGCTCTAAAGCTTGTGGTGATTGCTACGATGGTCCTAAACCAGGTTGCAACAATCACACATGTGGCCTGTTTCCATACAACAGTTTGACTCATGTTACCACAAGTGGAGAACTTACAGAAGATGTTTTGTCGTTGCAATCAACTGATGGATCAAATCCAGGCCCTATTGTGGTAGCACCAAAAGTGTTGTTCACTTGTGGATATACATTTTTACTTGAAGGTCTTGCTAATGGAGTGAAAGGAATTGCTGGATTAGGAAGAGGAAAAGTTGGTCTTCCATCACAGTTAGCAAGTTCATTCAGTTTCTCCAGGAAATTTGCTGTCTGTTTAGGCTCAACTGGTGTTATATTCTTTGGTGAGAGCCCATATGATTTTCTTCCTGGCAGAGACATTTCTAAGTCTTTGAGTTACACTCCACTTCTCATCAACCCTGTCAGCACTGCTGGTACTTCTTTTGAAGGGGAGCCTTCTGTGGAGTACTTTGTTGGGGTGAAATCTATCAGGGTCAACGAAAAACCCGTGTCGATAAATACGACATTGTTGAGTATCAAGGATGGGAATGGTGGAACCAAAATCAGCACCGTTAATCCTTACACTGTCATGGAGACTTCCATCTACAACGCTTTGACTAATGCTGTTTCCGCGGCGTTTTCTGGTGTTCCTAGAGTGAAACCATTGGCGCCTTTCGGGCTGTGTTTCAACTCAAGCAACTTAGGTAGCACAAGAGTTGGGCCTCCTGCTCCAATCATTGATTTTGTGTTCCAAAGTCCAACTGTTATGTGGAGGATTTTCGGGTCGAATTCACTGGTGAGGGTGAAGGATGATGTTTTGTGCCTTGGATTTGTGGATGGAGGTGTAAATCCAAGAACTTCGATGGTGATTGGAGTTCATCAGATTGAAGATAACCTTTTGGAATTTGATATTGCAAGATCCAGGCTTGGTTTCAGCTCAACACTATTGTTCCAGCAAACTACATGTTCCAACTTCAACTTCACATCAAATGCCTGAAAGATGGCCTTTCTCCAAAACACTTTCTGCAGAACAGAAACCTTCCTGCAGACTTTGACTTTTTCATTACATTGGATCGTAGTTTGAAATAAGTTCAATTGAAGAACAAGAATGTTGTCCTAGCACATTGAAGCTGGTTTGAACAGAAGTTTTTGTAATAATAATGAAATCATTTATTTTGGCTCCAATTGAAGTCTTTTCATTTTCTGGATTAGAAGAGTAATAATAATAAGAAAAAGCCTACAAGAGAGTTCGAACAAAGGGCTTAAAACCACCCACCAACGGACAAATAAAAACAGAAGCTACCGCGGAGCCAGGAGATTAGTCACTGTAGCCGACGGTGAAAAAAGAGGGAAAAATCCACAGCATCAATCGTAGAATACAGGAGTCATACACAGGACTTCTCTTCTTGTGTTCTTCTTCTGTTTCCATTCTTCAATGCCATCACAGATTCACCACATTCATCAGATCATCTGAACTAGGCACAGATTGCAGCTTTTCCCAACTCTTTAGCTTCCATTACAGACATATCCTGACGAAACCCAGCGCCGGAGGTAACCATAAACAAAACTTCCGCTGTTGCCAGAACCTCTCCAAACGGTTCCTGTATAAGTCCGTTTGTCCTTTTTAAGTGCTCCGGTTTCCCTTCACGGTTCACATGATACAATACCGGAGAACCCTCTTCTTCAATTCCTCCGATCAATATTCTGATACACATATCATATGATACAGTCATACAGAGTCAGCCACCGCCATTGCTGCCTCTGCAACACCCACTCTTTTTCGAATCGGCGGCACTTCCTTTGCAAATAATTGATCAAATTCTTCTCTCCCACCGGAAATTGCAGCAACCATGACAGAATTGGCTTCAATCTATGTCCGGAACAGAGGAATTTGAACAGTGAGAAGCAGATACCATAATCCCTTGTGGTTCCCTTTTCTGTCCGACGGCATAAACCACTGGCTTTTCCTTCTAGCATCCAGATGATGGATTCTAAAGGGCGGAGCGCCGGCAGGATTAATCTTACGACCGGCCGGCCGGCTTGTTCCCGGTGGTTTCCACCTTCTGTTCGACCCATTCAGATCGGGTCTTTCCCATATTATCCACCTTTTTGGAAGAATCTAAATACGTCTCCATCGATTCAAAGTTTATCCTGAAGGGTTCACGTTCCCGACAGATGATCTTTTCGGCCATCTTCCTTTCCGATACTCACCGATTTCAAAAAAGGGTCGATGTCGGAATACTGTCCTCCACCTTCTTCCGGCGAAAAATTCAGGGGTTCAAGCGACGACCCTTTATCGATCTTATTTATGTTTCTACTCCAAATGAAAGTAAGTTTGGTTCCTCAGTGCGAAAAAACAACGCAAGGATAGTAGATACATAAAAATTAATGCTCCGCATTTTGATTTGTCTTAAATTTCACTTAGTACGCATTCTTAATTATTAACAAAATCTTAAAAATATATATGTATACATTCGTTGTGTTATATTAAGGACATGACAAAGTACTATGTGATGAGATTTGAGACAGTTTGATACCAATAACAATAATGATTTATTAGTTCGAATTCGACATAATTGAAGCAATGTGTTTAGAAAATTAAAATACACTTTTGTGTATAATAACATGTTAGAACATGAAAAAAGCAAACAAAAATAGTACCATAATTGTTCTGACTCACTACACTCTACACCATAGTAGTTTCCACTATAGAATTATTTTCTTTAAAAAAAAAATTATTTCAATCTCGATTTAAAGTTTTTGAACGTTCAGAATCATTTACTTCTTCGTGTTACACTTGCACATTTATAGTTATAATTATAATGACAAAACATGTTTTTGAAAACTAAATTACCAAAAGAAAAATCCAATATCTTACATAAAAATTGTCATATGCCTTCCCTTATTAATCCATATATCTATCTATCTATTCTATAGTATATTATAAAGGAAACCAGAGAGAAATTGGTAAATCCTTCATGGAGTGCCACATAAGAAAAAAATTCTTACGTGGCATTATTCTATTAATTTAAAATAAAAGAAGTTTGTGTAATAACAAATAAAGTCCTCATAAATTTAACCAATACAATTTAAGTATAATATTAACTTTTTTAGTTTTTTCCATACCATTATAAAATATAATACTCCCTCCTCCCATAATTGTTGTCCAGTTTTACTAAAATGAAAGATTTTATTTTTGGTCAAACTTAACTATATTTTACCTTAAACAACCGGATATACCCCTACATAAGTAATTGTTTAACCACTAAGATTTTATGGATAATGTTTTTTACTAAGGACAAATGTGTAACTTGATCCATAAAATGTCAAATTGGACAATAATTTTGGGACAAAATTTTTTGGGCAAAGTGGACAATAATTATGGGACGGAGGGAGTATCACCTTTACTTTCATCACCACTAAGATTAATTTTTTTTACAATTTATACAATATTTAATTTGACGTTAAATACAAATTTATATTTTTTATTATATTTGAAATTGCTCTTATAATTTAGATTTAATCATATTATATATACCATCACAACTCATTTGTGTTTGTTACAATTTTATTTTTTCGATGATTTAACCAGATTGTATTAAGATAAATCCGGTGCATCGCACGAGTTTAATATCTAATTCTATATATGTTATATTCCACCATGAATATTCATTATTCACAACACGAAGTACAATTTACACAAAAAAAAAAGAAAAAAAAAGAAGAGGAATTTACTAAAGAGGACATCATTTTAAGCAAATTGTCTAAAGTCGACAACATTTATGTTGATTTTACACTTGTGGCATCGGGCCCAAACTCCACAGTCCACCAGTTACGTCACTAGTCACCTTCTTCATCATCACTTCTCTTAAACCCTAGTTATATATCTCTCTCCTCCTATACATTTATACACTGAATATACACTTTGTATACACAGATACACTTCATTGGTGCTCAAAATTCTTTGGTGTTAAAGGGATTTCAGAATTAAATTTTCTCAGTAGTTTGAAAAATGGAGGTTGCTTCAGAAGCCGGGAAAAAGCCAAAGCCGAAGCAAAAGCCAAGGAGTGAAGAATTTACCTTGGCATCAATACAGGAGCTACAATCTCCATCTCCTTCTTCTGGGTTTTCCAATTCTTCGCCGGTGAAAGCCCGTTTCAGGTTGGATAAAGGGGGTCTTGTTGAGCTCCGCTTCGAGCAGGAATCAGAACCCAAATCATTGATTCAGCTGGACCTTAATAACACTCAGGCCAGTAACAGTTATTCTTCTTCTTTTTTTTTTTGTTTCTTTTTGGGGGTGATTCATTGTTGCGCAATTTGTGATGGGCAGACTTTGAGGTTTGATTTAATGTAAAATTTATGGGAAATAAATTTCTAAACTTTGGAATTTTTTTTATTTTTTAAAATTTTCTTAATGATTCTTTTATGTATGTTCCAATTTCTGGGAGGTATGTTTAGAGAAGTGGGAAATTCTCTTAGCTTCCACTTATTGTTGTTTTTGGAAAGAGATGTTAAGCTCAGGAGACAGAACATTAGATTTTTAACCTTTGATGATTATCTTCTTCTGCAAAGTTCAACTTTTATGAGGCGGGCACAGTTAATATCTTGTTTTCAATGCTAAATAATTCTAAATATAGCACATTGTGGAGGACCGACATTACGTTGTACTGATTTTGAGTTTTCCCCCTGTTTCTCTGTCTCAGATTTTTAAACTCACTGCAGTTCAATCAGTGTGCATTGAAGAGGGTTCGGAAGTTAATAAAGAGGTAAGAGAGATCTCCTATACCGGTTAATTTTTTATTTTGAACGAGCTCGGCATTATTGTAAAAGTTTGCCCTGCAGTTCTGCTTCGCCGTCTTTTGACTTTGTGATTTGGATTCAGAAAACTTATTCAAGGGGAACCACAATTCAATTTAGGAATGAAGACGAAAGTAGGGCCTTCCATTATGCATTTGAACTATGGAAGAAAGAAGTGGTATCTGAAGGTCAGTCTTTCTTTTAATATGTGGGTTGGCAAAGATTCTATCTTTTATTAGTTTTGACATGCAAACTTGTTACTTTCACTTTTGGAACTTTTCTGTTTGCAATGATGACCAATTTGAATCCGCTGTGGATTAGAACTGTAGAGAAATCTGTGGAAGTAGCTTTTCTTTGCTTTTGTTTGAATAAATGGGTGCTACAGGCTGAAGTGATCATTGATTGTTAAGCTGCATTAAGTATCCATACGGTATTGATTTGTCTTGTCTCTCCAGGATCACATTTGCCCAATGGAACCATGACAAGTTTGAAAAGCAAATTTGATAGCAAGATAGAAGCATCTTCAGCTAAGATGTACTTCCATTACTATGGACAATTGCTACATCAACAAAATATGTTGCAGGATTACGTGAGAACAGGTTAGCTCCCATCTGAAAATTGATGAAAATTGGGTTTTTTTCACTAAGGGGTTCCGTTAGTTTACATTATATTTGAGCTAGATTTTAGTGCTCAATTAAGGCGAGCCCGTCTTTACCATTTTTGTGGTTGTCCTTTTATTAGTATGGTTTAAGTAAACAATAGAATTTGGCTTCTACGCGGTGAACTTTAAAGAGCAGTGCTTACTTTTTCCTATGCTCTCTTCAAAACTTAGGAGTTAGGATCCTCATGTTTTAAAGAGTTGAGCCCATTCTGAAATGTTTGTCAGGGGATCTATCTGATTGTATCTGAAACTTGTTATCAAAGGTGTTCTGCGCAAGGGATACAGTTCCTTTCTTTCCTTTTACTTCTTGAGGCACTAATATCATCGTATGCATTTTCAGGAACCTATTATGCTGCAGTAATTGAGAACCGTGCTGATTTCATAGGCCGGGTAGTTGTTGATGTTGGTGCTGGCAGTGGCATTTTGTCCTTGTTTGCTGCCCAGGTATTCCTACACATATGAGCTGGTCTCAGAAATGTCCTTTTTGCAATGAAGTCTTCTTCGCTTCTGTTCTACTTTTCTCTCCCTCATCTTGATTTCTTTTTTTGCCAACTATGTGTCTGTCCCTTTCTCAGGCTGGGGCAAAACATGTCTATGCTGTGGAAGCATCTGAAATGGCTGATTATGCCCGTAAACTGATCGCTGGAAATCCATCACTTAGTGAAAGAATTACAGTTAAGTATCTGTTTTGGGAAAACAAATGTTATTAGTGATTCTTATTGTTGGTTCGCCCTTCCATTTTATCGAAGGGCTAACATTTCATTTGTATTTTAGGTAATCAAGGGAAAAGTTGAAGAAGTTGAATTACCCGAGAAAGCTGATGTATTGATTTCTGAACCAATGGGTAAGTTAGCCCTATCACAAATTCGTAATCATTATCTACTAAACCTAAAAGATGTGGTTCTTTCTGGCGTAGATTTGGGGCTAATGATTTGGTATTTTAACCTACCTACATTTCTCCTGTTTCCCTCTGAATCTTGTATATTTTCTTCTTTTTTTTGTTTTGTTTTGCTGTGTTTATCTGTTTTGGTTTTATATTTTTGCTCATAGTGCTAGATTTCAACCTCAGTTTGATTGTGGAACTGTTGGTGAAGAATTGGGCTTGTCTCTTTTTTGATAATTCATGAGTTTTATAGTATTAGTAAATTCCCCTTCATGACCTCTGGCTTTCTAATCTCTGAATCTTCTATAAAGTATGAAATTGTTTTCATGATAGATTGTTTAACTGTTTGATTACCTTGTCTTTTTTTTTTCTTTCTTAAATAAAAAATTAATGTTGTATTTGGTCATATTATTGTTGGATAAATTTTACATTTTTTGTTCTTAGCCTCCTTAAATGCATGCCAACATCATGAAAACTGACAATTGTCTTGTAGCGTCTGATGAAACTATGCTTGCCAACTATGTGACAGTGGATTGTGTGCTGCAGGCACTTTACTGGTCAACGAACGCATGCTGGAATCCTACGTTATTGCTAGAGATAGATTCCTAGTTCCAAATGGGAAAATGTTTCCTACAGTTGGGAGGTAAACCCTGCTAATTTTCCTGGTGATTAACAATATTCTAAGTTCCTAGCTCCACACTAATTAATTAATCCTCCAAATACTATCTTCAAGTACTTGAATCTTTTAGTTATGGAAACAGTATCCTTAACACTAGTGATGTTACATGTTTGTGCACAAATAAAAAAGTTATGCGCCTTTACAATTATATGTTTCCGCGGTAGAGCATTCAGTGCTCAGTTGAACAATTTTCAGTGGTTATTTTGAAGAAGCAATCTCTGTACTCTTCCATTCTTCTTCACTTGGGAAATTCCTTGCTGTGTAATATTTTGACAAATAAGTGACTTGTGGTGGAATGGTTTTAAGTATGGGTGAACTGTTTCCAAGCATGATAGCTTCTGGTATCTATTTACCTTGATGCTTTCCAAGATATGTTAGTTTTCGTAATGTTGAGCTGATGAGTTAAATGTATGTGCTTGATCTTGCAGAATACACATGGCTCCTTTCAGCGATGAGTATTTGTACATTGAAATTGCTAACAAGGTATGGATTTCTTGTCTATATTCTCTGTCGATTTCTGATTTTGGGTAGCTTTTATATGGACCCACGATAAATATATGTACTTTCTTCAAAATCCAGATGTGGTATCAGGTACTGTAGATCTGTATGTGTTCTTTGTGATTTCCTTTTTGGCTGGTTCTTTTGTTTGGTGGAGTACAAACGTATGTTAATCGTGCAAAAAGCCCTAAACTGTTGCAATTAGTTTGGTTGTAATAAGGTTTCTACCACAGATTTGTTTATAGTCTTGCTCTGGGTGAAATTTAGAGTAGTGGAATTTGGGGTTTGATGCAAGTTCCCATTTTAAAATTTGGTATTTCTGTCAAAGGAATGGGTCATAATATCTTTGAGGGAGTCTAGTGTCTCATTTTAGTTAGTGCTACCTATGCTTAGATTTGGTCATCATATCTGTGCTGATGCCAGACTGTTGTTAAGAAGTTCCTATGGGTTGCATTTGGATGTATCATTTAGTCGTTTTTCTCAACGTGTTGAATGCTTTGTTTTTCTTTTTTCTTTGAATATTGTGCCAATTCGTGGTGGTTATATTTCTTTGCTCCTTGCTTTTCAGGCTCTCTTTTGGCAGCAGCAAAACTATTATGGGGTCAATTTAACGTCGTTACATGGATCAGCATTTCAAGGATACTTTTCTCAGGTCTTTAATGCACATCTGTGGATTGTTTTGAAGATCTATATCTATGTCAATTTTTTCCTTCAAGCGTATTCCTTCTTACTGAAAGGAAGAATGACATTGGTTCTGTTATTTGTTGCTCTTACAGCCAGTTGTTGATGCTTTTGATCCAAGGTTATTGGTGGCACCTGCAATTGCCCATGTTATAGACTTCACTTCTGTAAAGGTATTTTCGATCCATGAAACTTAAATGCTTGTGTTGTTCTGGCATGCAACCCAATTTCAATTGCTACAACTCATTAATTCCCTTATGTGGAGTAGTCCAATGATACCTTCAATTCCCAATGTGAGCATCAGAAGTTTACTCTTTGTTAGCATGTTAATAAGGCGAACTATAATTCATTATTCAGGAGGAAGATCTCTATGAAATCGATGTCCCTTTAAAGTTTGTATCATCAGTTGGCACCAGGATTCATGGATTGGCTTGCTGGTTTGATGTTCTATTTAATGGAAGGTGATTGTTTGAGAATCTGTAGATTTCAGAATTCTTTTCTGTCTATTTTTTAAAACTTAATCTTCTTGAATTTTTTCTCCTGCAGCACTGTGCAGAGGTGGTTGACCACTTCACCTGGTGCCCCTACTACCCACTGGTATCAGCTACGTTGTGTATTAGCTCAACCACTTTATGTCATGCCAGGACAAGAGATAACTGGCCGGCTTCATTTGGTTGCTCATACTGCACAGAGCTACACAATTCACCTGACACTTTCAAGTGAGACTACCTTGCTCATTTTTTTAGCTATAGTTTTTATCTCTGATCCCCCCTCCCTTTCTAAAATTGTAGCTTTATCGTTAATTGTCATGTTTTTAACATCATTAACAGCCAAAATGTGGGGCCCTGGTGCTGAGCAAGGAGGAATACTTCAAACTTCGTCGGGCAAACTTGATCTAAAAGAGCCCTATTATCGAATGTCTCAAACCCCCGTGTACCCAGTTGCTCAAGATCAGCAATCACAACAGTTGTTGCAAACACAGGTGATTACCATCTTGCCTGTTCTTTCCTTCTGATATTTTCATGTCTAATCTTTCCATTAAGAATCGGGTGACCGACTTAAAGACATAGGTACCGAGAAAGTAATCCTTGTCCTGTCTGTTTTTGTGCATTGATGATGTATATTGCCGTATTGCTGAGAATTTGTGGTAGTTATGTGAAATTTTTTATGAAAATGTTGAAACTTGTGATGGTGTCAGATATATATAAACAAGTATGTATGCTTATTGTTATTTAGTTTTTGTAATCCTTAAAATGCTTTATTCATATCCGTGTATGATAGGTCCAAGATTCTCTTGGTTCGCGGTAGTACTTGTTGCTTCACTGTCTGCCTTGTTTGATTCTACTATTGCACCCTTTTTCTATATGTCGTGGTGTTATTTTCGTTGTTGCTTAAGGAGAGCTCAATTGCCATGTTCTTAACAGGATATACCCATTCTATCACAGGACGAAGATGGTTCAGATTTGATGCAGCCTCCACCACAACAATCTACAGGTGCTGAGCTCAATTCCCTCTAAAAGCTCTATGGCTGCCTAATGACTTAACGGCCTTTATGCATGATTTTAAACTTTTACCAAATTGGCTGGTCTCCATGTGGGGAGAAAAGCCTTTAGTCCGTTAGTGAACTTAACCTGTAACAGTGCCATTTTTTTTTGGGTTCCTGTAAATCAGGAAAGGAACAATAATTCTAGTTGCATTGCTGAATCTTTTGCCCAAGTGTACTATATAATTCAAGAAAAAATACTAGTGCAAAAACTCCAACGATTTACAGAACAACTTTTATTGTGTCAATACAACCTTTGATTACACGAATAAGAAATGCAGAGGGGAATGAACTATTTATAGGCATTGCTAAACATCAATCTAAACTAAGGAGAAAGAAGAGTGTCTGTATGGGTCATTACATCTCCAAATTGATCAGGAATGCCTTCAACTTTTATATTTCTCCAAACTCCATTTGAGAAATTGTATGCAACCAAAGTGTCACAATTACTTCTCATAACGATCTCGTCATCCCTCAAAAGACACATAGGTTTACATGACCAATGGGGACCAAATCTAGTATAATTGATGCTGGTGAGTTTGATCCAAGATGCTTGCAGAGGATACTCTTTCATCACCCAAATATCCATCATACCATTGTTTGAATCAACGGCCACGGCGAGACTCCCGCCAAGAACAGCAAGCTTGATCTTTTTCCTTGTCGATCCATCAAGCTCGCTAGACGGGGTTGTATGTTCATGAACAACTGTAGGCGGTTGTACTCTCTCGAATTCATCGCGAGCCAAATTGAAAGCGGCTATAACAGGGTAAGCCCTAGTTTCTGGATGGCAGGCCAAACAATGTATGCGGCCATTTACAAATACTCCATTCGCAATATGTGGGCCACCATGATCAAAAACAAGAGAAGAAACTTCTAACCTCTTCCAACTTTCCATTTTTGCACTATAGACATTCACAGAAGTTTCAACCCTACCCGGCTCGTCATAAGAGAGCGCGACAATTTTGTAGTCATCGTTAACATGATCGTATCCTAAGACCATAACAGGAAGTAACATAGCCTCCAGATGAATGTTAATCCCTCTAAAGTAACAGGATTCATCAAAAACTTACCGCGGTAAATATCCACCAGTAGAACCAAACCATGACATGAACTTTTCATACGGAAACTATTGTGTACAAGTGGACAAGGAACCTCACTTGAAACACTCTCTTCATTCATTCTACTAATGCTGTTGTCAACAGATAAGTAGAATTTAGATACTCATTAGCTGCTGGCTACTGTTTGGTCAACGCGGCCAAAAGAAATTTGAAACTTACATAGAGTAGTTATAAAGTTTACTCTATGGCGTTTTTCTTTTTGACTATATATATACTTCATCCGGTCTGTATTATAAAATATTTTGATTTCACCTAAATTTTATTTATTGTATTTCTCTGATTAAACATAAAATCTTAAACATACATTTTTCTATTTATTATCATACTATATTATAATTGCAGAATAACCTTAACAGTTTGGTAGTCTCTCAGTTAATTTTTTATTTGGTTTATTTATTTTTTATTTTTTTGTAGTCCCTCATCTAATTTGGACAAAACTATTTACATTTCTTTTATCCATTATTATTAACTATATATATATATATATATATATATATATGAAGGGAGTTTCTCCCTTCTCACACGTGAAACTTTGGTGGTATCTTCTCACGTATGTGAACGGTTATGTATGTAATTTAAACATTCAATATTTCAATTTTGTTTTTTTTCTTTTTTTTATTTTTCTTTGTCCTTCTATCTACCCCACTTTTTATCTATTTATGCATGCAATCAATTTGTTTTTCATTTTTGTTCTTCGTAATAATAAATTTACCACATCAATTGCTAATTATGAGGGTCAAATTTACTAACTTTTTTTTAATTCTTCAAAGTAAAAGATATATACTTTTACAATACCAATATGTTCAATCTTTTCGAATTCAACTTTTTCTTTGCCTTTTTTATATATTTTTTCATCAAACAATATATTATATTATATACATATTATCAACTATATATATAAAAAGGGAGTTTCTCCCTTCTCATGTGTATGTTTATGGTAGTAGTCTTATGTCACACGTGTAAACGATGGAAAATTTATTAGTAAATGAAATGGGTGGCTTAAATTGCATTTAAGTTCAATTTTATTACCTTTAGTTAATCTCCTCAATAGTAACCGAAAGACAAAAGATCAATTAGCCTCCTCTACTAATTATATTGCCCATTTGTTTTCTTTTAAGTTGTTTAATGGGTTTTAATATGCAATAAATTTCTCTAAAATATAAACAAACCTATACAATATGACGTTCACCTCTTGTCGTCTACTCTGTTTCGCTCTTCTCTTTAAGATTGGTGTAGCACAAGATTCTTTTCAATTGATCATAAGAAACCACATGAATATAAGAATTTTTTTAATCCTTTGATTTTAAAAGTGTATATGATTTTATTGATCGTTTTCTTCTGTTTTGTAGATATAAGTTGTGGAGAAAATAGTATTTAGACAGAGATGGTGATGTTGCATCTAAAAAAGGAATAATTTTTTACTATAAAGCCAAAAGGTATACCGGAAACTATGTTTACAAATTCAATTCTCTACGATTTGCTTTGTTCTTCCTCCTTCTTCTACTTCTTCTTCATGTTCTTCGTTTTTTTTTGGTAATTGATGTATATATACGATTGAACTGTGTTGGGAGTTTTACATGGCATGAGAAGTATTTGGAAATCTTGGAAGAGAGTTAAAGAACAGTGACATTTAGAGTTGAGGAAGTGGACTCATGTGCCTTATATGTGAATTTGTATTCTCTTGAATTCATTAGATTTGAAAAAAAAAACGTGGAACTATTTGTCAATGAAATTGCATTTGCAAATTATTTTTTTTTTTTTGGTATAAAAAGGAGGCATAAAGCCTGGAGTCTACGCTATTACATAGCGGGGATAGGAAATCCCAAACACATCATGAGTAAGTCACGGTTTTACATTCGGGGGAAGCATCGACCATTTCGTGAATCCCCAAGATGTGAGACTGATGCTTGCTAAGCAATCGGCCGAGAAATTTGCTTTCCTATATATATGGTTTATTTGCACTTTCCAGTTCATATTAAGCAGCTCTGTTATGCAATTGATGATCCCATCGTGTGCTGTTGTTGTATTATTACTTTAATTAAAACGTAAACTTCTAGATTATAATATTTTTTCTCTAATTTATTCTAAGGCTCTAAACTATTTCTACATACCATTTACCTATATTACTTATCATACTTAAGCAGTAAATAAGTATTTACCACATAATTTGTTCCTCTCCTCTATTTTCTGAATTAAAGAACTAGCTTGCATCATCATTACATTTCCGGTTGCTCATTGGTGTGGTTTCAAAGGTGACTGATGCAGGAAGATTATTCAAGGAATTTTATAATAATATAATGTAAGGCTTTTTTGCCTCCTCAATCAATAAATATATAGAGTTTATATAGAGAGCAATCAAAATGTCTTTCTTCTTCTCAATTTTTTTTTTCTTTTTAGTGAAATTGATTATACACATTAATAGAACTATACAACAACTTCAATTTTATTTACTTATCATTTTTCATTTTTACAGTTATCACTTTATTATATTTCTATTATGATTGAGGGCGCACACGCGCGAAGCGCGCATGACGTAACTAGTGTTATTCTAATTATTATAAACACGTTTAAGTTTACCCATCTGTGGTGGGGTTTCCGACATTACCCAAAAAAAACATGTTTAAAATTTTATTTTTAATTGAAAGAACACAACAAATGAAATATAAGAGAAATGAAAATGCCTTATAACAAGAACTAGAGTAGGTGGGAATACTGTTTTTTCTGCTGTTATTTCTTTTGTTATTATTTCTATATATTGTTCGTGTTAAATATTTTTCCTAGTTTTTTAATCACTCACGAATTATACACTCTCCGATCCAATTAATAAAACAAACACAAGTTAAAACTAAATTTAGGGCGAATTTGTATATGATTCTGGTGCTCTTTTACACAAATTTCTATATGTATCTTTCATCATTAATCTTGAGATCGAAAGCCAAAAAAATGTATGCAGCCGTTTACAAACACTCCATTGGAAACATGAGGAGCAACATCGCCAAAAACAAAACGAGAAACTCCTAAGTTCTTCCAAGTCTGCATTTTTACAGAATAGATATCCACAAAAGTTTCAACACTACTATTACTACTACTACTTGGCTTATGTTTACGATGATATGAGACCCCGACAATTCGGTAATCATCGTTAGCATTATTGCGGTATCCTAAACCATACATCAAAGTATCAAGGTCTAAAACTGAATGAAATTCAGGAACTTTAACCACTTCTAATGTAACAGGATTTAACAAAAACTTGCCATGGTAGATATCCACAAGAAGAACTAAATCATAATAATGAGACCGACCTTTAGTATGTGGACATTGAACTTCCTTTGAAACATTACTGTCTTTTTTCCTCTGATCACTACTTTTGCTCATGTTGTTGTCATCAACAGGCAAAGTTATGACATGAAGAGAATCAGGATCTAAAATACAAAATGCCGGAGATGTGAATATAAGCTTTTCTGGGTCGTGAAAAATGTGGAATTTTAGGTGTGTTTTGATGAAATGCGAGCTCGATAGCAATGAACGCCATGGTTTTGAAACACACCTGAATCGACCTACTGATTTCGCCGGAAGGCGTGCTAGTACATCGGTGATGAGGAGGTCCTCCGGAAGACTTGAAAAAAATTCCGACATGGTTATGTCTTGATTTCTGGTTTACTACTCTACTGTAGATTAGAGACTAACAAATAATAATGTGTCCTCGTTTATATAAAAAGATTACAACTTTATAACAATATTTTATACTCCTTCGGTTTCATACAAATGAATCAATTTTATTTTTATTTTAATTCGAAGTGTATTTTTTTTTTTTTTTTTTTGGAAGGAAGTAATAAAGAATTTGTACCTTTGACAATTCATGATTAATTAATAAAATTATAGAACTAATTTCTTTTGTTTCGGAAACAAACACTTTGATGGTTGTTAGGATAATCTGGCCTGGGGATTGTATATTCCACAGGAATCTTCAACAGGAGACACATATGACTACATCATGATAATTTAATAGGAGTCGCTTATTCTAAAAATATTGTAATTTAATTTTTCAGGCTTGATTTCTTTCATTGCAAAAAAAAAAAAATGGTTGTTAGGACCTATAGGGAAACACGAGTCCAAAATATATATATTTGGATGTTGGTTGTCATTTTATTTTATTTGTATAGAATTGTAAGTAGAATAATTTAGACAAGATTTGATCAATTATTGATTCACACGGACTGTTGTAATAACTTAACAAAATCATCTATTATCGTTACAACGGTGAATGACGGTCATATATTATCGTCCAGTTTGGGTTTTCATTTCTAGTTATTATTGCCCAGTTTGGATTTTCATTTCCAATTCAAATTATATTAAAAGTAAAATTTTAAACTGAACGATAATTTTGGGAGAGAGAGAGGAGTATATACTTTATTGGGTGATGATACTCCTGAAATCATAAAATAAAGACTTACGCGGCACCTTCAATGAGGCGTTGTTCAAGTCAACTCAAAAGTCAAAAGGACTTCTAACAACCAATTTAGCCATTTTTCATATATAAATATGTATGCTCCATTAATCTCTAATCTGACATGAAAGAAATCAGACCAAAATCATATAAACATTTCTTGAATATCCAGAAATATATCCAAAGCCATAAATCATGTCTGATTACATTTCAAGTCTTCCACAAGACCTCACCACCAATATATTCCTCCGTCTCCCACTTAAATCAATAGGCCAATTCAGATGCGTTTCGAAACCATGGAAATCTCTTTTATGTAGCTACGAATTCGTCAAGGATCACCTGAATTTCCACATTCAGGATGACCCTGAAAGCCTTATCCTCACAATTCCAAGAGATTATATTTTCGCTCCCGATTCTCTTCATATTCTAACTCTACCTACTAGCAAGACGGCCAAAGTTAGAGCAGAAGAAGACCGTTGTTCAAGAAGAGTCCGCTGCAAATTTCTGCAAATTTCCGTCCCGAAATTATTACCCACTTCTGATTTTATTTTTAGTACAAATTAAATTAAGAATGAAAATTCAAACTGGACAAATAATTTTAGGACAGAGGGAGTACATGTTTCCAATAACATTTTCAATTGGCAAATTAAGTTGTCTGCTTGAATGAATATGCACTCTTATCTGGTGATACAAAAGGCACCATTGATCAAGATTCTTAAATTAGAAAGACAGGATATTTGAATATCAGGTGTTAGTGTGTTATAATGATCTTTGAATATCAGCAACTTCCATATCTCGTCATACTCCATTTGATAAATTCATCAATAATAATATCGGGGAACCCTTAATGGCTTAATGGCGAAACGAAACATAGGTGCTAAAACACAGCTTTGGGACATTTTAATGAAGCATAATGATTGGAAATGAAAATCCCACCAAAATGAGTTCAGTAAAAAGATTGTTGAAGTCAATCTTCTACTTTCTTGTTTCAATTTCTTTGGTTGGGTAGGAAAATTTGTACGATCTCTTATTTAGTACGGTTATTAAAACAATCGCCTATTAGATTCCTAGCGTAAATTATGATATATCACTAAAATAGTAAACTTAAACTCTTTATACGGCACCAAATGACAACTTTATTTTCTTTGAGACCTACAATCAAACATCTAGCATACAAGTTGGGTGTCGAAGAAAATTCATCATTTTATCATCTTGGCACCACAATGGAAAATCCCAATAATAACATTGAATTGCAGATACCGCAAATATGGTCATTTATAAAAATATGGATAAACAAAAAAAAAAAGTCTAAACTGTAGTCACTTCGATGAATTTGTGATTTGAACCCACAACCAATTGGGAGTAGATGAAAGTGTCTTGTTACTCTTCTATTTGATCATCAGATTTGTGATTTGGAGATATAAGACTCTCCATAAAGGTCACTTCTTCAAGTCCAATGGAATTCGGAATACCATCAAATTCCATAACCCTCCAAACTCCGTTTGACAAATTATATGCAGCAAATTTCTCACTCTCTATTGTTAGAACAACCTCAGTACTATCACTTAAGACATAAACTACTTTCAATGACCGCAACATTGGTACATCTTCAGGGTAAATAATAGAGAATTTAGTCCAAGATTCTTGCACTCCATAATCTATCATCACCCAAAACTCAAAGACACCATCGCATAAACCAGTAACCATTGCAAGACATCCTCGAAGAACAGTAAGCTTATAAACCACAAACATGTGTTCTTCCACACTTTTAGGAGGTGGTAATTTCTGAAATTCTTCTCGGGCCAAATCGAAAGCAGCTATAACAGATCTCTGATTACGAAATGGAGCCATTTTGGTCTTATATTCACAAGCCAACCAGTGAATAAAACCATTTACGAATACTCCGTGTTTACCATGAAGCTCAGCATGATCAAAAGGGGAGATTGCGAGTTTTCTCCAAGCTCTTGATTTCGTACTATAAACATTCACAAATGTTTCAGCAATGGAATCATCACTAGTAACACGCTTTCGATAATACGAAAGTGCCATAACTTTGTAGTCATCTGTAGTGTTATCGTATCCCAACCCATATGAGATTCCATCGAAGTCTAGTGGTGAGCAAAAATCAGGTATTTTTACAACCTCTAATGTGACAGGATTTGCCAAACAAATACTATAAGAATCGGGATTCATTAGTAGAACTAATCCATGGCACGAACCTTTCACAACAACAAATTGATCATTTGGATGTAAAAGCGGAAAACTAACCTCTTTTGAAATACCATCAATGCTGCTGCTCCTTTCACTTTCATTGGTGAAAAAAGTTAATATGTGAAGAGAGTCAGGGGAATGAACAGAGTTCCGGGAAGCTGAGAGGACAATCTTTTCATCAAGATCATAGAGAAGGTGGAAGTCGGTGTGAGCCCTGATGAACCGAAAGCTTGACAACAATGAACGCCATGGTTTCGAAACACACCTGAATCGGCCAACTGATTTAGCCGGGAGTCGTACTAATATGTCGACAATGAGATCATTTGGAATGCTTGGAGCAAAATCAGACATGACTGTAATGCCTACTGTTAAGCTTGGTTTTTTCGTACTCTTTAACAAAATTTTCCGGGCAGGTCTAAGATTTGGTAGTCTAATTAACTAGTAAGATTCACACATTTTAGTATATCAAAGTCTTGGTCTTTTACATAACTATAAACTAAGCATAAGAAATGAGTTGTCCCATGAGCTAGTGGCATTAGAAAAATTTGTAGTTTCCGAAATCGAGAATTATTTAAGTTATATGCCAGCATTTTTGCAAGCGTATGTAGTTAAAAATAATATATCTCTGATTCTCAATAAGAATATGAAGGTCTATAAAACTTTAGAATCACTTTATACCCTAGAAAGCGATCCAATTGGATTTAAATACGAAAAAAGAAAAATGCAGTTTATTATTAGAAAATAGAAGAAAAAAGTGCAGCAATGAAACTGCACTTGTTACAGAACAGGCAAAAAGATATAAAGTGAACACAATAAACTAATACTTAGCTACACATTCATTGATAAATAACACCTGAAAACAGAATCCCTCTATGATTTAGTTCCACAACCTACAATTTGAACCTTTAAAACTACCAAAATCTGTAAGCTCGGAGTCACCACATGGCTAATGCTTGATCTTCTAGTTCGAAACGACCAAGATTTTCAAGGGAAGTTTGAATTCATTGCTATCATCAAGAAACGAAATGATGCGAAAGAAATTATATGGCCAGTGCACAAACTCGCACTTCTCATATAAAAGGACTTTGCAATTGATATAGTTCCAGTTCACGTGCACAATAGTGAAGAAAGTCAAGAGGATTAATCTGCTCTTTTTTTCCTGCCTGAAATGTAATTAGGAGGCAAAAGACTCTCTTTGAAAGTCAATGTTGCTGTTCCAAAGCAGTTTGGAAACTCGACAATTAAATCCTTCCAAGCGGCTTCCATATCCCTCCAAGCTTCTTCATCATCATCCAAGTCATCTGCAAAATCTGCACATTCTATATACCTCAGAGCTCCATCTAAGCCCTCCGAAAAACCGACAACTTCCATGTCTCTCCAAGCTCCACTTGACTTGACAGAGTATGCATAACCAGTTTCCTGCAATCCTTCTCAAAAAAAAACCGACAAAGGGGTGAAGCGAGTAAAAGCTTCCTTCATATGTACGACAATTGATGCTAAATTTTTAGTCCAGAATCTTGCGCTCCATAATCCTTCATAACCCAAATATCAAAATCATAATTGGATTTTAGAATCAAAGCAAGACATCCTTCAGAAGTAGTCATTAGTCTACCCTCAATCAAATCGCTTTCAAAATTTGGAGGAGGTGGCAGTACATTGTCGAATTTCTCATGGGTCAAGTCGAAAACAGCGATAACCGAGGTTGACGATGAAGTTGAATGATCAGGAGCCAAAAAATGTGCGTATCCATTAAGAAAAACTCCATTCTTAGCATAAGAAGAACAATGATGATAAGTAGAATTCCCCAAATGCTTCCAAGTTCTTGAAATCGTGCTATAAATATCCACATTTGTTACGGGATCATCAATTGAAAAACCGTCACGAGGATACGAAATTAGGACAATTTTGTAATCGTCATTAGTACCATCATATCCTAAAACATGCTCCATGTCACGAGGAACATGATCCGGAGCAGAAGAAGAAGCGAAAGACGGTATCTTGACCAACTCTGAAGTGAGGGGATTCATCAGAAAAGTACAATGTTGACTGATGAGAAGCACTAAACCATGGCATGAGCTTTCCATCTTAGCCCACCTTTCTAGTTGTCCGGCCAAGGAGCGGAGAAATCAATTTCTTCGAAAACCCATCATTGGTTCTGCTTTCAGTGGTGATCAGAGTTGAGACAACAGGGTAATTGTCAGAGGAATCCGTTAGAATGAATTTTTCAGGTTCGTGAAGGATGTGAAAGTTAAGGTGGTTTTTGATGAATTGAGGATCCGACAGAAAAGATTTCCATTCTTTTTAAGCACACCTAAACTGACCCACTGATTTAGCCGGAAGTCGCACCAATATATTATCTATGAGAACCTCATTCGGAATGCTTCCTCCATCAGACATGAGTAACTTCTTTGAATTTCTCATTCGTGATGAAATTTTTTTGGGTCAAATTTATGCTAAAGCACCATGATCTTACCAGACTTTGCGGATGTTGAAGGAAGAAGCTTTTGTGAGTTTCAAAGGCAAAGGGGTAGCGAAGCTTTTATTTTATAAGGGTTTAGGGCGTCAAATAAGTTAGCTTAATATAGGAAATTATAAATTGTGTGAATCGAAGGGGATCAATTATGATAATTTATGTGATTAGCTTCATTATAGGGTTGATGATTGTAGCTATCATATCCTTTATTTTATTTGATTTTTGGAAAAAGGAAAAACATTAAAGGAAAGTATTTTACTGATGACAATATTTGTAGTTTTTCTGTTTCACAGTAATAATTAAACTAATACTCCTTCCGCCCCATAATTATTGTCCATTTTTATTAAAATTAAAGATTTTATTTTTGGTCAAACTTAACTATATTTTACCTTAAACAACCGGATATACCCCTACATAAGTAATTGTTTAACCACTAAGATTTCATAAAAAGTCAAATTGGACAATAATTTTGGGACAAAATTTTTTGAGCAAAGTGGACAATAATTATGGAACAGAGGGAGTAATTAATTTGAGACGAAAAGAGTAATACTTCGTTGATACTGTACGTACAAACTCAGAAAATTTCTTAAACGCTACCTAAAAATGGTCTCAAAAGTATTGCAGCATATAAATTGAACTGAAGTTGGAGTGGTTTAATTATTAATATAGTCACGCGCTGTTTGATAAAATCATCAATTAACGTTACTATTTTCATGATTAATTGTAGCTTATATTATCCGTTGTTAGTGTAAAGTATTTTACATCCGTTTTGGCTGAATGTTTCAATGTGCACCTTGTGAAATTTGAAATATGTGTCCAGCAATAATTTCGAATCGCAAGTCGAGGTTCAAATTAATCATTTTCACTAATATTACCTTGTGTGGTGATACCAAGACATTTTGGGTTTCCTAGCGACATATAATTGCATTGAGAAACATACATATATTGAGGTTGAAGAAACAAACAAGATTGCATTTTCGTGAACTTCAATTACAAAGTGATAATTATGCATTCCCTCAACCACGCAATGATTCTCCGGTTTAAAATTTCACTTCTAATACGTATTTGGTCCAAGAATCTTGCAAATCATAATCTTTCATCACCCAAACATTGATCAAAGAGCGATTCGAAGTGACAACTCTGGCAAGACAGTTTCTGAAAACAGTGAGCTTATACTTTTCCTTAGTTGGACCAACAACATTAATTGTATCTTCTAGGAAGTGGCACTGATCTCTCAAATTCCTCCTTGGACAAATTCACAGAAGCTATAACAGAAATCGCTAATGCTTGATCTTCTTGGTCAAAAACTAGCAAGATTTTCAGGGAAGACTAATATTTTGTACTTCTAGTGTACAAATCACTGCAATTTTATACAACAGCCACCGGAAGACGTTAGTTGGATTCCTTTTTTTTTTTTTTTTTCTGACTTGGAAGATTAGGCTGTGTGGAGTCACACTTAACTACTCAAGTGCTAATTAAGTCCTTTCTTTTTTCCACACATGTTCCTCAAGATCATTGGGTTATATATGGCATGATTCAGTTTGAATTGAAATAGAAAGATTTTACAAATTTGTTTCCACTAATCACAAAATAGGCAGACTGACATTACATGACTGAGTGGTATGTACACAGGTAACAATGTAACATAACTCCTATCCAGAATCCATCCATCAATAACACCAAAAAGAAGCAGAAACCATATGCTTATTCCAGTCTTGATAACCTGCAGTTTGAACCTCAGAAGCTACAAATAAGAGACTACTGTCTATCATTATATGTGATCATCTATCTAATCAATGAAGATTTTGCTTCTGTTCTTCAGTCTGTTTGGTAATTTGGAGACAAAAGACTCTCTGTAAAAGTCATTATTCCATCTCCATATGCATCTGGTTCGTCAACAACTTCCATATCCCTCCAAACTCCACTTGACAGACTATAAACTACCAATTTCTCACAGTCCTTTTCCAAAACCATCTCATCCTCACTTAAAAGACAAACAAGTTTGAATGAACATGCATTTCCATCTGCAGGATAGTTGATGGTAAATTTAGTCCAGATTCTTGAACACCATACTCCTTCATCACCCAGACATCAACGACACCGTCGTATGAATCAACAATCAATGCAAGACATCCTCCCAAAACAATAAGCTCATTAAACACAAATTTACTTTCATCAACACCTATAGGAGGGGGTACTTTCTCAAATTTCTCATGACCCAAATCGAAAGCAGCTATTACGGAAGGATGCCCTTTTGTTTTAATATCACAGGCCAACCAATGTAAACAGCCACTTACAAATACTCCATGGGCAACTTGCGGAACAGCATGATCGTACGGAGAAGCCGGTGGTCTCTTCCAAGTTTTCATTTTTACACTATAAATATCCACAAACGTTTCAGCACAGTCTGGCTCATGCTCATTATCCGTATAAAAATATGAAAGTGTGACAATTTTGTAATCATCACTACTCTCATCGTACCCTAAACCCTGCATGGAAAAACTAATAAAGGGTTCAAAGACAAACCAAATTTTGGTATTTTCACAGCCTCTAAAGAAACGGGATTCACCAAAAACTTACTACATTCTTCATTGTATCACTAGAACCAAACCGTGACACGAGCCTTCCACCTTAGCCCACTCATTCCGAGGCAGAGATGGACAGATCAGCTTTTTTGAAACCCCATTGTTTCTACTTCCACCTCGGTTTTCAGTGGTGAAAGTTAACATAACAGGGGAGTGATCAGATGCATCTGTGAAGATGAGCTTTTCAGGGTCACCAAGGTTGTGAAATGCAAGATGGTCTTTGATGAACCTAGGACTCGAGAGCAATGATTGCCATGACTTTGAAACACGCCTAAACCGATCTATGGACTTAACAGGAAGACGAACTAGTATATCAGTAATAAGGTCCTCAGGAAAGCTTAGAACACAATCAAACATGGCAATGGCTTTCTAGCAAAAATGTCACGGCAAATTTAGGATATTACTAAGGTATCAATCACTAATGTACTAATCACTGCATAGATTTGGGAACCTCTATATTAGTTGAAGTGCTTGATGCTGCAGACATAAAGAACATTGAGATGAAATACTCGCCAAAGTTTTTATTATTAGAAAATCCGAGTACATATAAATGAAGCTTACCAAAAGGATCAATTTATCAGCAAGAAGTGAACTTCAAACTGCAGCCAAAACTACCAGCTGAGATCAATGAAAAATTGAACCAAACCAAAAACAGATGATTGATTTTTGTTCCAATTGCATAACCCAACTACACAAAAGCATCTCAAACAATCCCCCTTACCGGGGAAGTAAAAGGGGCCAAAGAATTTCTGGTTGGCTTGAAAGTTTGGAACTTTGGATTGCTACGCACAAACCCAATTCCGGGGATCGCTTCTTGGTTGCAATAATCTAGCCCAGATGGAAAAGTCTTGAAGATTTAGTGGAGAAAATTAAAGATTCATTGAAGAAGAGTTCTAATATATGAGGCAAATTGGTCATTTTGTAACTAATTAAATGATAACGAATTGGTTCTCTTACATTGTTGTAAATAAATCATTGGGACATAGTATTGCCAACCCAGAATAAAACCCGCCACGGTGATCATATTCCTAATTCCTTTGTCAAATAGTCCCATTGAGTAGGTGTCAATTTCAGGATTAGTACACAAATACTGAAAATCTTGGAAATGTATAGGGATTTATTTATTACTGTAATTGATTGTTTAAGGCGATTCTTGAAGAAAGGCCGGCAAATTTTCATTACATTCACGCTTTAGTGTGTGAAAATGAAATGTTCTGGAGCTTTTTAAGTTGCTAAGTTGTGCTCACAGAATGACAGTTCATGGTCATTTCTATCAGCAGTGGAATATGGTCATGATTAAATCGATCCAATCACTTTAATTGTCCATCGTTTTTGAATGCTGAAATTCAAACATACATTGGATGAATGAAATAGTGAAAATGAGTTGTTAGATTACAAGAATTTTCAAGGTGGTCTAAACTCTAGACCATCTAGTAACAATAAATTGATCATAAGGCTTCTCATTATTACTATAGCAGACCATCATAAACAGCTTTTTGAAGGACTTAGGATCTTCAGGATCAATGGGTTCAGTAGGGAGTTATGCAATAAAATCGAAATAGAAGAATTGTACAAATAAGCTTTGCAGTGATCTTTTTCAAACAAAAAAAAAAAGAAGCTTTGAAGTGATTACAAAAAAGCAAAATAAGCAGAATGATATGAAATGACTGAGACTGAGTACACAATAAACTAACTCATATCTATATAAGTATACATTGATCAAAAACACCAAAAAGCAAGATTCCATATGTTAATTTTCAGTCTGATCATCTGCAATTTGACCCTCCAAAGCTACCAAACAAGGAGATGACAGCCAATGTAAAGGTTTGTACACATCTGATTACATTCTAATGCAGTTTTTCACTTCACATACACAAGAATGTAAATTGCAGACTGGTCCCCTCGGGGACATCCGATAAAATTGGAAGGATACAGAGAAGATTAGCATGGCCCCTGCGCAAGGATGACACGCACAAAAAAAAAGAAAAGTATAGTGGCGACTGCAGTCTATCTTTATGTAACAATCTAATCAATGAGGATTTTGCATCAGTTCTCCAATCTGGTTTGGAGACAAAAGACTCTCTTTAAAAGTCATGATTCCATCTCCAAACACACCGGTCACATCGACAACTTCCATATCTCTCCAACCTCCAGTTGACAGACTATACACTACCAATTTCTCATAATCCCTTACCCAAACAATCTCATCATCCCTTAAAAGACAGGCAACCTTAAACCAGTATGGATTTCTGTCTTCAGGATAGTTGATAGTAAACTTACTCCAAGATTCTTGCATACCATACTCTTTCATCACCCAAACATCAAAAACAGATTCATGTGTATTAACAACAATCAATGCAAGACATCCCCCAAGAACAGTAAGTTGGTTAAACAGAAATTTACTTTCCTCGACATCTCTAGGAGGTGGAACTTTCTCAAATTTCTCTAGAGCCAAGTTAAAAGCAGCTATAACTGAAGGACATCCTTGAGTTTTAGTATCACAAGCTAACCAATGTAAACAACCATTTACAAATATTCCGTGCGCAACATGAGGGATGGTATGATTATAGGGAGAATTCGCCAATCTCTTCCAAGTTTGCATTTTTACACTATAAATGTCCACAAATGTTTCATCAGAATCTTCATCATCATGCTCATAATCGAAATCATAGTAAGAATGTGAGACCGTTTTGTGCTCATCACCATTATCATAGTACGAAAGCGAGACGATTTTGTAATCATCAGTACTCTCATCATACCCTAAACCATACATAGCAACTACAATAGGGTCGAAAGACAAACCAAAATTTGGTATTTTCGCACACTGTAAAGTAATGGGATTCATCAAAATCATACTCCATCCTGAATTGATTAGTAAAACCAAACCGTGACACGAACCTTCTATTTTAGCCCACATAGTCTGATCTAAGATGGGACAAACGACCTTTCTTGAAATCCCATCATTACTACTTCCATCAGTAGTAAAAGTTAAGACGAGAGGGCAATAAAATGCTTCTTTGAAGATGAGTTTTTCAGGGTCAAAAAGGTTGTGAAAAGCGAGATGGTCCTTGATGAACTTAGGACTGGAGAGCAAAGTTCGCCACGACTTTGAAACACCCCTAAATCGACCTATTGATTTAACAGGGAGTTGTACTAGTATATCAGTGAGAAGGTCCTGAGGAAAGCTTGAAGGAGCACAATCAGACATATCTATAGCTTTTGATTTTCTAGTTTAATTGCAGCAAATCTTTGAGGGCAAATGGAGAATTCAGTTCAGTGTACTATTTGGCAGCAAATTTTTAGCTGGATTCCTTGAGCTGTATCAAAAACTATCACATAGTTTGAAGCTTACCAAAAGGGATCAAATTTTTTTTGGCAACCCCTTTCTGCTTCTTTTCTGGGGGAAAGCATAAAACAACAAAAAGAAGTAGACTTTAAGTTAGAATCACAGACCACCCTCTGAAATGAAAATGTCAAGAACATACATAATACATTAACAAAATCAATCAAAGATGATCACTTTTGGTCTAATTGCAGGGCTCAAATATACAGAAGCATCCAAATTGCAGCATAAAACTCTTACCAGTTAACTGAGAGGAGCCAAGAGTTTCTGGTTAACTTCAGAGATCGATTGCTAAGCACAAACCCAACTCCCGGAATTGCTGCCCGGTTGATAATCTTTGCCGGATGGAAAGCTTTAGAAGACTAGTGAAAAAGGTCAACGATCAAGTGATGAAGATCCATATATGAACATATACAGCTTTGACTTTGAATGAGTGAATTTACTGAAGTCATTCTTTAATGAAAGAAGAGTGATAAAAACTAAAAAGAACTCTCTTTTACGTCGTTGTGAATGAGAATCATTGACCTTATTTATGTTGATGAATGATCTCTGCAAAGAAATCGTGTTTAACGTTCCAATTATTTCAAAAAAGCCCGTGTTCATCTCATCCTCTCTTATTAGTCTATTATACTAATACAATTTGTGTGTGCAACATGTAACAGTCAAAAGTTTCTTGAGAAAAAAAACTAAAAATTGATTATAATTAGTGGAAAAAAAAAACAAAACCGAAATTATGCTTAGTTATTTTTCTGCTGCCAATATTTTTTTTCCCCAAAATTTTAAGAGATAATCTTTAGACCTGAATGAAGGTAGATGTAATTAAGCCATACTAATTCATAGTTTCCCGCCTTTTTATCCACAAAAATGGAGATGAAACTCCGGCTCTCTGCAGTTGATTGAAAGCTCACTGAGATTTGAGCATCATTACAACTATTTCAAAGATTTGGATCTTCATGATCAATTTGGTTCAGCAGGGAGCCCGGCAACTGAATTGAAATAGGAAAAGCTTCAGAAAATTATATTCTCCCTACGTCCCGAAATGATTATCCAATTTATAAAAGAAAAAAAAAAAACAAAACAAACAAATGAATATCCAATAAACAATCATTTTGGGACGGAAGTATAAACAAATTCACACACTGATTACAAAATAGGGCACAGCCAAAATGACATTTACAGGACTGAGACTGGAGTACACACAATGACCTAAGTCCCAAGAGCAAAATCAACATATTCATTTCAGTGCGGCAATCTGATGCTACCAATTTTGAAATTCTCTCATGTGTCCTTTCTGAAATACAAACATTCCCATGAAATGAAAAGCAAAAACTTAAATTCTGATACAGCTCTAATTAAGGAGATTTTGCTTCAGTTTTTCAGTCTGGTTTGTAATTAGGAGACAGAAGACTCTCTTTAAAAGCCGTCTTCCGATATCCGTATAAACTTGGAGCATCAGCAACTTCCATATCCCTCCTACTCCCATTTGACAGAGTGTGCACAACCATCTTATCATTCTTGACCAAAACAAACTCATCATCCTTCAACTGACAAGCAACACTTACTGAGCACATATAACCATTGAGGATGGTAAATTTAGTCCAGGAATCTTGCAAACCATAGTCTTTCATCATCCAAATGCCAAACTTGTCATGATCAATATAAACAATCAATGTAAGACATCCGCCAATAACAGTAAGATCACCACACAAAAAGCTATCATCAAAAACTTTAGGATGTGGTACTTTCTGGAACTTCTCTTGGGCCAAGTCAAAACCAGCTATAAATGGATCATAGCAGCTACCTCTTTCATCACGAGCCAACCAATGTACACAACCATTAACAAATACTCCGCTGTCCCTGCTCATGCCAAGAGGATAATAATGAGAATTCGCCGACCTCTTCCAAGTTTTGGTTTTTACACTATAAATATCCACAACCGTTCTACCATCATCTGATGACACATCCCGAAACCTAATGGAAAGTGTTACAACTTTGTAATCATCATTAGTACCATCGTATCCTAGGCCATGCACTATAAGATGACCAGAAGGGTCCAAAGATAAACTAAACTTTGGGATTTTGACCCCCTCTAAAGTAATGGGATTCATCAGAAACTTGGTATGTTTCTCATTGATTAGCAGAACCAAACCATGACAAGAACCTATCACCTCAATCCATTCGATTTGTTTCCTCTTATCATTAGTCCACTTCTTCAGTGGCCACATACTCTTAGCCCATTTGTTAAGCTGCCAATTATCCTTCTCTTGTAGAAGTGGACTAATGATCTTTCTTGTAACCCCATTGTATATATTCTCACTGGTGCTGTCAGGAGCGAAAGTTATGACCAAAGGGAAATTATCAGGTGCATAAGAATCAGTGAGGATGAGACTTTCAGGGTCATGAAGGTGATAAGCTCGGTGTAGTTTAATGAATAGCGGATCGGATAGTAAAGATCGCCATGGTTTCGAAACACACCTGAAACGACCTATTGATTTAACAGGGAGGCGTACTAGTATATCAATAATGAGGTCCTGAGGAAAGCTTGGAATACAATCAGACATAGCTACTGAATTCAGCAAAATTTTCAGGCTAAATTTAGCAAGGTGACTGCAATAACAAGAAGAAGGAAAAGGGTTGAACAGAGGAATTCCCTAACACATGGCAATCTCAGATGTGTGGATTTCAATGGTGGCTAATGAACTCTTTCTTGTCACATAAAAGATTAGGTAAACACTTACTCCAAATGTCACTTATCAGACACAAATTTGTCTAGTATAATACAGCCCAACTTACTCTAATATGTTACCATGAAGCTGCCAAAATCACATAACCTTAAGGCTTACCAAAGTGGATCAATCTGTTACTTTTCCGGCACAAAAAGCATCTAAACCAGCAAGAAGTTAAATCTGAAATTAAAAAGTCAGTGAACAAATTAATTAAAGCAATAAAAATAGAATCTTTCTGGTTCAATCGCAAAACCCAAATATAATAACGATTCTCAAATAGATCTAGAAAACTAAAATTACCTGCAGCGAATTCAGCTGTTGAAGTATTGAAGCTGTTGACTATGAAGAAATGCTGGGGTGGGCTTGGTTGAAAATCGCTGCTAATCAAGAAGTACTTGGAAGATTTGAAACGGTTTTAAGTGCTCTGAGACTGATCAAGAAAATAATTAAAAATGCAGTGAAAAACGAAGTAAATGTAAGGGGACAATCAGTGACTGCAAGAAAGCAAAAAGCAAACAAAAGACTAAGGAAAGAACTTTTGGTTTGTTTTTTGTGTAGGATTTGTATTGTAAAGTCATGTTCATACGAGATTATTATTGTTGCTTTTTCTTCTTTTTTTTTTTTTTGGTTATAAATTTCCGCTCGAACGTGAAAATCAATCAAATAATTTTTTTTCTTCCTTTGATAGTCCTAATTAGGCGTATTTTTAGTGTTTAGTTGTCCTTTAACTAGCATAACACACACAAAATGTGGTAACAATGTCTAACAAAATGGAGCAGAAATACTCCAAATTCCCCAACAAGAAGCTTTCGCTTCCTTCATTTTCTTTAATTTGTAGCTTAGTTCAACAACTAAAATCATATATATAACACGTTTGAATATGTAATCTTCTACATTTTAATAATATATAGTGTGTTCCTCGTCAATGAAAAAAAAATGGCACAGTGTTCAAATCATTAAAAAACAATGGTACCGTGTTCAAATCAAAGATAGTCATTTTTGGTCTAATTGCAGAACTCAAATATACAGAAGCTTGCACCAGAAAACTAGACCAATTAACTGAGGAGTCAAGAATTTCTGGTTGGCTTCAGAGATCGATGATGCTAAGCACAAACCCAATTCCCGGAAATTGCTGCCCTGTTGAATAACCTTTGCGGGGTGGAAAATTTGGACATTAATGTAAAAAGCCATCAGGTCCATTCCATATATGAACACATATACAAGCTTTGACTATGAATGAGGGAATTTAGTCATTTTTTTTTAGGGAAAAAAATTTAGTTGAATGAAAAGAAAAGGAGTTGTAAAATAATTCTAACTATCGCCCCCTCTTAATAAAAATTACGTTGCCCTTATTATAAGACGATTTATCATTTAGTATATTTTTTCAATTGAAAATAAAATGTTAAAAATATTAATAATAATTGGAAGAACATATTAAATGTGAAAATATATTTTTAAATTTTATGTTCAATTAAAATTGAAAAAATTTGGCACGGGGACGATGGAAATGTAAAAGTGATAAAAAAAAAAAAGGTATTACCGAAAAATATTTATTATTAAGGTAGCATATGTTTTGTCTACATCCATAAAATTTAGATACTTTTATTTAAATATAGTTGCCCTTATTATCTGTTTCAGTAATTAAAAAAAATCTCTACCCAAAAAAAAAAATTAAAAAAAATAAAAAATAAAGTGTTCCACATTGACGGAGATTTCAGCCTTACTTGGTGATCCATAAGTTATTTCAGCTCTCATTCTTAGTTATTGTAAATAAAATGAAGCAAAAAAATTTGAGCTATCCTTGGCATTTATAATCTAAAAGCATGGGGAATTTAAAGGAGAAACTGATAGGAATGGATAAGGAATCATATAAATGTATAACACCAAAAAAAAAAAAAATACTCTCAAGATATTGAATGATAAAGCAATTTGAACCATCATGATCCCAGATTTTCTTGCTCACAAATTTTCATCCCAGAAACCTTATAATGTACTAGTAGTTTTTGATATTATTGCGGTCAAATCTCTATTATTATTCCAATTTTTCACATAAGAACTATGAGATAATTTTAACCTATCACTAAAAGATTTTAAACAGCAGGCATAAGCCAACAATATTTTTTTTAAAAAAAAATTATTTTTGGCAAAAACGACATACATATATAAAATAAAATGAAGATTATAACTATAAGGTTGAGCTAACAACCAAAATAGTCGAGCTAACAAACCAAAGCAGTCGAGCCAGCATTATCATTGGTTAATCCTCAGCACGACTTGGTCATGCAAAAAAAGTTTAAATGAATATAAACCATATATGTTTGCATAGACTTTTATGAATTTACTTTACTCCAAAAACTTTATAGGGAACCAATTAGCATGGAAGTTCTTATACTGGTAGTTCTCAATTAATCAAAGTACGACCATGCATTGAGCAATAAGGTAATAGATACAGATGCGAGAAAGGAGAGATAAAGTTAGTTTGTTAATGAGTGATAATGTGATAATTATTATCAACAATATTTCAAAATTAAAATGAAACTAAAAGATAATCGAAGAAGTTTTTGTTTTGTACACGGTAATTACTTTCAAATAAGTGAAGAAAGCAAAAGAGAGTTAATAACAAAATTAGTGAAAATGAATCTTTTTTTTATTAAAGGTAGAGATTTCATTACTCAATGTTGCCATTATAATAGACTTCTATAAATTTACTTCTATAGCGAACCGATTAGCAAGGAAGTTCTTATACTAGTATTTCTCAATTAATCAAAGTACGATCATGCATCGGGCAATAAGGTAATAGATAGAGAGGTGAGAAATAAGAGATAAAGTTAGTTTGTTAATGTGTGATAATTATTATCAACAATATTTCTAAATAAAAATGAAACTAAAAGATAATCGAAAAAGTTTTTGTTTTGTACACGATAATTAATTTCAAATAAGTGAAGAAAGCAAAAGAGAGTTAATAAGAAAATTAGTGAAAATGAATTTTTTTTTGTTAAAGGTATAGATTTCATTACTCAATATTGCCATTATACTCTGTATATGTATGAAATATAAATATAATTTCGATTTGCGAATAAATACAGATCTTTTCATCCCACAAATAATGCAGATAGACAAGTGAAATTCATTTTCTTAGGAAATAAAGCAAAATACATTTGTTTTCCTTATTTCTTCCCCCATACATATAGAATTTAAAAACTTTGCCATTTACATGTTAAATAAAAGTTGTGTACTAATATCTCTTCGTTCACAAGGAAATTCTGTATCAACACTGACTAATCGACTCGGCTCGACCAGAACTTAGTTTAGATATATTATGAGTGTAATACATGAAATACTGTTATTGTGTATGATACGAGTAATTTTGAAATTTTTTTAAACTCTTTTTTTTTTTTAATCTAACAAGTTATAAAAGTAAAAAGGAACCAAAAAAAAAATAAAGAAAAGACCCCAAAAAATACATTCTGCAACATACTCAAAATGGTACAAAAGGTTCTCAAATTCGCGGAAACGCATACATGCTGCAACTTACTCAAAATGGCTGAAAAGGTTCTCAAATTCATGGAAACACATAGGCTAGAAATCTACCATATTCTTAATAGCGGGTTGGTTACACCTACAACCGAAATGGAAACGAGAATATCCAGAGAGGGTTTAATTAAAGCGTAAAATAGAAATAGATAAACAAACAAACATGTTCCATTGCATTATTATCAATTTACTCATTAATATTACTATTTTTAATATTTACCTCAGTGTGAACACAAAGAACATAGAGAAATGGGGTGAGGTTTGAATGATTGTTCCATATACTCCCATTTGACAGGGTGTGTATAATTATCTTATCATCCTTGATTAAAAGAACTTCATGATCCTTCAAGAGAATGTAACACTCGGTAAATACTCTATGGTGAATTTAGTCCAATAATCTTGCACGTAATAGTCTTTAATCACCAAAGCATTAAACTTGTTTTGATCTGCATTAATAATCAATGTAAGACATCCGCCAAGAACAATAAGATCATCAATTGAATCATCAAGTCCTCATTACAAGGCATTGTGTTTTGTCTTAGATTTCACTTAGTATATTTTTTTAATTGAAAATAAATCTTAAAAATATCTTATAATAATTAGGAGAACACAATGAATATGAAAAGTGTAGTTTTAAGATTTTTTTTTTCAGTCGAAAAAACACACTAGGTAAAATTTAGGACAAATTAAAATGTCTTATAATAAGGAAGGAGTATATGATTAACATCTTTAGGTCAAGTGTCCAAATTATTAAAATGTTTTGTGTATGCAACTAAACAAAACGTTGCATGGGGAAAAAGAAAAACTAAAGTTGATAATAATTAATAAAAACCTGAATTATGCTTAATATTATCTAGGGTGTTACTTTTCGCAGTTCAGAAATCACCCACTTACAGTTCGTTTTGGATAATTTTGCCCTGAACTCTTTTTTCTTCTCCAACATACACTAATTACATTAATTACAAATAGATTTAACTAAATTAATTAAACAATAACATAAAACATAAAACTAAAGTAATTATACAAAAAAATAATGATAATAAAAAAATAATATTAAAATAACACAAAAAATTAGAAAAAGAAAAAAGGTAAGGGTAGCCGGCCGTCGAGCCGGCCACCTTTTGAAGGTTGGCCGGTTTACTCACCGGCCAACCAGGAAGAAATGACCGACCCATCGAGTGGCCACTTCTTCCCGGTTGGCCGACAAATAAACCCGCTAACCTTTAAAAGGTGACCGGCCCGACAACCGGCCACCCTGGGCAAAAAGAAAAATTTCAATTTTTTTTAATTTTCTTGTGTAATTGTTATTATTTTTTTATATTTACTTTAACTTTTATTTTTTGTATTATATTTATTGATTTAATAATATTTTTAATTTAATTAAATTTATTAGGTATAATTAATTTATTTTAATAATTAGTGTAGATTAAATGGAGAATTAGGTATAATAAGTTTTTTTTATTATTATAATTTATTTTTTATATTCAAATAAAGAATGCACTAGATATTATATTAAAATTATATGATAAATATATTTTGAGTAGGTTTTTGTAATTAAATATGTGGTATTTAGTTAGTATTAATTTGTAGGCTATAATAATTATTGTTTACGTAAATGAATTAATTATTTTTGTTATATTTTGAGTAAATTAATTACAACTAAATAACACAACATACACTAATTAAATTAATTATAAATAAATTTAACTAAATTAATTGCACAATAACACAAAATATAAAACTAAAGCAATTATACAAAAAATAATGATAAAAAAATAAAAATAACACAAAAAAGTTTTAAAAAAGGTATTATCTAGGTGCCAGGCCGCTTGGGCAAAAAACTTTTTTCAATTTTTTTTTAAAATTTTTTTGTGTAATTGTCCTTATTTTTTATATTTACTTTAGTTTTATTTTTTGTGTTATATTTACTAATTTAATAAAATTTTTAAATTAATTGAATTTATTAGGTATAATTAATTTAATTTAATAATTAATATAGATTAAATGCAGAAATCAGGTATAATAAGTTTTTTTTATTATTATAATTTATTTGTTATATTCAAATAAAGAATGCACTAGATATTATATTAAAATTATATGATAAATATATTTTGAGTAGGTTTTGTAACTAGGTAAAGGTTTAAGAGCAAAATTGTCCAAAACGAATTGTAAGTGAGTAATTTGCGAACTGCGAAAAACAATTCAATATTATCTTTTGTTACTTTTTCAGTTTCCAAAATTATAAGGGAAAATCTTTAGTTTCTAAAATCCTCATGGGAGGTAAATGTAATTAACCCAAACATATAAAGAAGGAGAAGAACCAAAAGCCTTAAAGCTTTAGAGCTGAATCCCCGCCAACATCACCACTCCCATTTTATCCACAAATATGGAGATGAAGCTCCAGCTCTGCACTTGAATGGAAGTCATCCCATTTATCAAACCCTTTTGTTCTCGATTACCAATTTCTCTTACCACTTCTCAATCACAAATGGCTATGCAAAACTCCCCTTACAAGGTATGCAAACTTTTTTTTTTTTAAAAAAAAAACTTCTGTTAAGTACTGTGGAATTGTCAATGCTTGTAAATTTTCTTCAACTTCTTTATTCGTTAATTTGACTAATGACGAAAGGGCTGGTGATTTTGCATTGAAGGATTCTCTAAAAGTGGATTTTTTTTTTTCCGGGACGATTCTATTCGTGGACGATTGAAGAAGCTTATAAATTAATGACTTGTTTTTGCTTCTTTGATGTATTTTCTGGTTTTTTTTTTTTTTTGTACATGGGAAAGTGTTGATTCAGAAGTAATTATATCTAGTCGGGAACTTTGGAGAGTAGAGTTTCTTGTACTGGAGGGAATTCCAGGTGTTTGATCAATTGTCTCTTCTTGTATTTTTCTCAATTTTCTGGTATAGTTAGAATTTAATTATTTTGGAAATTTCAGAATTCGAGTCCGGTTTGTGGCTTTTAAATCAATTTGTTGAATTAAAGAGGTGAAGCTTTAAATGGTTGCAATGCACTTGCAAGGGCACAGTACGTTTAGGAGTCCAGAGTTGTGTCTGATTTCATGGTGAGATGAAAAATATAGAGCTGGAATGTGGATAACAGTGAGAGATATATGTTTCCCTGGAGCATAATAATTTGATTTATTCTTCTTTTTGATCTCGAGAGCCGAAGGGTTCATTCTTTAAGGTGTTCCGATTTGGAGTGTCCAATGTCATTGGCACTTATTTGAATCAAGTATCTAAATTTGACATGCAACTGAAAATTTGAGGCGATTTTGTTTGAAGTCTAAATTCTCCTAATTCTGGTTGGTTTTGGTCTTTTAGTCTATAAATAAATATGTAGCAGAGTTTCTTAGAGTGATGCTTAGAAAATTTCTGATTTCCTGCAATATTTCTACTATTTTCTTGCAATTTTATTCCCAGCTTCCTGCAATGTAAGAGCTTATTAACATACATAAGATAATTTTAATTAACCCGTGTTTGTGCTGCATCTACTTTTGGTTTCAACTGTTGATGTCAATTAAAACTGATGCACTCATTGTAATAACTTCATTGGTGGTATTTTAAGATGCTGGCTCGTATGGCATTACTTATCCCTCACTGATTAGTAGTTTGAAGCCCAATCTGAATATAATCATAATTGATTCAGGGAAAGACTTTGACATCATAGCAGATTCAGTTTTTGCTGCTCTAAACATTAATATATATTCTCTATGTATTTGATCCACCACTATTAAACGTATTAGCTGTCAATCATCGTCTGAGTTTTTTGATTTTAGTAATTGATTTGTTATTTTTGTGTTGCCACAGGTACTGCTTCTGAGAAAATATCCATCTTTCAGGAGAACCACATCTGCTAGCCTTTCATGTTTCGGAAGACGTTCATCTTCTCAGTTCTTATCTCTCTTAAATATCTTAAATGCTAAATATTATTCTACCGGCTCTGAGTCGGAATCCTGTGTATCTGTGAAGAAAAGATCTCGTGGACCTGTTATGGCTGCCAAGAAAAATTCTGAAGGTACAAGATTGTACACGCTCCATAGCTGAAATAATGGAAGCAAATATTTTATATGTTAGCCCTTAAGTTAATCCCCTCTTGATTAAATATTTGTAGCTTCTTCAAAGAGCTTTACTTTTTCTTTGTCCCTTCTTCTTTTTCTCCTTTGGGTGAAAGAGTTGGAGGAGATGAGTAAAAGGGAGAATGATATAGTAGTCCTCAATCTGTAATATCTGTTTTTGGGAAATATTGGGGATATCTATACAAAGTGGAATTGTATTATTTGAATAAGTTCTTAATTTTCTATACAGAAGAAGAGGAGGTACTATGTCAGTACTTGACCTGGTTTGATAACTGAATAAAGTTCTTTTGTACTTTAGGGCTAAAACAGGAAGATGGAAAATACAAACACACTGTGGATCTACCCAAGACCACATTTGGGATGAGAGCGAATGCGGTTGTTAGGGAGCCTGAAATTCAGAAACTGTGGGATGAAAATCAGGTGTTTAAAAAAGTTGTGGAGAGGAATGATGGGGTAAGTCCTAACTTTTCTGTGAAATTCTAAGATTACGTTCTTCGTTTAGCTGATGTTTGAGTTCCATGGCAGGGCAGTTTTATTCTTCATGATGGTCCTCCTTATGCTAATGGGGATTTGCACATTGGGCATGCACTCAATAAGATTTTGAAAGACATTATAAACCGTTACAAGGTAAGCATTCTGTCCTCATGATTTGATGGTATTTTATAACCTAACGCAAAACATTTTGGTCCATGAGCTGCTGTATATGGATGGAATTTGCCATTCACTTGTAGCTATTAATTTGCTAACTTCTGTTTCCTATGTTGGCCATTTAAACTTCCATTTATTCTCTGCTGAATTACACTCTGTTCTTTTACAGCTGCTTCAAAATTATAAGGTTCACTACGTTCCTGGTTGGGATTGTCATGGCCTACCAATCGAATTGAAAGGCAAGTATCAGGACTATTTGATATTATAATTTTCTTTGGATTTTCTCACTCCATTTTCTGTTGCATCATTGATATATTTTGCGGTTACGGAGGATATGTACACAGTCCACAACACGCATATTTAAAAAAAGGATTAAAAACTAGATGGATGTTTATTACTGTTAATACTATATGGGTGGTGTCAAGAGGGTAGAGATACTGCTAGTTTTAAAATCATTACTTGATTTGCATAGTTGTAGCTCATAATTGTAGGTTTGGAATGTATGCAATACGCACACAATGCGTAAATGCGTACTCAAACTGTTCTCCTTTGCTCTTCATGTATTTTGCTTAATAGGAATGCCACATATAGCACCGTTCTAGAAAGCTTCATGTATTTTTTTTTTTCAGAATTATCGTATTCTAATTTGTAAAGCATAATTGAATAGCAATCTAAGAGGTTGCTGGTGTTTGGGTCAGCTTTATTTAAACATGTCAATAGTTCTCGGCTAGAAATGTACACACAATGCACACTCAAGATTTGCTTCTGAAGATTTTATCTGACATCCCAAGTATATTTTCTAACTCAAATTTGTAATAATGTGACTGCATTGTGGAGACTCTTGTGAGACTGAATCTTCTGTGGCACTAGTGTAACACACATTTTTACACTATGTAGAAATATGCCGAGGTCTGTTTTAGTCAAGTAATATATAAATATTTAACTAAAACTCTTTCCAATAATAGTGCCTTCTAACCAACAAGTGAGTTATGCTGTATTGACATGTGATCAACCAAGTTATGATTCGTTAAATTTGATTGAGTCCAAAGATCTTCCAGCGATACAAAACTTTATGCCTTTTATCATTAAACTTCCTCTTGGAAGCCACATTAGATCACCGCTGAATCGCTCTCATGTGTCTTCTTAACTAAATGATTACTTTGGAAATAAAGAGGAAAGTTATAGCTTTATATAAATTGTCTTAGTGTTGCAGTCACTGGATGAAGACGCCAGGAAGGAGCTTACACCAATCAAATTGAGAAAGAAGGCAGCAAAATTTGCCATAGCAACAGTAAAAGCTCAAATGGCATCATTTCAGGTAGTGAAAAACAATTTGAGCTACTAACCTAACTTGTTATCATCAAGTTCATTTTGTGATTCTACCCAATACTTAATTCTTTTAAATAACATCCAGCGCTATGGGGTATGGGCCGACTGGGATCATCCTTACCGAACTCTTGATCCGGAGTACGAAGCTGCCCAGGTGATTGTTTGCCAAGATCTTCTTTAGATTTAGATGTATCTGACGCATCCTCTGGTCGATCAATTTGTATCTTACATTTTTTTACCTTTTTAACACTGCCAGAGTAAATTTCAACGTCCATGCTTTTGCAGTTTTCTTAGTTTACTTTTATCATGTCTAGATCTGATATCCTTATTATGTTTTTAACTAGATCGAAGTGTTTGGACAAATGACCCTTCAAGGATATATCTACAGAGGTCGAAAACCGGTTCATTGGAGTCCCTCATCAAGAACTGCTCTTGCGGAAGCTGAATTGGAGGTAAATGAATATTTTATAAATAAACATCTTCTTCAAGGATTATTTTCCTCTGATCCATTTGCTGCATCCTTTTTGCTAGTTTTCCATTCCCTTCCTTAAAATCAGATGGGCATATGTACTTGCAGATTTCTCTTGTCATTTTAGAATTTTTGAAATTTGAGGCCTTAATATCTCGAGTAGCTTAAAAAACCTCTTGGTGATTACATTTGACTTTTGATTCTGTTTGATTACATGCAAAGAGCCAATGAGGTCAAAACATCTCTAGAGGGGTGGTGTAATTTAGAATCTGCATAGAGTTTCCAATAAATGCAAACAAAAGATTACTTTGTCATACTTGCTAATGTTTACTTGCATTAAATTCTGTTGTAGTATCCTGAGGGGCATGTTTCAAAAAGCATGTATGCCATTTTCAACCTGGTTGATGCTAAGAAGTCGCATGATCTATTGGAGGAATTTTTTCCAAATTTGTTTGTGGCCATCTGGACCACCACTCCCTGGACAATTCCAGCAAATGCTGGTATGTTAAAACATGTATATATAAGCTATGATAATGCCTGCTCTCGTTCTGTAACAATTGTTCTTTTTCTGTTTCTGGTTTTGCAGCCGTTGCTGTGAACGCTAACCTTCAATATGCGGTTGTTGAAGTACAATCCTCTCCGGCTGATGATTCTGCTTCACCTGGCAATGCAAAAAAGAAACTTGGCAATGTTTTCAAACAGCAGGAGAGTCTATTCCTTATTGTTGCATTGGATCTCATACCCACTCTAGAAGCAAAATGGGGCACAAAACTTGTTCTAAAGAAAACAGTTATGGGTTCAGATCTTGAAAGTTCTAGGTCAGTTTCCTATACTGAATGATGGTTGTTAAAGTTCTGGCCACATTTTGTGTTAATTGTGGGCCCACTGCAAAGAAAATGCCAAAAACAAGAAAATCTTTCGAATGGTTCGTTGTGTCCCGGATTTGCCTATTGCCGTCTTGAGTTTACCACAAGAAACAAGTGATTAATGGCTATCCTATTCTATCAGTTGGTAGGGGATGTAAAATGCATGATAATGACATGGACTGGTCGTTAGACTTCTGTTTGTTTGATTAATGCTGTGACTCGTTTTTTTTAGTCTTTAAATGATCACTTGAGGAAAGCAAGAGCTCAAAAAGAAATGTATATATGTGTTCATTGTTTTGTGAGATTAATATCATATCTTCTTTTGGCTTTCTCCAAATCATACATAATCGCTTTATTTGCCTATTTGCATTTTCCAAAGTAAAAGATAGTTGGCATTCATCTAAACAGTTCTCCCAACTGTTGATTCAGGTATGTGCATCCCATTGACAGTAGAGAGTGTCCTATTGTCATCGGTGGAGACTATATTACAACAGAATCAGGTACTGGATTAGTTCATACTGCTCCTGGTCATGGTCAGGACGATTATGTAACTGGCCTAAAATATGGTTTGCCAATTCGTTCACCCGTGGATGATGATGGAAAATTCACCGAAGAAGCCGGACAGTTCTGTGGCCTTGATGTCCTTGGTAATGGTAATGATGCTGTGATTGAATATCTGGACAAGAACTGCTCACTGGTCATGGTAGAGCCATACAGTAAGTTCTGGATCTCCTGCCTTAATTTGGCTTGAATCAGTTCATACAGTAGTGAAATTTCTGATTATATAGAGTTTTAACTTCAGAAACACGTTTGTTTTTCCCATAGAACACAAGTATCCCTATGATTGGCGGACCAAGAAACCCACAATATTTAGGGCAACAGAACAATGGTTTGCTTCTGTGGAAGGATTTCGCCAGGCTGCAATTGCTGCAATTAGCCAAGTTACTTGGGTTCCACCTCAGGTATTTGGTTCTTGAGGCTTGTAATTTTGGATGTTCCATGCTGGAGGTCGAAAAATGCCATTTTCTTTTTGTAATTCATTGAATCTATATGTTTCTCTGCTGGTATGTGGTTTTGCAAATAAGAAAAGGCGTGAAAGAAGAAATGCCTGCGTGCACAAATAGATGAGCATATTGTTTCCGTCATTTTCCTTATGTGCTAGTTACTGCTCCTTGATCAAGTAATCAAAATCTTACCATTTCTTTATTGTAAACTTCTAGGCAGAGAAAAGAATTATCTCAATGACTTCAAGTCGCTCTGATTGGTGTATATCTCGCCAAAGGACGTGGGGTGTTCCTATTCCAGTCTTTTATCATGTGGAGACGAGGGAGCCACTGATGAATGAAGCAACCATCAACCATATTAAATGTAAGGACGTTTTAATGTTTGCAAACTAATATGGTTTTTATGGATGTAACTAGCATTTCCATTTTAAATTGCTTATGAATTATTTCAAGATAAACTTCTTTCATCTGTTGTTAAATTCCAAATTTATAATTTCCCTGCACTGAACTTGTTATCTTCACAGCAAATTTTGCACCTTCTTTATGCTTGTCAATTGTAAAAGTTATCCACTTCATACTCACAGCTTTTTTTTCGTGGTTGCCAACCTCACGTTGCAGCTATATTTTCTCAAAAGGGTAGTGATGCGTGGTGGTATATGACAGTAGAGGAATTGCTTCCTAATGATTATCGTCACAAAGCATCAGAATATGAAAAGGGCACAGATACCATGGATGTTTGGTTTGACTCAGGTAAGATAGAACTGTCTCCTGCTTTGTCGGTTATTTATGATTTTGGCAGTGAGCAAAAATATTGAGACCGCTAAGTTATGGTTTCTAAGACAAATTGGTTCATGGATTTTCCTTCTGTTATGAAGTTTATCTTATGAACTTCTATCTTGGAAGCAAACTCATTTGAATGTTGGTTTTGAGAATTCTCCAATGGCTGGAACCATTTTACCTTCCTCATTATTATCCGGGGCATGATTCTCAATGAATTTCGAGTAACTATTATATAATTTGGCGAATGCATTTTTGTAGGTTCTTCATGGGCTGCTGTGCTCGAGAAAAGAGATGGATTAAGTTCTCCTGCAGATGTGTATCTTGAAGGTACAGATCAGCATCGTGGATGGTTTCAAAGCTCACTTTTGACGAGTGTCGCAACAAAAGGTAAACTAAGAGTAATGCTTTCCTCTTGACTAATTTCTGCTCTGGTGCTGTTGATAGACGAAGGGTTTTTCATGTTTGTCAATTGCATTCCATAATTTTTTTGGGGAAATATGCCTCATTATCTATAACATATTAGCTGGAAAATGTTCCATATTCAGTCTTTTCCTCTCTTTTTGAATTATTGCAGGAAGGGCTCCATATTCAGCTGTTGTTACTCATGGATTCGTACTCGATGAAAGAGGCTTAAAGATGAGTAAATCTTTGGGCAATGTTGTTGATCCAATTACTGTAATTGATGGGGGCAAAAACCAAAAGGTTAGTCACCAGCCGGCCACATTCATATTTGAGTATTTTTAGTCCTTTTAGCAATAGTGGAACATTTAACATCTAATATCATTTCTTTTGACAGGAGACTCCTGCTTATGGTGCTGACGTCCTCCGACTCTGGGTTTCAAGTGTAGATTACACTGGAGATGTGCTGATTGGACCTCAAATCCTCCGTCAGATGTCTGACATATATCGGAAATTGCGGGGAACACTGCGATTCCTTTTGGCAAACCTTCATGATTGGAAAGTAAGGAGAATGTTTGTTGACCTGTGCTTTGTCTCTGGTCTTACCATTAAGATGGATTACTTCCTTTGCTGAATTTTAGTTTACTTATGTGTGAATCAGTGACGAATTTGTTTTCTAAATTTTTAGTCTCTTTCTCAATATAATAAATATGATACTTAGAACCGCATGAATTTGGATTTATCCTCCGGCCTATGTCCAATAACCAGATGTAAAATGTTAATACATTTTATATTTGTTAACTTCCTACTCAAACATCTCCTGATTACTTTTGCAGATCGACTATGCAGTCCCATATAATGAACTTCCTAAAATCGATCAGCATGCACTATTCCAGCTTCAGAATGTTGTAAAGAACATTAAAGACAATTATGAGCATTACCAGTTCTTCAAAATTTTTCAGGTATACTTTTCAAGAATGGATTTCCTTCAAATGCATCAATGTTTGTATGAAGCTGAGCATTCAGAGAACTGAAAAAAAAAAAAAAAAAAACAAATGCTTTATCTTTGTAAAAACAAAAGAACTAAGCATCAAATACAACCAAGTAGGATGCAGAATTGGAAATTAAATCTGCATAAAAGAAAACAGTCCATAAAGGATTAATTCCTGAAGTCTTCTATCTGATTCGTGTATTGAACCTCAGCATTTCCCTTTTATCCTACCTTTGACAGCTTATTCAACGGTTTGTGATTGTTGATCTGTCCAATTTTTACTTCGATGTTGCCAAGGATCGGCTCTATGTTGGGTAAGTGCTGTGATATCAATTTGCTAACTCAAAGACTATCACGCAATTTTTTTTTGTATTCTGAAGAGTAGTTGACATCCACAACCAGAATGGAAATCCAGAAGTAACAATACCATGTTTAAGCTTGTCATCATAAACTTAAATATTCCGATCTTAGTTTTTGCCAAGTAATGGTACAGTTAAAGGAATCGCTGTCTACTTTCCATTGCCTTCAGAAAGAGTGTCACATATTTTTGGCTGAGAACTTGTCATAACTCTAAAATAGATATATGAAAGTTGGTCTAGGCTACTCATAACTCTCAAATCTTTCTATGTAAATCTTATTAGGGGCACTACTAGCTGCACCAGGAGAACTTGTCAAACTGTCCTGGCAGAACATTTACTTACCATTGTGAAAGTAATTGCTCCCATCCTCCCGCATTTGGCTGAAGATGTCTGGCAACATCTTCCTTTCCAGTATACCACTGAAGATGGACAAATTGCCAAATATGTCTTTGAGTCGCGATGGCCTTCTAATGAGGAAAGATATCTAGCTTTGCCTGATGAAGAAGTTCAATACTGGGACAAAATCCTCGAGGTAATGGAATCTACACAATTTAAAATATCTTGCCGTGGTTTGTGCAACTTAAAATAATTAAGAACGAACTCATCTTTAGAAGATGAGGCACTCAATGTAATTAACGAAATGTCGTTCTGCTGATTGACCACTTTGCTACATAAGGAAGTTTTTAATTCTAAAATTATTGCTTGTAATCTCATTAAACCTCCAATCTGCTATCGTTCTCTTTCGGTGATCTTATAACTTTACACCTCAAATCTAACAAAGTCATTATAATCATCAGCTGAGGACTGAGGTAAATAAAGTGCTAGAAGTTGCTCGATCCGGGAAATTAATAGGTTCCAGCTTAGAGGCCAAGGTCTTTCTTCATACAGCCGATGATAGCTTTTCTGGAAAATTGACGGAAGCTTGTGAATCCTCAAATGATGCTGATACGTTGCCTCGCATATTTATAACGTCCCAGGTATTTTTCAGCTTTAAACATCAGTCAGCAAATACATGATACTAGATTGGTTGCTGCTTGTGAGACACTTCCATTTGAGTTGAATGGCGTCAGAAAACTTCTAAACTCCCTTGACTGATTTGTATTAAATGAACGATTTTACTTGACAATCTCTCAAATTTTGAAAGCAATTGTGGCTTTTTAGTATTTTCATAATTCTGACGGTTGACTTACCAACCAATTGGTGAAAGTGGTGCTGGTAGTTTCGACAAACCTCAAACCTCAAGGGATATTTTTAACCCCTCCCCATTTTGAACTCCTTTTCCATTTGGAGTTGTTCAGCCCAAGTGTTTGTTCAATGATCAGTAAAATTGCATGCTTTAAGGGACTTTCTTTTCTTATTTTCCAGCTTGAATGTCTTCAAACTGAATGATATGTAATCTACAAATGGCTTACCTGCAGGTTGAGATTCTTCCATATTTACAGAATGAACAAATTGAGCAAGCATCATACACCGGAGAATACCTTATTGGAGAAAAGAGCAAAGTCTGGATTGGAGTATCACGTGCAGAAGGCGCAAAATGTGAAAGATGCTGGAATTTTTCGCCACAAGTTGGTTCATACAATGAACACCCGTCACTTTGCGGTCGATGTTACAATGTCGTCGCGAGTCAGCCAGAACCTGCCCTTGCTGCTGCAGTGAGCTGAAAGATAAACAAGCTTCCAGCTATCTATCCCCTTACTGTTTTGGAAACCTGAGTTAGAACGGAAACATTGCAGAGTTAGACTCAATTATTTTTTCCCATCTGTTCAAGTCTGAAGGAAATGTTGAAATCCTAAACCACTTGTGAATTTAGAGTTACACGATCTTTCACCACACAGTAGATAACACACTGGTACATGAACCTTTTCTGAGGTCTCTCAAATTGCAGAGTAAATTACAAAGTTCATTTAGTTACACTAGCAACTGTTAATTTCAACAAGGGCCCTTTTTTTTTTTGTTTTTTTTCACAGAAAGCCTAGCAACCAACAGATTCTTTGACAATAAGTCTTAACCACTCCAGATTTACTTTGACCAAATTATTTTTTCAAAACTAGCCAAACCATGTAACGATCTCTTCGCGATGGAATGCATGTATCAGGAAGTTGGATTGACGGCATGATAAATGACTAGCTTTTGATACGACTTCTCCCACAACCAGAAAAGGGAGACATTTTCCCCTCAAAATTGATCTTCTATCTTCATTCTAATTTTGGTTGAAATTAATGCATAAGACACCAATTGGATCATGAATGGAGGAAAATGCCTCATTCATGAATCGAGTAATGTTCATACCTCCAAAAAAAGAAAAAAGAATAAGAATTTGGCGAGGTTAAGTAAATACATAAAAGATTATTTCCAAACGTACACTAAAAATGCTAAATACGGTATTAAAGTGTTGTTGGATTAAACCACAAAAAGGAAAATAGTTAAGGAAAACTAATATCCCTGTATTTTTTTTTTTTGGGTCGAAATATCACTGAATACACATAATATCTTCTTCTTTTTTCTTTTTTTTTTTGAAAAACAGTAGACAAAATATCACTGTATTCTTCTATGCCAATGGAGATTTGGATTAAAGGATATTCGCAAAATAGTCGAATATGTCCGAAATGAACTTTATTCTTTCCTTTTCTTTTTCTGGTTTTTGGGTTAAAAAAATGAACTTCCTTTTGCTTCTCTGCTGAAATTCCTTGTATTCATGTACAGATCCTTCAAAATTATAACGTTTTAATGGTGGACAGTGGTTACATGGAAAATCCAATGGTATAATTAAAGGGTGAAGTTCTAATGGATCTACCACAATCTTGGCAAAAAAAGCAGTGAACAAAAAGACTTTGTGATCTGTATTCATTATTATACTTGGTAATGAATGAAACTGCTCTACAGAGGTCTACAAAAGCAGATCAACAGGAGATAATGTACAAAACCTGGAACACTAAGACTTCGGTCGAATGCAGACAGCAGAAATAGACCATCTCTATTTCTCTGTCTTTCTTGGACTGAGCAACAAGGAAAGAGTCCTGCAAATGGTTCTCACAACAGGAAGAAAGGCCACTGCAGCAATTAGGGGCTGAGCTGAGCTGTTCAGCCTTACGGAAACTTCCCCACTTTGTTCACCATTGAGTCGTGCTTGGACACACAGTTTGCAATTTTGTCTCACGAACTGGGAATCCAGGCTCAATCCACAAGTTGAGTCTCTTCTCGACCTAGAAAGAGACAGCCTACACAGCATTTGGCCCTGAACACCAGGATAATCTTTCTCCATTAACCGGATTCCTAGCATATCTCCATTCACCGAATCATTTTCATGCTGAATGAGGCCAGTGCTGTCATCTTCATTTGGCCCTGGGAAATCATTCTTCAACATGTCCTCCATGTAGCCACTATCTTCTGTGCTCCACCTTTGCTGCTTCTTTGCATCTTGAGAACTTTTAACCTGCTCGTTCCACTGCTTTGTTTGAAGTAGAGAATCAATTTCTGACAAGATCTTCATAGAGAAACACAAAAGCAGGATCTGAGATCTCCAACTCCCTTTACTGCCAAGGAAGGGATGTTCATTATTGTTCTCCACTCCACTTCTCATACAGCAGTTCTCTACAAGAGACACTGGAATAACGTTTGGTTCTTCAATGTTACCGAAATTTCCAATAGAATTGCTTATTAACTGTTGAAAAGAATGTGATGTCTTAGCTGCAAATGAATCGTAACTGGAGAGATGATCACCAAAGGGCCCTTCAGGGGGAACAGAAGCTGCATGTGTCAAAATCACAATGGCCTTGGACCAAATTGATGAACCAAGGGAGCTAGTGATCAGCTTCAGCAGGGGCAAATCATTGAGATCTCCGATTTTTGTATCTAAACGATCAACATAGAGAACAACATCCGGAGGGAACTTCTTGGTAAATTTCTTTATTGATTGCAGAACTTTACGGTTGAAGGATTGATCCTGTATGGAAGAGCTCAGCCCAGGTGTGTCCAAAACTTGAATATGAACGCCTTCCGATGTTCCTTTAATCACCTTTACACTATTAGTGCCAGGATCAAATGCGCTAATCCTTGCTTTCTCTTCTCCAAAAATAGAGTTTATGGTTGCACTCTTTCCAACCCCGCTTTTCCCAATAACAAGAACATTCAAAGAGAAGTTGATACCATTCTTATTTTCCTCTGCTTCAACTGCTAAACCTGTCTCCTTAGCAAAGTCAAGGTTGAATGATTTTGCTTGTGGTGGCAGTCCAGCAGCAAGTAGCAGTTGATGAAAAACCTTCATAACAACAGAATCTTCTGGAGATTTATGTAGTCTATGGACCAGCCGCAGGAATTTTACAACCATTTTCTCCACTTTCTCAAGCTTCATTTTTTGTCCTTGACTTAAACTTCCTACTGGTTCACCTGGGTTTTCTGGTCGCTCAGGCAAAGAAGAACTATAAGCATCTTCCCATTCACTGTGACTATGAGCATCCAGCAAAGTTCCTGAATCCACAATTTTCTCCGCATCAGTTGCCAGCAAAGCACTTGCAGAACTTCCTCCAGATGTCACACCTACAGAATGGCCATTTACAAGGTATCCAGGAGACTGAACAGCCTCAGCCTGTGAGCCTGAAAATTTAACATTGTTCAGGAACTGTGTTTCATCAAGAGGATCATGAGCAGGTGTATTAAGAGCCACCAGTTTCTGATCAGTCGTTTGCTCATCGCCAGTTTCTAAATCTTCAAGAACACAAGGCCAGTATACAATTTCACTGTCAGTGATCTCCTCACCTTCGCATGTCCTGTAATCCATTGATGCTTCTTCAACATCATGATAAGTTTCCCCAAATGTCACATCCACAGGATGACCATTCATAACGTATCCTGGTTCCTGAAGGTCCTTGAAGTTTGAAATATTAACCTTGTTCATCAACTGTATCTCACTTTCTCTGGGACTGCTGACCGTAGATTCAATATACTTGGGAGCATCTGTATAACAAGTCTCCACGGTCACGATTTCACTTTTCAAAGCCTCATCATCATCAAGCACAAAAAGCTCAGAAACAGTTCCATCGTGATTTATGATTTCATCTGCAGGTTTCCCATGATCCAATGATACTTCTTCGACATCACCAGATCTCTCTCCAAATGTCACATCTACAGAGTGTGCATTCATTACAGATGTTGGCTCCTGAACAACCTGTAATTCTGACATTTCAACATTTACCATCGACTGCATCTCATTCTCTTCGATAGAGCTATCCATAGATTCCAAAAGTTTAGAACCACCATTGTCGCCGGTGTCCATCTTCTGATTAGTCACTTGCTCAGTGTCACTTCTAAAATCCTCAACGCCATCAAAGGCGCAAGACTGAGAAGCCCTTCCTTCTTCAATTTTATTTTCATCTCCACAGTTCCCATAGTCCATGGCTGCTTCCTCCAAACAGTTTTCTTCTTGTACTTCTGTACCCTCACCTTCTAAGGCCACACAAACAACATCCTTCACAGAGTTTGTTTCAGACAAACTCAAAATTTGAATTTCTTCAGCACCACAACCAGTAGAGTCAGAACTATTCTCATCTTTGTGATATCCAACAATATCTTCTGTAGCATTTGCATTAACTTCTCGAATTCCATCACATGATTCTGCACTTCTAGCTTCTTCTGCACCAATGCCTTTATCTTCAACCAATTCTGCAGCTTTCAGATCATCAGTTATCTGCTTTTCTTCAAAATCAGAATTCAACAGCCCATTGCCACCTCCAACCATCTCCCCTTCTGACCCAGAATCATAAACTGATGTCCTATCATCCCCTCCTCCAACATCCAAGATTCTGACTTTAGGAACATTGCCACGCAATCTCTTAGCATTCCCGGAGCTAGGAACCCTTGCAGTACCAAGAAATGGTTCATCTTCCTCACTCTCGTTGCTGTCAAAATCATCATCTTCATCAGTGTCCCCAGAAACCTTGGCAATTGGTATCCCTACCTTTTGCCTGTTCATAAATGGACTTCCCTTACTATTAACACTCGGCTTTCGATCCAAAATGGCATTTTTATTTTCAGCTTCCTTCAGGGATGTCCCAAGAACATTCTCTCCAATAGTTTTTATGCCCGGGTCAGCCAAAAAAGGCCTAGAATCTTCAAAACTTCTTTTAAAGCTACTTACTTTATTAATTTCCACAAGTGGGTTTTTCAGAGAAGGCAGCCTAGAAACAACATGTTCCTTGACAAATTGAGTTTCTTGAAGAATTTTACTATCACCATCAGGTGCAGCAGTTTCAGACCCATCTTCACCACTCAAGAACCCATCAGACTCAATCCCAGAATCACTCTCGTTGCTACTAAATGAATCATATTCAAAATCAGAATCATCAATAGTCAAAGGAGCTCTGATACCTGAAAGAGTTGCTGAGGTGGAAGAAACAGAAAGGACCTTTGGACTTGTTGGAGGAGCTGCCTCTGTGGCAGAAACAGGAACACCATGAAGCTTTGAGCCCATCAACATGAAACCCTTGTCTTCCCTTTTGGGTTTTAAACTTTTGCCAAATTTCTTCACCAAGAAACAAGGAAATAATGATTAAACATGCATTAGGTTTCAAATTTTCAAAATAAAGAGAGAATCTTTGGAAAAGATGGTTGGGGGGTGATGGTTTTTTTTTTGTTAATACGTAGGGTTTCTTTTTGGGCTTTTCTTGTGTGATTATAATTGAATTTGTAGTATAATGTTTGTTGTTTTTCGAATTTTGAAGGGATGTCGTGTTTATTGTTTGGTACAAGGATAATCAAACAAACATCATTGGTCTTGGTGAGTTCTACTTGGTTGAGAATTGACTCCTTGTTTGTCTAGGAAGGCTTTACATTTTTGGCAGTCACAAAAATTGAATAAAAATTTTTATTTGCCTTTGTGGCTTACACTTTTCGTTGTACTTAGGATTATTTAAGGCTTCTAGTTTTTGTAAGATTAAGTCCAAAAAACTGAACCCGTTGACCATAAGTACATGATTCATTCAATTATTTCAAAGTTTTTTTTTGTTAATATGACCTAAAATCTGACTCGGTTGATTCCAATAATATCTTAAATCAAGCACTACAATTTAATCATCACTGTGTCTTAAATCCTTGGCATCTAAGGTTCGACTTAGACCAAACATGTTAAATAAGTGATTGAATTTGGTATTGGAATCCCACCACAAACAAAATAGTCAATCAACCTAAAATAGTTACTAAACATTATCCAATATAGTATGTCTTTTTGAAAGAAAGATATGTATTAAATTTACTGAAATTCAGCTAGTTCTAATTGATTAAAAAAAAAATCCTAGCATTGTCAATTTCACCGGCATTACATTAGACTTTGAATGGGTAATTATAACATGAGCTACAATATTTTTTAATCTAGGAATCCTATACAAAGTAAAGAAAAAAAAAAGTTCTATCAATAAAATCCTAATCTCACAAAGATCGGCAAACAAATGATTAAGCAATTGGACTCTCCAATGACAGCAAGGATTGCAACATAAGAATCTCCCATAATTATAACATTTTGGAAATATTATAAGAAATTAATCATCCTTTTCATAGACTCAATATAGCAATATTTTTTAATAAAAACCCTCCCTACAAAATTCAAAGCTCCATATTAGTAGCATAAATGTTTTATAAAAATGTGCATTAGCCTTGTTTAAAATATTATATTGGGAACCAAAATGATTGTGATGAAGTGGAAGGGATTCTTCCACCCTTAATCATAGGTCGAGAGTTCGAACCTTGTTATGGCATGGAGCAATCTTAAATACTTTGGTCAGCTATCCCACCCATTAAGGTGCCTACAATTTGGTCAACTATTTCACCCATTAAGGTGCCTACAATTCAACGAGTGCGAGTGAGATTAATCACTGTTGCCGACGGTGGACATCCTGCAAATATGAAAAAAAAAAAAATTATATTGGACTTGTCAAAACAAGGAAAAAGGAAAAAGGAAAAGAAAGGGAAAAAGAAAAAAGAAAAAAGAAAGAAAGTAGATTTTGGGCACTAAAAATTGGAGTGACCGAAGCTACTGAAGTTACTTCGATGGCATTTGAACCTTCTCCTCCTTCACTTCCCATCAATGGCGGCGGCAATGAGCTTCTGCAATTCCCGCCTCCCAATTTTCACCATTTCCACCCCATTTTTATCTCGGAAGAAGAAGCCCTTCAAAGTTTTCTGCGGTATGCCCAGTTCCACCCCAAGAAAATTCACCATTAGAAGGAATTATCTCCGTCAAAAGCTCCTTAAAACCCTCTCTAAACCCCTTCCAAATTCTCCCGCTTTTGAGCCCACCCCACCTGACCCTTTAATCCCTGTTGAAATTGAAGCCCAACCCGAAGAAGCTGGCTCGGAGTTACTGGAGATTGAACAGTTCCAAGAAGCTGATTTGAAAGAATCTTCTTCCAACCCTTCTTTGGATGGGGTTTTAGGTAACCTTCCCAAATTTTCTGTTGGCCAATATGTTTTTTGGTTGATTGGGGCTTTTGTTGTTTATGCAATTGTTGTTGTGTTGGATATTGGTTTATTTGAATATGAAAACGAGAAACATGGGAAAAGGGAGCGTAAAAATGGAGTCTTGGAGGTTGGGCTGAATACTAAAATGACTTTGGGAAATGGTGAGGTAGTGTATCTAGATGAAGATGAAATGCTTAGGAAAGTTGAGGACATTAGGATGATGGCGAGGGAGGCGAGAGCTAAGGAGAGATTGGAAGGTAAGAGGGATGTTGGTTATGAGAGTGATGAAGAAGAAGAGGCCGCGGATGATGATTCTAGCAAGAGTGGCATTGAAAAGGAGGTTATGGATCGATTGGTTAAATTGAGTAAAAAGCTAGAAAAGAACTTGCCTGTGGCTCCTGTGGATAATGCGAAGAAAGATGTTGTGAATGGAATGAACAAAAACAGTAATGAAGAAGCTTTGATGTTTAAGAAGAAGTATAAATATAAAGGTTTATCGAGCAGGCCTACTGATAAATCCAAGGGCTTTACCGGCAGGATTGACGAGGCTACAACTACGAGTGATCGTGAAGATTATGGAACTGATGCTGTGATAAATGGAGACATTAAGAATCATGAAGTTGCAGATTTGTCCGGCAATGGAAATTCTAGAGCAGCTATTTCGATTCATTCAAAGGAAGATGGACTCACAAATGTATCTGATAAACCTAAGGAGTTGAAGAAAGTAGGCAAGTCGAGGAGCAAGGCAATTGAAAGCAAACCGTTGCAGTCCGAAATTGGGAATACGAAATCAGAAAGTGAGACTGAACCTTGGTGGACAAGACTTCCTTATGTCCTTGTATGTGGTAGACATTATACTTTCTCACATCTACCTTGTTTATTTTCTTCTCTGTTACTTATTAAATGGTGTATTTAGGTCATTCTGATGCAAGGAGAATATGATGGTCACGTAACTGGACTATTTACCTTGAGGAACCTCGATTCTTCGGACAAGAATGACTTGCCTCACACTGTTGCTTTTGAAGACCGTGTTGATGCTGCCAACTTTTGTTACCTTGTGCAGTCCTTCTTTGAAGATCTTGAAGGTTCTAGTGCTGAAGTTGTTCCAATACCAATCAAAGTAAGGACCTTCAGCGTATCTTGGCAAATCTTTTGGCTTTACCAATTCGACCCTTTATTTCTCTTTCGAGTTACCTTGTGTAAAGCTTTCAGAGTTTACTTTGAACTTAAGATGATACCTTGACCGATTCAATACTACTGACTCACTGACCACTACCAATCAGTTTGCTCATTCGAGTCTTTTGAAGATGTCGATTTACAGAAAATATAATGATTCCACAAGCGAACTATTAATGTGAATAACCTAAGGAAATACTTTGGGACCTTTTAATCCATTTGACATTGAATTTATTTGCTTTTCAACTGACATAGATTTCCACATTTTTTTGGCCCTATTCAGGAACTTATTGAAAGAGTAAAATCTCAGACCATGAAGGTACTTGTGGTGAAGAAGGGGCAGCTGAAGCTCTTTGTTGGGCAACCCCTACAAGACGCAGAGATGGCCTTGAGAGCTCTAATTGATCAAAGTTGAAATACATGGAAAATTTTGGATTTTTTCCATCTATGAGAGATACCGCTGGGTTAGGCTCATAGAATCTTAGCCAGACTGATGGGATGAACAGAATTTTCTTTTTGGTTGCATTTTATTGGGCGTAATTGTAGACAATTCGTTCCTTTGTTTCTGACTAAGCTGATACGCAGGAGAAAATTGTCTGAGTTGAAGAGCTTGGGGGAGTGTTTTAGTGTAGGCCTGAAACGGATTAACTTGTAAATATGCCCCTTTGGTAAAACTAGCACACATTGTTCCGGATGATTGTAATTCTTCATTCGCTTTAATGAGAGTTGTATTTACTTCGAATCATTTCATCCTTCCCCTCTCTTTCTCATCCTATTCTGAGTTAAATTTTGGAATAGTTTCTTAGACAGTGCTGCACAATTGAGGAGACATTTCGGAAGAAAAACACGCAATGACATCTTTACTAAAGATGTTGAATCACATGAAAACTCTATTATTCTTACTTTAGTAGTAGGTACAAACTAGTGAGATCTCACATCTCACAATCTTCTTAAAAATAAGGTTCACTCGAGAAAAAATTGCAATATATGCAATGAGACTGGTAGTAAAGTACTACTGAAAACTGCTAAGAGCCTTTACTACTGAAAACTGCTAAGAGTCTGGTGATTGAGATGTATCTAGTACTACTGTGCCACATTCATCATGGGACATACTAAGAGGAGACGAGCTTGAGCATAGCCTGTGCATGAATAGCTGAGAGATTAGACTGGCAAAAGCTTTGCCAAACCTCCTGTTTCTCTTCTTCATTTTCTGTCAGAGCTTTGTATAACGAAACCACAATGCTTCGAGCTGCTTCTCGGGCTTCAGGAAGCCTATCATTCAGCAATTCTGCTGCAGTTTGAATTGTGGAAATCAACCCAAATTCCTTCATCTCTTCCAGCCCCTAAATTAAATGAAAACAGATCGCATGATGATCAGACATAAAAACAACTCTTCAAAACTTCTCAAAAGTTAACAACTTGGAAAGCTATGTCCCATAGAATGATAGAAGGTAACAATACCATCTTGGAAATGCAGTGGGAAACTGAAACTGCAGCTTTGGCCCTAACCCTTGGGTTCGAATGGCTAGCATAGCTTTTTAGCTTGTGGAGCAACGGAAGAGGTGTGAATGACTCTACCATTGCCTTAAGTGCCTTATCTGCTTCCTCACAAACAAATTTTTTGTCCTGAGAAGCTTTGAGCAGCAGCTGCAGAAGCTGTAAGTTGACCAGAAATGCTCCAACTTGTCATTATTAAACTCAACTACTGATTCAATTCAACCATTCAAGACCCTGAATTTTGTATAATAACTACTGATAAAAGAGTACTAACCAAAGGGTCATATGCATCAGATACAGGGGATTCCAACAGCTTATCACCAAAAGCCTTGAAGATATCAGATGAAGCCATTATTGAAGTCTTGCAAAGAGCACTTCTTGGATTCTTCATGGCCTTCACTATGATCAGCATAACCTTATCCCTGAATATAAGTAAAAATGCACATCAGACATGATTCTCATGGCAAAAAAAGTTGAGAAATTAGAGAGAAATATGAGATACATACAAGATCGGTAGCAGTAGGCTTGAATGATAAAGAGCAAACCGCCTGGCATCATTCAACGATTCACAAACTTTAAGCCAATCTTTTGATTCTAACCCTCCAATTAGTCCCTGAAACAGTAAGCATAAAAGGGTCAACAACAAAATCCGGATAACATTCAAGAACAAGAAATTCAACGAATCGTACTTCTTTCAAACACCTGCCAACATAATTGTGAAAATTTAGGAAAGTAAAAAAACTTACATGAATTCTAACATCTGGGTCATCAATCGATTTGAGATTTTCAGAAGGGATGTAATCAATGGTGGCATCAGCGTTGGATGGTGCCGGCGCCGGCACCGGCGGCTTGTTTTCGTCATTCACTCTGACAAGATCAGGCTGCTGTTTCATGGCGGCGGCGGCGGCCACTTTGGGTTGCTTTTTGGGTCTTTCCGATGGAAGAACCGGCAAAGCGTTATCGAGAGATCTCAAAGCCATGATGAACTTGAAAGGTTCAAAATTTGGAGAATTACCAGAAGGCTGAAAAATTGATTTGATGAAAACTGAGAAAAAAGATTCGATTTGGGTTTGGGATTTTTTAAAACCGAAAAGCAGAAGAAATGATGGAAAATAAAGAGAGGGGAAATCGCAACGGTCACTTTTAATTTTGAATATTTTTTACATCTCTATCTCTTTCTTTCTCCAACGGTTACTCTAAAAACACCATTTTTTTTCCTTTTCTTTTTTTCTTTTTTCTTTCTCTTTATGGGCTTTCCGTTTCAGTTTTGGTGGACGGAGTGAATGGGCCGATTGCAACATTTATATATATTTGGGCTTTCAAAATGAAACAAACTCAGGACTCTGATAGAAAATGACCAAAAAGTATTTGGAGTATAAACACGGAAAGTATATTAAAAAAAAGTATCTAATTTGATTTAATACAATTTTGTCACGGAAAGTATCTAAGCCGGTAAGGCTTCCATCGTGTGTTTATATATAAAGTATAAACTTTCTGGTTCAAAACGAAATTACGTTAGGTAGTCTAATTGTTATGTAAAAAATATATTTCAAACTGTATTACTACAAGTAATCTTGATCCCGACATTAATAGCTCAATTAGATATTGAAAAAAGGTATAATTCGATTATCTTATTTGGATGTTGAACATTTTGCATAAAGAGTTGCAATTGACGTCTATTTTATGAAATTATATTACTTTTTTCTGTACCAAAAAAAAAAAAATAGTCCACAACGAATTTTGAAAATTATACTAGTTTTAATATAAATTTTAACACAAAAATTATTTTTGGGATAGAACGAGTACTTATTTATTATTGAACTAAGATATTACTAATAATAAAGTGATTTTCTTTTAACGAACATAATAGAAAATCTTAAAAATGCAGTATCTATTGAAAACAAATTATTTTGTCAAACCAAAAAAAAAAAAAAAAAACACACACACACACACTCACACACACACAAGAAAACAAAAGGGAAACAGAGGAGTACTTGGTGATCTTCCAAAAGGTCCACTCCTCGATAGCGATGGCTCCTTTTCCCATAGATTAAGAAGATTACAGATTTAACGCCACCGCACATAAATAAACCGGACAGGTGTTTATGTAATTCCGAAACATAATTTAAAATAATAAACGAATGATCGAACTGCTTCTGTTCTTCCACCATGTTTTATGTTGACACACTACAACATCCCAAATCCAAAACTTGATCAGAATTTCCTAGAAGAAGAAGAATATCAAATCATGTCTGATCTTGCTCCAAACCTTCCTCAAGAACTCATCACCGACATCCTGTTACGTCTCCCAGTTGAATCAATTGGGCGTTTCAGATGTGTTTCAAAACCATGGAAATCCTACCTTTCGAACTCCAAATTCATCAAATCCCACTTGAAATTTCACAACCCAGAAAAGGTTATCCTCCTCGCAGCTGATCATTCTCCCTACATCTTAACTTTCACTAAACAGAGCCGGGCTCAAATTGGTGGGTTTTCAAGACAGATCATTTGTCCGTTTTTACAAGACAAGAATTGGGCTAAGCTGGAAGGTTCATGCCACGGGTTGATTTTACTAGTGACTGAAAATCGGGGTAAGTTTTTGATGAATCCCGTTACTTCAGAAGTTGAGAATTTGCCTGTATTTGATTCATCCTTAGACCCTTTAATGAGTTTTTGTATGCACGGTTTTGGATATGATGAGGCTAATGATGATTACAAAGTTGTTACGCTTTCGTATTATGACACGGATAATGAATACGAACCGGATTGTGCTGAAACATTTGTGGATATTTATAGCTTAAAATCGAGAATTTGGAAGAGATTGCCCTGTTCTCCTTACGATCATGCTGTCCCTAGTATTTCCCCTGGAATATTTGTAAGTGGTTGTTTACATTGGTTGGCTAGTAGTCGGAGAAAAGGGTATCCTTCAGTTATTGCTGCTTTTGATTTGGCCAAAGAGGAATTCGAGGAATTACCGCCTCCTATAGGCGTTGATGAAGATAAATTCGTGTTCAACGAGCTTGCTGTTCTTGGAGGGTGTCTTGCGTTGTTTATTGATTCGTACAAGGGTCACATTGATGTTTGGGTGATGAAAGAGTACGGCGTGCGAGATTCTTGGACGAAGATCGCCATCGATTGTCCTGAGGACAGAAGAGATGCGGATTCGTGGAAGCCTGTTTGTTTTTTGGGAGATGATGAGATTGTTCTGGTGATGGATTGTGAGAAATTGGTTGCACATAATTTCAGAAATGGAGGTTGGAGGGATATGGAATTTGATGGCGTTCCTGATTCGTTTGGAGAGGGAGTAATGACTTTTAAAGATAGCCTTCTGCCTCCCCATTCATAATCGGATTGATGAACGTCTTGATTATGTGTTTGTATGTATTATGAGGTCACTATGTGGTTTGCAATTTTTGCATTAAAGTCAGTGACGGAACTAGAATTTTGCTTACAGTATAAAATACTTGGTTAGATTCATAAGATGTGTATTGGTATGTATGAACTATGATTATTGGGTTTGCATTTTTGTTTAATATAGCTTAATACTTTCGAATAAAAAATCTCGTTTCGAAGATATTTTTTATGTTTCAAAAATATTGTCCAGGTTGAATTTTTAGTTTTAGATAAAGGAAGAACTCAACATCCTGAACGTAATGTTTCCCAAATTTTGACTTAAGTAGAAAGGGGCCCAAAATTTTGTCACAAAACACCCATAAACTATTTAAGATCTTAGACTATTTATGATCTTATTAGTAGGTAGCACAAATAAAATGTATTCTCCCACGAGGACTTGAGAAGCTACATTTGACTAGAGCATCCGAGAAGTCACATTTGACTGGTGCATTTGCCATCAAATTCAGATTCTGATAACCGGTAGGCGGCTTGACGAATTGTTACATTATTTTACTCTTTATTATAAGTCATTTTGATTTGTATTAAATTTTACCTGATATATTTTATAAATTGAAAAATAAAACTTTACAATTACATTTTCACATCATTGTGTTCTATTAGTTATTAAGAAATATTTTTAAAGTTTTTTTTAACAAAATATACAAGATGAAACGTAAGACAAATTAAAATATTTTATAATAAGGACACGAGGGAGTAGTAAATTTCTAATTTTATAGCTTTTTTTTTCTATGCAGTAATAAAGTTATGCAGTAGTAAAATTTGTAGTTTTTTCTATAGAAGAAGTTAAAATGTAAAAGGCTCAATTTGTAATGATAAGGGAACTCATACTAGTAAACTTGAACATAAGGCCCAAGTATTTTTAATACACAAGGTAGCTCAAGCCCAAAATCAGCAGTAGATCCGACTACACAGAGAAAGTTACAAACGGGATAGGCAAAGACCATTTACTTGCCATGGAAGAAGCAATTCTTACTGCGTTTTTCTTTTTTTCTTTTTCAGAATTAATTCAGAATAAAAAAACCAGAATATGATTCAGAATTATTTTTTCGATATCCAATGCGAATAATGTTCTAAATGGAATGTCAATATATCAGAATCAAAGTATATGTAATTCAATAAAGCGTCCTACGGGCAGAACTTTTAAAGCAAAAATAATAATTATATAAGTAAATAGAGAAATGAAATATAACTGATATTCTTTGTCAATAACATTCTACATTATCCCGTAATATACAAAATGAAAAAAAATAAGAGTTATTTGTCAGCAAATATTGACATTTTTTGGGCATCATCTCATCATCATATAATTAATGTGATACAATTCTTACGCGATCGAGTTGCGGAGTAATTATAGGCAAAGCTTAATGGAGTAATTGATTGATGTTTATTCTAAAATTTTATAGTAACAACTAATACGAATATAGTAATTGACTGATTTGATTGAATCCGACTGAACATTCAATGTGACTAAACTACGGAGAAGAAAATTCCCTACGATTCTAATAAGAGAAAAATTAATTAGAGGGGAAGATCTCAAAATATTTTATTACATCATTAACCAAGTTGATTTAATTTGTATGACATTGATCATGTTTCACATACCTCAAAACAATTAGTTAACCGACTAATTAATCTTTGTCCAAAAATAATCATGGACGTTCATGAGTAATTGAATAATTCAATGCAACCATTGGATCATGATGAAAAGAAAAGGTGGAGAGATCTATATCATGAATAATGTTTTTATGATTAATAAATATAAATTATTCGAAAATATTGAAGCATTATGTATTTATGTATAGAAAAATAAGATGGAAACCCTAACATGCGTAAAGTTGCCTAAGAAAACACTATCCTTTCCAAATTTCTCAAAAGATTCCCTTCTTTACCATTTTTAGGACCTAGATTTGTTCTTCCTTCGTATCTTCAGAAACCAAATAAATATGGCCCCCTCCAACTCCCAATTCTCACGTCACATTTCCCTTTCGCATATTTGCTTATCAGTAAATTATTTATTTATTTATTTATTTTTTTGAGTTTTCAGCCATGGAGAAACAAGCCAATTTCAATGTTCTTATGCTTCCATGGCTAGGACATGGACACATTTCTCCTTACCTCGAGCTAGCCAAGAAACTATCCACTAAGAATTTCACCATGTAAGTACTTGTGTTCAACTCCTGCTAATTTAACCTCAGCAAGATCAAAACTAAGTGAAGAGTTCAAGGAGTCAATCAAACTTGTTGAACTTCATCTTCCATCACTTCCAGAACTCCCACCTAATTATCACACCACCAATGGACTTCCATCCCATTTGATGCCAACCCTAAAAGAAGCCTTTAACAAGTCTTGTCCCAACTTTCGCGAAATCCTCAAAGATTTGAAGCCTGATTTGCTCATCTATGATCTTCTTCAGCCATGGGCGCCCGTGGCTGCATGGCTTTATAATATTCCCGCGGTTGAGTTCATAAGTAGCAGTGTCACCATGGCTTCACTTGTCTATCACTCTCTTAAGTCACCACAAGGTAAAAAATTCCCTTTCGAGTCTAGTATTTTCTATCGCGGTTATGAGTCGGCTATGGAAGATAAATTGTTCGTGCATGATAAAGACTCAACATCTTTCCTCGATTGCATTGATAGATCTACTAAAATTGTTCTAGTCAAGGGCTCTGAGGAGATTGAGGGGAAATATATTGATTATATTTCCACTATGACTGGTAAAAGAGTTGTACCTGTTGGTCATTTGGTTCAAGAACCTTCTTTGATGATGATGGTGAGGATTGTGAAGTCATGGACTGGCTTAACAAAAAAGAAAAGGGTTCAACCATTTTTATTTCTTTTGGGAGTGAGTATTTTTTGTCTAGTGAAGATATGGTGGAGATTGCTCATGGTTTGGAACTTTGTAATGTTAATTTTATTTGGGTGATTAGGTTTCCTAAAGGGGAAAATGTTTCTCTTGAAAATGTCTTGCCAAAAGGGTTTCAAAACCGGGTTGGTGATAGGGGAAAATTTGTGACTGGATGGGCACCACAAACAAAAATCTTGACTCATCCTAACACTTGTGGTATTGTGAGTCATTGTGGTTGGAATTCTGTATTGGAAGCTATGAAATTCGGTCTTCCTATAATTGCTATGCCGATGCACCTTGATCAGCCCGTTAATGCTCGTTTGATTGAAGAACTCGGGGTTGGAATTGAGGTTTTAAGAGATTCAAGTGGAAATCTTAGAAGGGAGACAATTGCACGAGTTAATTACCAAGTGGTGGGAGGTATTGATGGAGAACAGGTTAAGAAGAATGCAAAGGAGATGAAGAAGAAGATTGAAATGACGGAAGAAGAAGAGTTTGATGATCATGTGGTCGAGGAGTTGGTTCAACTTTGTCTCATGAAGAACAATAAGATTTGGCAAATTGCAAGCACCATAAAATACTATGCCTTTTCTTGCTTTGGGTTTTCTCAGATTTAGTGTGTGATGGTTATGTTTTAGTGTTGTTTTTTTTCTCCTTCTGTGTTACGGGTGGCATTAGAACCATCTTAGTTTGTTTCTTTTTCTGATTTTATGTTTTCTAATGTTGTAAGTTTGCCTTAAACTTGTGGCACCTACTTTCCTAGTAAGTTTTTGGAATAAAGTTATTTCTTTGTTGTGTCAATTTTAGCTCTCTCTCTCTCTCTCTCTCTTTTTTTTTGGTTATGTTTTGAGTACATTCGATCTTGTTTTACCACGGATCGATGCAAAGATCAAGGCAAAATAAATAAATAAAAAAATAAAAAAAATCCATAATCAATGTATTCTGCTACTATCTTGACTTCCATAATACAGCAATCCCAGAGATTGTTTGTTTAGATCACTCGATTAGAACGTTCAACATTAGTTTTTTTTTGTTTTGTTGTTGTCGTTGTTTTTTTTTTTTTGGCTTTTTTATGCTATTTGGTATTCATTTGTTCAATCCAAGACTACTAGTTAGGTGGGGAAGAGCCACTTGATGATTAATTTACCGTCGTAAAATAAATGTCAAGTAATTAAGCGCGGAGGGAGGCTAGTAACACGGGAGCTCCTCAAATCTCTCTACATAATATACATTTTCCCCCATACTGACATTACTCTCATTGATCTTATTTTCATGTCGCTGTTGGGATACGTGATTCCTAATTTATGTAATTTGTAAAGCACTAACCCTAATTTCTTTTCATAATCAAAAATCTATTTTAGATCCCTTTTCATTACCTACTTTTTTGCTTATTTGACATGAAATCTTTAGATCGTTGGTAGTTGTATTTTTGCTTCACAATAGAAGTGGGCACATAAAAGCTGCTTGAAGACATGATCTAGCTAGCTTGACGATCTAATGAGGTCACCCTCCATTGGCAATGAATTAAAAAAAAAGGATGACTCAATTAGTCAATTAATTATGACATTCAAAAATTTTAATGCAAAAACCATATCCATTAAGTTCATTACTTTGTTCATAGTATAGGGAGCTGAGAACCATTTTGTTTGTCTTTGGAGTCTTTAGTTGTCTACTGATTGTTTAAATTAACTTTTTACTCTTAATACAATTATACTAAAAATTAAAATTTAAACTCAAAAATCATTTTGGAACAAGGTGTATCACAGTCACTTTCCTAGTATACATTCAAACGGTTTTACTTTGTTGTCATAATTTCAATATTTTTTCTTTTGTGAAAAGTAAGAGACATTTTTTTTTTGGTATAAAACACCAATTACATCGTGTTCCAACTATGATCTTATACCTAACAGTGGTTCAGTAAGTTTCATAAAACCCTCAAAACTATAGATGCTAAAGAAACTAAATCGGTTGCAAAATTAATCTTTCTGTAGACATGTCCTAGTTCTGGCGCCGTTTCGAAAACTCTTTGATTCTTAATTAGTATTGAAAACACATGCATCCTCACTATCTTGTCACTGGACTTAACTATAAGTCGATAATAAACGGGTTGTCAACTTCCGCCTTCATCTGACGACATCCATTTGTTCAAGCAATGTAGAGGCCTTGAAACAACCCCATAACTTTGCTCGAGTGATAAAGCAGAACCCTCTATCTATATCTATATATAGATAGAGGGTTTTGCTCAGAACAAAGTTTGGAGACTTTGAAACAACTAGGAGCTTTGCTCGAGTGATAGAGCAAAACCATATATTCATTTCAAAAATCTTAATGGTGCATTTTGTTTGCACACAAAGGTTTGGTGAGATTCAGTTGTATCGCTAGCCTTGCAAATCGTCCTCTAAATTGTGCAGCTGTATGATGATCAATCCGATTTTCTGAAATACTTTCCTATGATAGAGGTGCATTAGCATACATGGCAAACGAATCCACGCAATCTTTTGTTCTACTTTCGAAACAAAAATCAAATGCACTGACAACTAGTTTAATTACACTGACGCAATAATTAACAAATACAAATATGAAACAAATAATCTCATTGCATGCCGGTCCTACATTAACCCTTTACCTTCTCTAAAAGAATTTTTTTTTTTTTTTTGATTCTCTAAGGCATTAGTTAGTTGAATCATACATTAATTAGGCTGGTTGCTGAGGAGTATCTGATTAGACCATTAATTAAAGTGAGGTGCGATTTTAAGCAACAATTCAAATAAACCAACTTATATAGTACAAGGAAGCAACCATAGAATTGGTCCGTACGCTTGATGAAAGATATAATAACCCTTAAAATCGAGCTTAACCAAAATATTCTTATTCGTAGAGTTTTGTTTTTTTTTAAAAAAAACTTATCGGAACTTGAATCAGTCGTGATAGTAATTTTGAGTAATGGTGAATTCAAACATCAAACGCCGTAAAAATTAAAAAAATAAAAAACAAAAAAAGTAGAAGGAAAATTCAATGCGTACTTTGAAGTAGTCATTTCAAGAATATGTAAAATAAGTAGGATTTGTAGATTTCATCTATTATTAATAAAAGTTGATTTTTTTTTTGTGATAATTTTAATTTGCGCCAAAATATGTAAGAAATTCATACATTCGATGGATCACTGCCAAACGGCCCTTCTATAACTGCTATACCCATTCCGATAAAGATAAAAACCATCGCGGAAGATGGACCAATGACATTGAGGACCATTCAGGGACCAGTAGCCGACGCATTCCGTACCAATCTGGTTGTCAAAAACCTTGACGTTTCCTTGTTTAGATCCCCACCAAAAATGGCAAAAGAATTGGGTTTTCACGAAAGGATATCCAGACCTAAACGACCAACTCCATTCTTGCATAGGAGCAAGTGTTCTGTACCCAAGATCGTTGTCACCAGAAAAACAATGCGCGCGCACACTGTGACCTAAAAGATTCACTATTTGAACATTTGCTGCTTCAGACACATGAAATGTTGAAAGCAACAATATTATTGTTATTATTGTTTGCATCGTAGCAAAACTTAAAATGTTTTTGCTCAAAACTATTAAGCAACTCATTTCGACCCAAATTTCAGATACCCCTTTTTTTTGGTGGTATGATAAAAAGCTTTATATACTACTATAAGAGCTACAGGAAAAAAAAGGATATGTTAGTGGATCTTAATGTCATTGAATTAATGTTTGGGATAGCAATGAATGTCTAGCTAGATGTCACAGTTGGCGTTATCCTGGTTAATACATATAGGTATAAACCCAAATACTCTCTTACCTTAGGAGAGTTCGTATATTAATTAATTTGTGTTATCTAAATTGAGTTGTCTTATCTTACGTACATGCAAGCATTATTAAGATTAATATTGTTAACCTAAAAAGTATTGTGTATTAAGTGATTTCAATTTTTTTTTTATTGTTTTTGGTTGTTGTAAACTAAACAAACAGTACTCTTATATATATTTTAAGACGGAGAAAATATAATTATAAATTAAATCAACGTGTATATGCAACGGCAATGGCTACTGAACAGAAATGAAACCACCAAAAGAAAGTGAAGATCGACCCAAATTCCCACATTAGTTCCTTCCCGGTCCTTCGAAAAGGGAAAATTAAATATTGTGATGAAGAATTGAAAGATGCAGATGCATGAAAACTGCTCGTTTTCTAGGAGACTAATGAGATTGTTGTGGTAATAATGGATAGCGAGCTGGTTAATTACATAATTTCACAAATGGACATCGGAAAAGTGAGTCATTTTCATTTTGTTTTGAAGGAATTAATTGAATCATTTTGATATAATTATATCACTACCGCAGAAATTAAAACATTTTCGTAGAAATTTTTTTAAATCCATTGGTAATGGACAATTAATAATACTTACAATTAGTCCAATACTTTAATGGATTGCTGTCGATCAAGTTTTAGAATAATTAATTATTTGTACAATCTGAGGTTTGATTCGTGATAACTGCGGATGATGGCTCCAAGAGTTTGTTATAAATCTTGGGTATGATACAATTATTAGAGCTGAGCTATGAGGTTCATTTCAAGGTTTACAGTTAGCTTGGGATTTGGGGAGTCTGTCAAGTCATTGTTGAGGTTGATAAGTTATTGTGGTCCAAATGGTTGAGACGAAGGAATTCGTTGACATTGCAGCTTAGTTTGAGGAGAATGTGATACGCCAGTCGTCATTAACATGTGAAGAGATTAAACTTATTTATTGGAACTTCAATTTTGCAACCGATTATTTTGCATCATCAGCTGGTTTTTTTTATTCTATAAATTTAAATGATCCATTGCTTGAAGTGAAACCGTATTTAGCGCATAACATTATTGGTGTTTCTTACCATCAAAATCTTTTAATTTTGATGGGAAGGTTTGGTGAGGTGATTTAGTTAGGGATGGTTATTATCAGGAGGTTCTTTTACCGTTAGAGCTATCTAATTATTTTAATTTATGTAACTTTGGCCCTTGATTGTCAAAAAATATATATATATTTTTATTTATCAAAAGTAATTAAAGAGGCCCAGAACCCAGCTTTTTAATTATCGTTTTTTTTACTCCCACCATATAATTTTTACTCAACTAATTTATTCTATTTTTACTAATTAACCTGATTGGTTCCATTCCTTTAAAAAGAAAGAAAAAACAGCAACACAGGGTTAATTGCGATTAGTTCCTTTCCAGTCAAGTTTGGTCTAATACTGCGGATTCTCCATTGGCGGAGAATTGAAGCTGAAAATGGAAAAATTCAATCATCAATATATGGCCAGACTAACTTCCCTAAATTAATTAGGGTTTTTGGGAGACTTTTTCTCATCGGTGGGTTTACCCTCCTCTCTTTTATATTGAGATAGATTTATATCATCAACATTGCCGTCATTTTCACCCCCTCTTGCAACGAAAAGAAATAGAAAACCAAAGAAGAAACAATGAACTGTTTCAAGCTTTTTGTTGATGATGATGGTGAAGATTATAGCAACCAGAATAGGGGAAAACAACCACAGTTCATGGTGAGCAATTTACTTCTTAACTTTGTTCTTTTGTTTTCTTTCTTTTCCTTCTTTTGGGGCTTGGTTAAAGTATATATATATTGATGATTAATCTTTGGTTTTCTGCTCAATTTTTCGATCGCCCCGCGGAAAATAATAAAAAAAAGTGTTGTATCATAAGGGTGGATACTGATAGATCAAGGTGGCATAAACATGTGCACAAAGTTCTCAAAAGCATCCACGGTATGTATTTGGTTAATTCATCAAATTACTCTCTTTGTACCTAATTTTATTATGACTGATTAAAAACATTTGACTTGTGGATCTTGTAATACGATTCAAACATGCAATAAGTTTTGTGTTGGTTTTTCCTTTCTAAATAAATAGTTTCTATTTCAATTAATTCTTATTGTGAGAAGGGTATACGATTAATTGATTGGTTTGAACCGAATTAATGAATATATATACTATATATTATATAGGTATGCGTCATTGCGTAATCGAGAAAGATGGACTGTTGGAGGTATCAGGTTTTGTGGATCCAGATTTGCTAGTGAAAGCCTTAGGCAAGGCAAAATCAAAAATGGAACTAAAGTGGCTCCAATTTGGAAAGTGTTCCACTAATCTGTTCGGACCAGACCGTCGACAGTTTATGATGATCCAACCCGCGGCGCCACCTCCTCCGGTCATTACTCCAGCGCCGCCTTCACCACTGCAAGCCACCGGATTCGGTTATCCTCCCGGTGCACGGTACCCTTATCGACATGACGGACGCCTCTACGGTAGTGATATCCATCCGTATTATGATGGTAATGAAGGTTGTCATATAATGTAGATCATTGTTAGGTTTTTTTAATTGTTTCCTTTGGTATGTTCTTATGATGGTTTGATCATAGTTGTGTAGGCTTATTAGAGTTGTAGGATTGAACTTATACTCCCTCCGTCCCGAAATTATTATCTAATTTAAAATTTCACTTTTAAATATAATTTGTACTAAAAATGAAATTTCAAATTGGACAATAATTTTGGAACAGAGGGAATAATATATTATCATACATCTATCGAGATGTTTCCTATTCAGCAGTGTGAATTTTATTAATCACGCTGTAGAAACTATATATGGTGTTTTTTCATCAATGGTGCATTTAGATGTCTTCAAGTTTTCTCCCTTTCCCACCCTATCAGATCTTAATTAAACTCTCATCATCAATATGGATTAAACGTTAACTACTTCCAATTCTAATGGATACTAGGGTATTTATACATTAAGCCTGTTTCGGAAAACTCACACGTATAGCAGTAAATTCGAAGCATAATTATTTCCATGTGAGATCAAATATGTTGCAATTGATTGAAAATTGAAACTTAAAATTCCCTGTAGCATGTGGCAACATTCTTCATTCGAAGTTGGGGTATGAACTTTCTTATACCACTCAAGAATTCCCTTCAATTTGCAAGTAGTGATGTAAAGCCAAATATCCGTGTCATGCCAACATTTTGGTCTGCAATGACCTGGAAATTTTAAACAAGTCGAGGAAGGAATTTAAGTAAATTGCTGAAAAAACAAAAGGCAAAAAGTTACCCAGAAGAATAAAATCAGTGAATAGTCTTTATTATCTCGAGTGCAAGTTATCTTATATTATCTTGAGTTCAAGTTATCTTATATATAATCAACACTTGAAACACATAATTATATAAAAGCAAATACTTTTTGCTTGATTAATCGGTTTCCATTGAACGCATAATTTTGCGAGTACTTAACCATGAACGGACTGGAGATTACGAATACAACATTGCAAACCCGATTCTTGCAATCCAAAAGCTAAATATATATAATTAGGAACTCAATCCCCTCTGGTTTCATTCTAAAGGGAATTGAAAATGTACTAATGTTTACTTAATTTTCTGCAACTCTATATTAAAATCTGTGCTCAAGTCCCTCTATTACAGCAATAGAATGCTTTAGAATGAAAATGTTAAGACACACATCAACATATTCTCTCTCATGTAAGAATCAGTAGAGGACCTTGAAGCTAAATCCAGTTCTGATTCAGCAAAATTCATGATACATTTCTTGTTTCTTAAGTCTGTCTCTCGCGCCCGCATATCTCCGATTAAGCATCGATGATAGTTCAAAAATAAATTCCACCAAAAGCCGCCAAAGATAGAAACCAGTATATATATATGCTTTTAAATTTCCATTCATCTTAATTCAATAAGGAAGTTTGTATTACATATGTAGTACGAGTTTGAATTCTAGAATAGTATCTCATTCCCATAACTCAAGACATAAGAGGTATCGACCTAGATGTATTTTTATTTAGTATGAAACAAATATGTTGGGATTAATTAGAGATGTAATTATGAACCTTAACGTTCACAGGGTATAAGTATAAAAAAAATCAATATTAATGTAGAGGAACATGAATCACACTATTAAGGTTACCAAAATCAAATCAATATCAATGGAGGGTTTTTTATTATTATTATTTAAAAAAAATAAAATAAAAGCAGGATGTTCACCAAATGACGAATGAACAAAAAGTTACGGTAGAAACAGGAACCGACGCTTTATATGTAGCAGTAGATAGATTTGTGAACTATATATAAATAAACCTGGCTACGTAGGGGTATTATTCAACATCGGTCTTACATTCTTCTTGATTAAGTGCTTCTGTCTGTATGTATCATTTGCGGAGATAACTTACTTGAAAGCTTCAATAACCATTAGCTCTTCGTTGAGGATTATCTAAGTAAACGAACCACATTAAGTTCTAGCTACTAAAGAAAATAAATAGATCCGGGATATATCAAGTAACAGTTCAACTTGTCCTTAGAAGTGAATATGGCACAATTTACGTAGAACAAGTGAATATGATGATACATTGTTTCTTCTATGTCGTAGGGAAGAAACGGTTGTTTACAAAATTAAATATGTTTCACCACTTTATTCTCATAAAAAGAGTAAACCATTCAAATTGACCAAATTTGGCAGAAGGAATATGCATCTCTCCTTTTTAGACGACTCTTTTACTCATCAATCAATTTAGTAAATGTGTGCTTCAATTGATTAACAGACCCCGAACCTACTCCACTGCCCACGAGGGCCTTACTCCTAAATCGGAACGGGAGTGTAACGCTTGAACACATCTATAGGGAAAATGAACTATGTAACAGATTACTTAGCATGACTCGCATCGATCACTAGGAGATGTACATGTTTAGAGAAACTGTCATTACCAGTAAAATCATAACTTAAACATGACGTAATCAAGATAGTACATCTTTACTTTTGTTATAGCTCGTAATTAGACTACTAGCCTCCTTCTCGTCTCTTCCTCGGTAGGAAATAAATAAATCTATTGTAAGGGATATGATTCTAGTGTAATTTCTTAGAGGGTTGTATTTTAATGGAATTTTTTAAGTGTTTAATTTCTAGTAGTGAATATCATAGATATCCGTAATCTCATTTGAGGCGTGTAAAAAAATTCACATTTATAAATAGGGCCCACAAGAACGCCATCTGGTGTATCTCTTGGATATCTATAATCTCCTTTGAGACATGTAAGAAAAATTTCCCACATCTATAAATAGAGCCTAGGAGGATGTGGTCTATAATATATCCATGGTTAACAATGCTAAAACCCTAAATCCCTCTTTGCGCCTCAGTCTCTCTTTTCTTACTTTCGCTTCTAATTGACCCATTTTTCTTCTCTTCCTTCGTCAAATCAAACAATTTTTTTTTTTTTTTTTAACTTTCTCTTTTGTTCTTTTTGTTTTGCGTTGTTCTGGAGGACTGAAGTCAAGATCTTTTCTGGTTTCAATTTCTCTTTTTTTTTCTTTTTAATTTTGACTTCTTTTTTTTTTTTGGCAAATAAGACAGGATGGCGCACGAGACAGCCGCCGCGGCACCGCCACCACCACCATCAACCCCTGCCGGAGCAGGTGCGCAGCCGCCGCCACTGTCACTGGAGCCAGGGTTCAGATTCCACCCCACAGATGAGGAATTGGTGATGTATTATCTGAGGAGGAAGATCTGTGGGAAGCCCTTCTATTCCCAAGCGGTCAGCGAAACAGATGTGTACAAAACAGAGCCATGGCAACTCGGACAACATTCATCATCCAAGACCCGAGATCTGGAGTGGTACTTTTTCAGCCCCGTGGACAAGAAATACGGCACCGGGTCTCGCCTGAATCGCGCCACCGGAAAAGGGTACTGGAAAACCACCGGCAAGGATCGGTGCGTCCTTCACAAGAATAAGAAAATCGGGAGCAAAAGGACACTGGTTTTCCATGACGGGAAAGCGCCACGCGGCATAAGAACCGATTGGGTGATGCATGAGTACAGGCTGGAGGACGAAGAGCTGCGGAAAGAAGGATTAATTAATCAAAATGCATTTGTCCTCTGCAGGATCTTCCACAAGAAAGGCCTTGGACCCCCAACCGGAGATCATTATGCTCCATTTCTCGACGAGGAATGGGATGACAATAATAATAATAATCATGAGCCTCAAAATGGTGAATTGACTCCAATTCCAATTCCTCATCATCAGGAAATACCATTTATTATTTCCAACAGGGAGAAAAACAAAAGTCCAATGCAAGATGATTCAACACTTTTGGAATTCCCAATTCTACAATCTGTCGAAACTAAATCCTACCAGAGCTCCCAGGCAGGTGAAGGAAGCAGCCGCACGGGGGGCGGTGCATTTGATTCCTCGAATCTGGAGAAATCTGTGCCGCCTGGATTCTTGAAATTCCTCAGCAATTTGGAGCAACAGAATCTGGATGGGATCATGGAGCGGGAGGCATGGAGGATGGAAGCGTTTCGGGCACAAGCCCTGGTTAACAACTTCGAATCCCGCATCGATGCACTCAACAGGGAGAATGAAGACTTGAGGAGGCGTGTTCGAGGTGGCTAAAGAAGAAAATATCGAAATCAATATGTTGACTATTTATATGTAGCTTTTTTTTTTTAATCCGCTGTAATAGTTTCTTCTTCTTCAAAGAGTCAGTGTTATTAAGTCTTAGAGGTCAAATGTAAGAGATTTTGCCTTTTGGCAGAATAACGTAATCCAAATATATTACAATAATTTCGAAATAAATGGAACTTGTGATCCCCTTAGTGAAATAATGGCCTGTTATCTCATGGGACACGTAATTTTAATTACCATATGATTATATGAACATGGACTTTAGTTTCAGAGCCATGATCATGAAAACTCGAGCAAAACATGTTGACAGCATCGCAAAGTTAAGAAAAATAGAAATAAAATTTTTTTCAAAAACAAAAAAAAAAAAAAAAACAGAGAAGACAAAAGCACATTGACCCAGATGATGATACTTTTTGTGGCATGGTAATAAAGCTATTAAATAAGAGCTAAATACAAAATATGTAGTGGATTTATTGAGCTTGTACAATCAACAGTGTTTCAAATTCATTCAACTGAGGTTTTTTTTTTTTTTTTTTTTGAGGAAAACTGAGGTTCATGTATAGAATAACATTGACCACATTGAAAGGTTTTAGACGAAAATGCTACTTATTTATTGATTTGCCTTGTAACTATTCTGATTCAAATAAATCTATATAAATTCAGAAATTTTCATGATGCCGTTGGAGATAAAATTTATATTTAATTTCATTGATTTTTCATAAATTTGTTTCCTCAAAATATAGTACCATACATATAATGCCATTGGAGATAAGATTTGATATTTCATTTCATTAATTTTTCATAAATTTATTTCCTCAAAGTATATATAGTACCTTACATATAGTGCCATTGGAAGATAAAATTTGATATTTAATTTCATTGATTTTCATAAATTTGTTTCCTCAAAGTATAGTACGATGCATATACAGATGAATAACAACAATAACCTCATTAACTTGTTTTAGCCGGGATGTGTTTCCGAAAAGGTGCAGACCATAATCCATCTAGCCCTATTTCTCATGGTCGAGATAATAACAAACATCAACGAAATTAATCCTAAAAAATAGTCCATGAAATTCTTTTCTTAACCGGTTCTGAGTATGGTTGGTAACCTAAATGTCAATTGCCTCAAGGTGATCATATAAACTATGAAATGCACCAAATTAGGGTACACCACCACACACAGTCACACACACCAACACGATGGGCTTCCACATTGGAGAATATTAATAGTATTTCAGATTTTTAAATTTTCATTTATTTTAATTTGCATAATATACCTTGTTCCAAGATAGAAAAATTTATATACTGTGCATAAGTCACTGCCAGACAGTTAGATACTTCATTTAAATTAACTTTGAAGGGTCCAATCAGGAATAAAATCAAAGGTAAAAATAATCATTGAGTCGATTATGACAAAAGAATTCATTGTCCTTAAATTTAAATGATTGGCTTTTTAAGTTGTGCAAATCAATTAAGCCCAAATTATGATAAAATGAAATCTTTGTTTTTCTTTTTGTGATTTATTTAAATAAATAAAAGAGTAAAGCTTTTTAGTAAGGAAAAGAAATCCAGCTAGGCTCTTTGCTAACCTGAGTCCAAGTGTATGAAATTATGAAGAAAAGTGACAAATGGAGCACTGCATGCATGCAAGCAGTCAAAAGTCAAAACCATGACAGTCTGCCACAACGAGAAATGGAGGAAACAAAAAAGAAGAGCGCCGTTGCCGGGGATCGAACCCGGGTCGTCCGCGTGACAGGCGGAAATACTTACCACTATACTACAACGACTTCTTGTTGTTGCTGGCTGACTATAGCCAATGACCAACTAAATCCTATTGTCTTGTCTTCAACTCAACATCAAATTTACTGAGAAGTGAGAACTGAATTCGTTAATTTATTTATTTACTTTGTTGAGAAAAAAAGGGGTTTTGATAGTAAAGAAACCTCCACAAAATAATGAATACCATACACTAAGAGAGCAACATTTAACATTTATGTTGTTGAATCATTTAAATGAACAAATTGTTTCTATGAAATTATACTAGCCACATCCAGGACATACTTCCTATACTGTTACACAACTTTTTTATTTCATTTGTCCAGGGATAGATGGAAGAAGTGTTCCATTTCAATTATGGCTCTTATTATGAAATAGATATGAATTGCCATTTCTCAAAATCCAAACATAAAGGAGCTGTGAAATTTGGCCAATGCATCTTATGCTAACTTGAAAGTTGATGTTTTGACGAAATTTCTTTTATTAATAGTTCACAAAAGATTTTCTGTGACATTTTTGTGTTACATTTACTGTAATCATAATTAGATTATTTAATAAGTATTTGATCAAATATAGTATCTAAATGCGCCAACAATAATGACACTCGTTTATTATTTTTAAAATATGCCTCAATAGTTACTCACTGATTTTTTTAAAAACTTTAAGAGGGTATTTGTGCAAGATTTCGAAAAATAAGAGGTCATTTCTCAAATTACGAGTACCCTTTCAGATTCGAATACGATGACGTTTGCTCGTCTTACGTTCTTAAAAAAACCAAAAACGATGATCTGAGAAAAGCTCCATTCTCAAATCCTCAAAAAAGTTCTGAGATCATTAATGTCTGCAGAAAGAATGGCGACCAATCACGCAATCCCGAATCATTGATCCTCGATTTTGCCTCCATATTCTAATCACACGCACTCACACAGTGGGAAAAGTGTAGAAAAAAATTTAGAAATGGAAATGCATTACCCTAACACTCTCACCAGGCAGCAACACCAACAGACGGTTCACCGGCCATACAGCCACGGCGGCGGCGGCGGCGGTGGAGGTGGAGGTGGAGGCCCAAGCCCTATGGTTGAAGTTCCGAAACAGCCATCGCATTCGCCGTCAAATGTCAACCGGAGTACCGACGGGGAGCTTCGGGCCGCGGCTGCGCTTGACTGTAACCTTAATTCTCTCTGTGATCATATCCAGCTGGAAGGTTTCAACAATGGTGCCTTTTCAGACGTCGTTGTTCACGCCATGGGTTCCACTTACCACCTCCATCGGATTATTTTATCCCGTAGCTCTTATTTCAGGTCAGCTTTGCTCCCTTACGCATTGTTTCATTCCTAACATAATTTTTTTCCTTGTATCGTTTGAATTTTCGCCGAAAACACAATTGATTTATCAATTTAGTAGACAAACTGTGAGCTTGCGTTATTGGACCGTGCTTTTATCTATGAGGTGATAGTTCATATTGGCAAGCATCGAGTTGGCAAGCACCGGGTTTGTTGTACTGTTTCTATTTCAAATTTATTTGAATGATAGTTGCCTATAATCATAAGAGAGTTTCTATTTTTTTGAAAAGTTTCAGTCTAAGATGGTGTTGTTGAAATTCTCAAGTTTAAATATGATGATGATGATGATGATGATGATTGGATGCATTTTTACCCATGGACTGTAGGTTTGTGATTTTTTCAAATGGAAAGATGCCAAAACTAGCTTGATATGATGCATCCATTGTGCTTTAAATACTCCATCATTCTGGAGATATGAAATTATAAAATCCCTGTCCTATTTGGATAAATACCCTAATCGCAAGCGTAAATGGGGTAGTGTGATAACATTAATACATTTGGTAATTGACAAGCCGAAGAAATTACCTATGAAGTAGAATCGGCTGTTTTTCTTTTCCATTGCTATTAGTTATCTGCTGTTGTAATCTAGATTTTTAAATTATCCAAGCATACATTTTAAGATTTGACTACTTGTATCTAAAACAATATTCAGTTCATGATGTTTACTTACAAGCCTGATTGCATCTTGGTTTTCTGTTTGGTGTGTGCAGGAACATGCTTCAGGGTCCCTGGAAAGAAGCCAATGCACCTGTGTTGACTTTGCATGTGGATGATAATAATGTAAATGGGGAGGCTATTGCAATTTCTTTAGCTTATCTGTACGGACATTATCCAAAGCTTAATGATAATAATGCTTTTCGAGTTCTTGCTGCAGCATCATTTCTTGACCTTCAGGTAAATTATTCTTTAGAGTTTCTAGCTTTTTTCATTTTGTTTGACAAATTCTCCCATCGGTGGTGTTTCTGCTTCATTGTAATTTCTCTACAACCCAATTTTACATATGCAGGATTTGTGCGCGATCTGCACGGATTACATAATATCTGAACTTTGGATTTCAAACTTCTTGGCTTATCAGGTTGGAGGTTTCTGTTTCTGGTTTCCATGTCCTTGTTACTTATTTAGGTTTATCTTTTACTATAACATCATCCTGCGTTCAGGTATTTGCAGAGAGCCAAGATTATGGAATACATGGAGAACGAGTTAGAAATGCTTGTTGGGGCTACCTTTGTCAAAGTGGATCTATGGAACTTAAAGAGGTAATGGACGACAACTTTGTAGGTTACTATTAAGTTTCCTTTTTATAGGGATTTTGTTTTAATAGTTGAAATTGAGGTTTGTGGATGAATACGGATAAATATTTAGGTCATAGTGTCCAGGTATAAGTTGTCTTATGCGAACTGTTTCGGCTGTCAATTAAATGTACGTTTTACGTGTTCTACCTCTTCTTCCCATGAGACTCTTAAATGAATATCCTTACATTCATGCCAATATATCTTTTAACAGTTAAATATCTAGTTGGCACTAATATTTTTGTCGGCTTGCTTTTATTGTCTTTCTCCCTATGGCTCAATGTGGGGTTGAGGATCTACAAAGCTTGCCATGATCAACCAAGGGCGTCATTTCATTAAATGGGGTTTTATGTAGAACAAAATAGTTACTGTTTTGTTTTTGAGCTCATATGCTTCTTTGTTGCCCAATGAATGATTTCAGTACTAACATTTTTTCACTTTATCTGATCAAGACAGGTGCTTCCTAAACTTTCTTCTCAAACATTGCATGCTTTGTTGACCTCTGATGAGCTGTGGGTGCCCAGTGAAGAAAAGAGGTTATATATCATGGTGTCTTTTTGCTTGCATTATCTGATTGGACATGCAAAGCTTTTCTTTTAGTCTCACTGGAACTAGAGTTGTTCTTTTACTGTTTGCACAAATAGGCTGTATTAATCTGAAAAGACCGATACTTCCAAAATTTTCTGTTCTTTTGTTTTTCTTCGAAGAAGCCATATTATTGCCAACTAGTCTACAAGCCTGAATTCACAGGAAGGGCCTTGTTTATGTTGATGTGGTTTAACAGTTCTACTGTCTTAATGTTAGGTTTGAACTGGCATTGCACACTCTTCTTGCAAAAGTTTCTATCTGTGAGGCAGAAAATCAAGAATCAGAAAGTTCTGGGGCTGAGGCGGCAAATGTTAGTTACTCTGAGGATCCAAAAGGAAGTGATAATAACTTGATTGATGGTTCCCCAGAAAAATTGGATGTTGAATTAGGGCAATTAAGTTTGAAAGACGAACTCGATAGCCATACTACTGCTCACAATATTTTGGTTGAACTTGCTGATCGTGTTGTTGATTCTCAATCTGAGGGTGCAAGCTGCAAACAGCAGGTTCAACAAACAGCATGTGCTCAACCACCCATGGAGTTGGGGTACCATAGCAGTATTAGAAGATCATCATCAAATAATGGATTTGCATACACGGGTGGCATGGAGTCCTCATGTTCTTATCTTGAAGTGCCAGTTGGTGCTCGTCCATATGGACTTAATGGAAATAACATGGCTATGGAAGGACCATCTGAAGAAGATTCATGTTATCTACTGAATAACAACAGTTGGCTTCCTGGAGATGAAAAACACTGCATATCGGTGAGCTCATCTTGTAATAATGCCATGCCTAGTGAATGGGAAAGGAATAGTATGCCGCCTCTAGCATGGGGTGGTAGGACTGTTGGAAGAAGAGAGGTTAAAACTTGCTTTTCCGGGCATAATGGGGTGAACACGGAAGATTACGACGCTTTTGTAAATATATTTGAAGGAGGCTCTCTCTTGTACAGCAACATGTCTTTTGAAGCTCTTCTAAATGTTAGAAAGCAGCTTGAAGAGATGGGATTCCCGTGCAGAGCTGTGAATGATGGTCTTTGGCTCCAGGTATGAAACTGATGTTGGATCATTTTAAGCTGTAATTTGAGAGGGCATGTATCTTTTCCTCGTGTATGTTTTCCTAGTTTCACACAGAAATACGTAGGACCAGCGTGTTTATAAGCGCTTTCCAGAGCGGCATATTTAGACGGAAGCTTTCCTGGATGGAAGTTGTTGTCTTGACAGACGCTTATGCTACCTTTTACATCCATGTAATTCAATTGTCACTTATTTTTTTATAGCTGCTCTTGGTTGATATGAATGTTTTCTTTTCAGATGCTACTGAGTCAGAGGGTGCAAGATGTTGGTGCAGAGACATGCCGCAATTGCTGCCTTATGAGTTTTGCATGTGCCTGTAGGCCGCCATTTGGATATTCTCGTGGTGCTTCAACAACTGGATATTACATGCCAGAGTATGATCATAGTGATCCCTCCAATAATGTTGGAAATGTCTTTGTGACTGATTCTGTTCAAGGAGAAGGAAATGGACTATTTAGACCTGTGCGTCTACATGTTCGTGGACCTAATGATGGGCTTGCTGGTCTCGGACGAGGAACAACATTTGTACCTGCAGCTGCATGGCCACCAACACGATTTGTTTTTTCTCGTGTACCATTTGGAGTAGGTAGCCGTAACTCTCAGCAGTCTATTGGTAATGATGATCCTGAGGGTAGAGCTGATCACAATGGAGACCTTGCTGGCGATGGATTGACAGCTTTAGTTGGGCTAAGCCAAGGAGGGAATAGTGCTGGTAATGTTCATGGGGAGCAATATAACACAGATATGCAGAGCAGAATGGTAGATTCCTCTGTTGCTGGGCCCAGTAATAGGGGTATTCACATGCAAATTCTTGATTCCTCTGAGCATCCCATTGGAATTCAATGGGAAAACACAAGCAATTGTATATCTTTGGATATGAAAACACCTCTAAGTCACTTCCCTCCCTTTCGCTTTGCGTAAGTGATCTTCATTTTTCTTTGTTGATTGTTTATATTTTCTTACCAGGTTACACAAGTTTAGGATTGCTGTAAATCTGGAGTTGGAGATTCTGGTTTCTGTTTAAGATTCTTATTACATCTAACTTGTTATCTGGTTTCTGTTATTTTCTTACTGTGGACCATAGTATTTTACAGTAGAAGTATTAAATAGCGCGCCGGCTTCAGTTTAGATTTTATGACGTTCATGAATAGAATTTCGAACAGTGGCTGATTCTCCTTGTGACTCGTGATCTGTGCTTGTTATCTTTTCCTCTACATTTTCTACAAAGAAAGCTCTAATAGGGTGGTTCAAGTTGATGGTAAAGTAATTATTAAAAACTGGAGTGCTTGATATTTCCATTTTTATGGGATTAACAACTCTCAATATCTTTTGCAGGGTTGAATTTCAGGATGTGCACAGGCTGAATGATGGCCAAGTGAAGCACTCTCCTGAAGTCTTTTATGCCGGTTCCTTGTGGAAGGTATCTTAACTATTTTCTCCCTCAAAAGCGAGTGCATGGTCACGTTTACTGTTGTTTTGTTTCTATTTTCTTGTCATTTCTGATCGTTTTGTGATGTTGGATGACTTCCATCTCTGCACTATAAATTTTCGGCCTTGCTGATTTTTTATTTATTTATTTTTTCTTTGAAATTATAGGTTAGTGTTCAGGCTTTTAGCGATGAAGACCCTCAAGGACGCAGGACCCTTGGTACATTTCCCTCAACTTTTAAGATGGAACCTTTTGATTGCTATATTTCCCAGTTAACATCTTTAGTTCTGTTGCTTCAGGACTTTTCCTTCATCGACGGAAGGCTGAGCTCAGTAGCACAGTCAGAAAGGTTAGCACTTCCGTGAATCATTCTCCGAATGTCTATTTAATTTATTATATTTTTGAGTTGCGATGAGATTGAAAAGAGAAATGGTGGGGAAGGAGTATTGGTTCTAGTTTTTATCACCATCAGAGAAGATCCCTAATCGTGCCTGCACTTGCCAGGTTTTATCCTTCAATCTATCTCCTTCTAGTATTTATACTCTTTTTTTTTTTTTTTTTCTTTTTGCGGGTTTCAGGTCCATATGTATATTGATACTCGCGAAAAGGTCACTGCAAGATATCAGGTAAAGTTTGCTGAATACTTTTATGTCTAATAGCCAGCAATCCCAGGTATCAGCATTCCTAAATCTGAAGAGTTTCACCTTTCTGGTCTGTTTTATGTTGACATGTGATGAACCAGCTGATATGTCCATCAAAGAGAGAAGTCATGGTGTTTGGAAGCTTCAAACAAACAGGAACACTTTTACCAAAAGCTCCAAAAGGATGGGGTTGGCGGACAGCACTGTTGTTCGATGAGCTTGGTGACCTCCTTCAGAATGGAGCACTGCGAGTAGCTGCTGTTGTACAGCTTATTTAAGGCAGAAAGGTGAGACCTTTAATGAAGAATCCATCATTCCTGAGGATCATAGATGGAACTGTAGTATTATACATCTATACTTCATACGTGATGTTGAATCTATTAGCTGTAAGATAATTAATAAAAGGTCACATCAGACTGTAGTATTAAGATACTTAATGCGTGAAGTCAGTAGATGGGCCTTTAGGCTTTTACTTAGGTATATGTACCACAGTATCTTTTCTTGTAGAATGAAACAAAAATACATTTTGCCTGATACTCTCATTGAGATTGATTGAATATATCTTTAGAGTTCCATTGCAATCAAGAGCTGTTTTTGTGTGTGACATAAATCATGGGTTTTAGTTGGTGGGAATGTTATCGCAGACTATTTATAGGTGTTCATCATTATTGAATTATTGGGTAAATCGAGCTTCTCTAGTCGAATCAGCCTTCAAGAAAGGCTTGACCATAGAAAAGAGTAGCTCATCCTACTTTGATATAGAACCAGAAAGGGTTGCGACCCTTTCTAGATCCGTATGGAAGTATAGATGGCGCCCCCAAAACCCATTCCGGTTTCAATCTTGTCTGCATCTGACTTCCGACCCTTTTACTGTTCCTATGGAAGACTTGATGCCGTAGACACTGTTGACTGTTCCATTGGGGACCTAACCGACAAGGCGGCAACCATAGACCGGCTTAAATGCCATCAGCTGCTATCTGTTTCTCCTTAAATGCATCGAACTAACTCACTATATTTAGGACGCATTGAAACATGTTTACGTTTGGCTCAGAAGACATGTACGAAAAAAAGAAGTCCTAACAACTAAGAAAATTTTCTTCATTTATTGCGTTGTAGCTTTCAGTTAGTGGTATTAGTCTAGTACTTTGCATATTGGGGGAAAAACATAGAAAAACTGATGAAATTTTTGTAAATTTCTCTTCTATCACCCATGAAAAAAACAAATCCAAACGGCATAGGATCTTCTGTAAAATTTTTGTATGACACTCCCTGTGACATTGGTTAAACAATTAATACGTGTTGATAATTAATTAACGCCATAACTAGATAATAAGTGAATCCTGTTTAATAAGTGGTTAATCACGTGTCAAGATTTTAGTTAATGTCACAAGAAATGTAATACAAAAGTGTCACAGAAAATCTCTCGTACAAATGAACTTATGGGGAACTCAATTTGGGCATTTTGAGTCTTTCAATTTTTAATGTCAATTCCGAACCTTAACCCACGCAAATAACAGACTTGATTAGTCATAACAACAACTCACCCTTCTGCCCACTAGAATTCTCCTTTCTGCAACAGTGATCAATTCGATCAAGATTTTGCTGTAAATCACATTGCAACTCCCTGTTTATTGACATTGAGGGAAAAGAAAAAGACAAAAAGTAGTGCAGGCTGTAGTTCTTGAATGGCTCACTGATTTGATATTCTGACATGGAATGATTGATTCCATCATATTTTTTTTTTTTTAGCCATTGTCGGTCTTGTAACTATTTTTATATTTATTTTTTATTTTTCTTGTAGTCATTCAAAATTTAGGGGTGGCAAACGGTTTTCGTATCTAGTATTCTAGTATCAAAAATGGGAAAAAAAAAACATCGTTTAGACATCAAAATTATTTCCACCAAACAAATTTAAAACTTATTCTGGTGATACAAGCTAGGTGGTTTCGATTTCTATGTTTTATTATTATTTCAGTTTGTCCGAAAACGATACAAGATAAGGTTATTATTTTTATACGAGTGCTGGCAAAATTGAATAAAATAAAATAAGACACAATAATATGTATATAACGAGAATAATTTAATGATCTGGACCATATGTGGTAATGATTGATCAATGTCAAGTTTTGTAGTAATAGTATTAAACTTTGTTTGTTTCTTTTTCTTGATGATATTTTTAAATTAAATTATTATTAATTGTTCTATTTCATCATAATTTTTTACGTTTTTAATATATTTTTTTACATTTTTAATATAAAAAACGTCTAAAAAAACGAAACAAACAAAAGTTAAGATTTTCTTAAAATCACATTACACGAAGCATATTTGTCCACAACAGAAAAACCAAGAAAGACTGCGTACCATTTGATATCGACATATTTGACCTTTGTCGTTTTATTAGATAGATTCGGATAATTTAACACTATTACTGTTTTATTTATAAAATACAAATTTAAATCAAATCTAGTCCAAAAGAAATCTTATAAATAAAACTAGAAAGAGTATGAGCTTTCGTTTAAATAAATTTCCGGGAGGAACATTATGAAAATGACCTTCTAAACTTCCGATGATCTCAAATGTTGAAAGATTCTCACAGTGCATGCAGTTCTGTTATGAAAATTAAAATATACTGTACTAATTTTGTGGCAGATTATTTAATTTTGAAATTTATTTTTAGTTGTATAAGTATGTTATTAACCATGACTTTATGATATATGATGTTGTTAGGGCAGTATTTTGATTTGGCATTTTCCCATTTTTTACGAAAATATAAAGATATTTGTTTTCTCTGTCCAAAAAAAAAACGTTATTAAATTGAAATAGTGTAAAAATAACTTTTCTAGGATAGAGTATTTTACAAATTAATTTTTCTATATTTACTATATATATATTATATGACGTCTTTTTATTCATTTTGTTCTACTCACGATTGAGACAAAGTTAAAGAATTAGCCATGTTTTTGAAGGTCGAGCAAGGAAGTTGAAATTTGAACGAAATGCATGACATCAAGACGTGTGTATATTATTATTTAAATCCATAGGATTTAGAAATTGACAACAGTGTACTATTAAGGTTTTTATTTTTTATTTTTTATTTTTTATTTTTTTTGTATATTACTTTTTTCTCTCTATTTTAATAGTCTAAATTTTGTGTAACACATAATAATGTATATTAGGTACTACAAGATAAACTACTAGAGTAGAACGGAGAGATAATCTTATTTTATCAGTTAGTATTTCAGTATCGAATTTTGACGTTTAGTATATGGAGTATTCTAGCTAAGACAAAAATATATCAATATATATATATATATATATATATATTTTTTTTCTGGTTGTTGTGAGACGATGATGAATCGATGTTGATTAAACCTTCTAGAAGACCTTTCTTAGTCAATTAGGAGGAATCATTACCAACCGCAATATTATGTAAAAAAATAAATTTGATGGCTTCTTTTTGACATTTCCAAAGCCGTTCGTGTAACGGCAGTCGTGTTATCAACCAAACAGTTTCGAAATTGAAAATTGCATTTTCATCGTCTAGCTTATTATTTTATTTTAGTAACGAATAAAATTTTTATTTTAAAAAACCGAATATAAAAAAGAAGTAAAAAAAAAATGTTAGCCTAGGTACTTGAATCATTTCAATTATTCCAAATGCATAGAACAAATGAATATGTTATTATTTTATTCCAAATGCATAGAACAAATGAATGTGTTATTATTTGGATGTGAAAGCTAAATTAAAGAAAAAAAGATTCTTAAAATAACAAAACTACTAGAGTTGGGGCCTTTTTTCTTTTCTCTGATTCTGCCACCAAATCCAAACTTCTCTTGAAAAAACATGTGATAATGTCTCTCATTCTCAAGTGGCCACAAATGATTCAATGATTTTCTTCACTGATTGAAAACTGAAAAGGTGAAAACAACTAACAGCACAGCATTTCAATCTCAAGACCACTTAAAATAACACAAACAAATATCAAAGGGACTGTGGTGGAGTAGTATCACTTTTAACCATAGGTTGAGGGTTCGAACTGTATATGGAATAATCTTAAATTTTTTGGTCGAATTTCTCACCCATTGAGATGTCTACCATGAGCGATGTGAATTAGTCATTGTTGTCGATAATGGACATCATGCAATATAAAAAAGAACAAACACACAAACAAAAGAAAGAAAAAAAGAAAAGAAAAAAAAATGTCGAGGCAGAAACACTGTAATAGAGCTATATATCATTTAACAATGATCAAGTTTCTGGTAGAATTATGTACCAAAAGATTAAAAACCAAAATGTGGCCACATTTTAGTGGTATAATATGCAAAAACATTGAGACTCAGTGAGACAAAATTGCACATAAAATGTGTTTATGTATTTATATTACATACTCCATAAAATTAATTCTTCCTAAAAACAGTATTAAAGCGATATACGAAGCAGACTATTATTTTTTTTTAACCAAAAGATTACAATAATCTCATTCATTCAATCATCTGGCCGTACATCAGCAATGGTACACTACTACTACTCGTGACTCTACATTTAATCTAAGTCGTACCAAAATTCTTTTTTTTTTCTTTTCCTACACATTTTAGTTTCTTTGATTTTCTCATTAACCTTTTTTTTTTAAAAAAAAAATCCAGTTTGTTTACTAAAAATCCCATTTCCCGGCTGCTTTTCTATCAGATTCTGCTTTTATAATAAATATTCTGCATGTTGTTGTCGTGTTCTTCTATGTTCAAATCCTTAGTAAAATATGCGTTTCTGAAGCAATCCACGCAGGACTAAACTAATACTATACATTAATCCAAGAAGCTCAAAGTCTTTTCTTGTTTGTTGTTTCGGCCACAACGTTCCAAATGCAATAAGAGGTTGGAAAGTTTTTCTCTCTTCCTCCGTCCTCTTTGTTCTTCTTCTTCTTTGTGTTTCACTTCTCAGTTTTCTATGCTGAAAGTGAAAGACTCGATTTTTTATTAGCTTTTCTGCTGCAAAAGAATTCTGGGTTCTCATGAATTTCTTGTTTTTTGGCTAGTTTGTTTCACAAAGTTTGAATCTTTGTAACATTTGTGTATACCCTTTTCTTTTGTTTTGTCAGAAAGACTAGGCTGGGAAGAAATTGGAGTTAGTTTGTGACAATGTCATCTGAAACATGGCTAACTTCCTTGAAGTGTTCATCTTCAATCATCCAATCTTCAGGAAGTTCATCTACAGTTTCTGTGATTGTAAAGTGGTTAGAGTTCATTTTTCTATCCCCTTGTTCTCAGAGGATTCTGTTTTCTTCAGTTGATGTGGTTTTCCTGTTGACTTGCATAGTATTAGCAGTCCAGAAGATATACTCTAGATTTCAAGCCAGAAAGAATTCGAATTCAAGCTCAATTCTTGAAAAACCTCTGCTTGAAGCAGAGAGGCCTCAAACATTTAAGGCCACTTTTTGGTTCAAATTTACTGTCCTGGTGACGGCTGTATTGGCTTTATGTTATATTGGTATCTCGATTTTAGCCTTTACAAGAGGGATTCGGTCCGCATGGAATTTTGCAGAGGCTTTGTTCAGATTGTTTCAAGCTTTGAGCCATCTTGTAGTTTTGATTCTGATTGCTCATGAGAAGAAATTTAGAGCTGTTTATCACCCAATGGTTATTAGAACATATTGGGTGATGAGCTTGGTTATTGTGGCTTTGTTTTCTGGTGCTGGAGTTGCTCGTCTGATAAGTGCGGGTGATAATATTGATCAAGATTTGAGGATTGATGATATTATTTCCTTGGTTAGTCTACCATTGTATGTCTTCCTGTTCATTGTTGCTATTCAGGGATCATCTGGGATTAGTATTGTTCAGGAACATAAAGATGGTGCTGATTCGATTGTCGAGACAAATGAATCTAATGTCAGTGGTTATGCCACTGCTTCTCCAATCTCCAAGGCAATGTGGCTATGGATGAATCCTTTACTGAGTAAAGGTTCTAAAGCACCTCTAAAGTTAGATGAAGTCCCTACGCTTCCACCAATTTACCGAGCTCAAAAAATGGCGGAACTCTTTGAGACGAATTGGCGTAAGTCTGGTGAAAATGTGAAATACCATGTACTAATGACATTGATCAGATGTTTCTGGAAGAACATTGCTCTGACTGCTTTTCTAGCTATCGTGCGGTTAGCTGTTATGTATGTTGGTCCTGCCCTAATTCAGAGTTTTGTGAATTTTGCGTCGGGAGACAGAAGCAACCTTTCTGAGGGATATTTTTTGGTATTGATTCTCTTGATTGCCAAACTTGTTGAAGTCCTCAGTTCACATCAGTTCAATTTCCAAACTCAGAAACTTGGCATGCTCATTAGGTCGACTCTCATTACCGCCTTGTACAAGAAGGGGCTTAGACTTTCATTTTCCTCTAGACAAGCTCATGGTGTCGGACAAATTGTGAATTATATGGCTGTTGATTGCCAGCAGCTTTCAGACATGATGCCTCAGATGCATTCTTTATGGTTAATGCCACTGCAGCTTGGAGTTTCTCTGGTCCTTCTTTATGCTTACATAGGTGGTGCAATGTTAGTATCAGTGTTTGCAATAGTATCCGTGATCGCGCTTACTTTCATGATTGCTCGCAAAAACAATAAGTACCAGTTCAACCTTATGATGAACCGTGACTCGAGGATGAAGACAACCAATGAATTGCTCAACAACATGAGGGTCATCAAATTTCAAGCATGGGAAGAACATTTCAGTAAGCAAATCCAAAATTTTCGCGAAAAGGAATATGGGTGGCTCAGCAAGTTTATGTATGCAATTGCTTACAACATGTCAATGCTTTGGAGCGTTCCAGTTGTTATAGCAGCTCTTACATTTGTCGTTGCGATTTTCATGCATATTCCACTTGAGGCTGGGACAGTTTTCACAATAACAACTATTTTAAAAATCTTACAGGAGCCTATTAGAACCTTTCCACAAGCTCTTATGTCAATTTCTCAGGCAATGATTTCGCTAGAGAGGTTGGATGGGTATCTAACCAGTTATGAGCTAAAAACTAAAACAGTGGAAAGGGAGGAAGGCTGTGGTGATGGACTAGCAGTGGAAGTTATAGATGGTACTTTTTCATGGGAAGATGAAGGTGAAGAGCAAGTATTGAAAGACATCAATTTCCAGATCAAGAAAGGAAAGCTCGCAGCCATTGTTGGAACTGTTGGATCAGGGAAATCCTCTTTACTAGCTGCTATCCTGGGTGAACTTCACAAATCTTCTGGGAAGGTATGTTCTCTTCTTATTCCCTTTACCTTTTTAGTAACATCAAACCAGGACATATTCTTTTCAGTCAAATGGTTATCAGGCTTAAACTGTTCATTAAACTAAGTTTACTATATGCGGGCTAGTTCAAGATATCTTGGTTATTTTCTCATCAACTAGTCTTACCGTGTTGTTTCTTCCATTTCAATCGTTTTCTGACTTTTTTAGATAGAGGTAAGTTTTGCTGAATGGAGCTGACTATTACACTGTGTACGCATAATGCTCGCATCTCTGGTGTTTTGTTTACATGTACAGGTCAGAGTTTGCGGAAACACTGCATATGTGTCACAAACCTCATGGATACAAAATGCAACTATCCAAGAAAACATCTTGTTTGGTTCAAAAATGGATAAAAAGAGATACAGTGATGTACTTAGAGCTTGTTCATTGGAGAAAGACTTGGAGATCTTCGAATATGGTGACCAAACTGAGATTGGAGAACGTGGTATAAACCTAAGTGGTGGCCAGAAGCAACGCATACAACTTGCTAGAGCTGTGTATCAGGATTGTGATATATATCTTCTTGATGATATATTCAGCGCAGTTGATGCTCACACGGGAACAGAAATATTTAAGGTCACTATATAGTTTAAGCCACTTTTTTGAGTGTGATTGAATTGCTTTTTTTTTCTTTTTGGTTCTTTTTGGTTCTTTTTTCTTTTTCCCTTCGGCTGGATAGTTAATGAACTTCTTGTTTAATCTTCATGTACGTCAGATCACATGTGGTATGACTTATGAAATATTAACGACACAAAACCACTTATAATTTACAAGTTTGCACAAAAAAACCTAATGTTGATGTGGCTTTGCAGGAATGTGTACGAGGAGTCCTGAAAGACAAGACCATTTTACTTGTAACCCACCAGGTTGACTTCCTGCACAATGCTGATCTAATCATGGTGAGTGGAAGAACTTTGTCTACTTACTAGTTTTGTCTTGATTTCCATAAAAAAATATACCAAAAAAGGGCCAAAACTGTAATGAGCATTTACTTTTCATCTCAATATTTATGTGACCTCTTGAAATATTTATTCAATAAGTGAATTGTGTTTGGATATTTTCCTTTGTTTGATTCAAGCAAATTTATCAGCACCAGCATTTGACAGTTTAGTCTTGTTTCTCAGGTAATGCGTGACGGTAAGATAGTGCAATCTGGGAAGTATGAAGAGCTCCTTGAATCTGGAATGGATTTCGGAGCACTTGTAGCTGCTCATGAAACATCTGTAGGCATTGTGGAGATGAGCACAAATCAATATGAACAACAATCGAACTCGCCTCGCCCCATAACACCTAAATCACCCCAAAATCTATCAGGTAAAAGTGATGCTAATGGCGAAAGGAGGTCTTTTTCTAATGGCGAAAGGAGGTCTTTTTCAGAACAGTCGAATGCTGATAACGGAAACTCTAAACTCATTGAAGATGAGGAGAGGGAAATTGGACAGGTGAGTTTGGGTGTCTACAAACAGTATTGCACCCGGGCATATGGATGGTGGGGAATAGGAGCTGTAGTCATTTCATCTTTGATATGGCAGTTGTCTCTTATGGCAAGTGATTACTGGCTGGCATTTGAAACTTCAACAGAACGCACTTTTAACCCTTCATTGTTTATAGAAGTTTATGCTATTATAGCAGTCATATCATGCATTCTGGTGGGAGTCAGAATGTTCCTTCAAACCTTTATTGGTCTTCAAACATCTCAGAGTTTTTTTGATCAAATGCTTGAAAGTGTCCTTCACGCTCCGATGTCCTTCTTTGATACTACTCCATCTGGAAGAATATTGACCAGAGTAAGCTTCTTCCTTGATCTGCATTTCTGATTTTATATATAGATAATTGTAAACTAATAATGAACTTTTCATTTCAGGCATCGAATGATCAGTTCAACGTTGATGTACTGATCCCTTTGTTCCTGAGTCTCACCATTGCAATGTACTTCACAGTCATTGGCATATTGTTCATTACAATTCAATATGCTTGGCCAACAGCTTTCCTTATATTTCCTCTGATTTGGCTTAACTTTTGGTACCGGGTATGAACATATCATCATCACTTACCATTTTGATTGATTTTATTACGCTGAACATCCAAGTTGCATGTAGGCAGTAAATATGATTAACAAGATGTGTTTCCAGGCATTGTTGTTTTTCCTAATGTACTTAACCAAGTTACTCTTGCAGAAGCTTATTTTTGAAAATCACTCATTGATGCAAAGTTAAGCAATAGTGAATATGTGGTGCTTACAGTTCCTAAACTTCATGTGACATTGTAGAACCATTATCACTATGTAATGGAAAATTGTAGCTTTCAGACTAGAACTTATGATCAACTTAAACTTCAAAGTTGTATTTATTTGCAGAGGTATTATCTCTCAACATCACGTGAATTGAGCCGTCTGGATTCAATTACCAAGGCTCCAATCATCCATCACTTTTCTGAGACTATTTCTGGTGTTATGACCATTCGTGGATTTGGGAAGCAGGATAAATTCTTTCAGGAAAATTTTGACAGGGTCAATGCTAATCTACGAATGGATTTTCACAACAATGCATCTAATGAGTGGTTAGGTTTTCGGTTGGAGATGATTGGAAGTTTTGTCCTATGTGCTGCCACGATGTTCATGGTCCTCTTGCCTAGTACTATCATAAAACCTGGTAAGTTCTATAATTGACGCCATAAACATATTCATGGAGAAAACTATACCTTACTTCCACTTCTCTTGTAAAGAAGTTGATTATTAATAAGATGGTGACTAAAGTGAACAGCATGATTTTGATGTTCGTTGTTTTTCCTACACCATCAGAATATGTTGGCTTGTCTCTTTCATATGGATTGCCATTGAATGGTGTGCTGTTCTGGGCTATATACATGAGCTGTTTCGTGGAGAACCGAATGGTTTCAGTTGAGAGGATAAAACAGTTCACCACTATCCCATCAGAAGCACCTTGGAGAAATCCCAACTTCTTACCATCATCTGACTGGCCAAATCATGGTGATATTGCAGTAAGCAACTTACAGGTAATAAGTTATTCAATGTTGTCATAAAACAATGGTAATATAAGTGTCTAGGATTTGTTACTCGATTTGGAAATTTAACCCCAAAAAGAAAAAAGGGCTATATACACTATGTTCATTAGTTTCGAGATGCGCATTCTGTATTAATTAGCATATTTTTATTCTGACATCTTTGTTTTGTAACTTGAGCAGGTAAGATACAGATGGAATACTCCTCTAGTTTTAAAAGGAATATCACTTAGCATTCATGGAGGAGAAAAAATTGGCGTTGTTGGTCGGACTGGGAGTGGAAAATCTACACTCATCCAGGTTTTCTTTAGACTGGTGGAACCTTCAGCTGGGAAGATTGTTATCGACGGAATTGACATTTCCAATCTCGGCCTTCATGACCTGCGATCCCGGTTTGGAATCATTCCTCAAGAACCTGTCCTTTTTGAAGGAACTGTAAGAAGCAATATTGACCCCATTGGTCTTTATTCAGATGATGAAATATGGAAGGTATGTTGCTTCCATTGCACTCCCCCTGGCCTACAGGGCATTTCAACTGTTTGGATGTTTTAACAGAATCTCATTTCAATTGACGAGTTAATTTTTATGTCTATGAATTCATAGTGCTAATATTATACTTTACAATATGTTGGACCTTTCTGGCTAATTAGTGTCAACCTTCAACCTTCTTCCCTGTTATGTGTAGAGTCTCGAACGTTGCCAGCTGAAGGATGTCGTAGCTGCAAAGCCTGAAAAACTCGATGCATCAGGTCAGCAGCCATTTCTTCTCCAAGTCTTCCTCTCTTGTTAGAGTATCTCAGATTTGACTGTGAAAAGTTTTGTTGTTTAGTGGCTGATTGTGGAGACAACTGGAGCGTTGGGCAGAGACAGCTCCTGTGCTTGGGGAGGGTCCTGCTAAAACACAGCAAGATCTTATTCATGGATGAAGCAACAGCATCTGTCGATTCACAAACTGATGCTGTCATTCAAAAGATCATCCGCGAGGATTTCGCGGCCTGCACAATCATTACAATAGCTCACAGGATTCCAACTGTCATTGATTGCGACAGGGTTTTAGTTGTCGACGATGGTCAGTTTCTCCACATTTTTGCCCTACGATTCGCAAACCATTCTCATCCCTTCTGTTACAAAAAAGTTAATCATGTTTTTGCTCATTAACTTATATGATGTATTCTTGTGAAATTCTTGAAAACAGGATGGGTTAAAGAATTCGACAAACCATCCAAGCTGCTTGAGAGACCTTCATTATTTGGTGCATTGGTACAAGAATACTCCAACAGGTCATCAGGATTATGAAGCAATCTGCTATTTTTTAGGTGAATCACTTGACTTCCTAAACAAGATCAGAAAATTGAGTCCATTCATCGCCCGCTATGGCATTTTTGTCTATTTAAGATGGAACAACAATTAGGGATATACTGATGATGAAGCTTGGCTTTCAACTGGAAATGATGATGGCGAGGTAATAATCCTAAACAAAGGCGCTGAAGTTAACATCATCAGTTTTTTCTCATATTTTACACCTCAGGAAGGATATAGTAGTCTATAGTTTTCTCTCTCTTTTTTTTTTTTTTCCTTTTGGTGTAAAGGTAACAATTTGCGAGATAAAGTTGTAAAACGATGTAAATTCCGATAACAATTGTTAAAACTTGATATTGATGCCTTTGGTTATCTAGTGAGGTTTTTGTATTTATTTTTTAAACGTCCAATAGCATGTTCATATGAACCGAATCTTTACATTTATTAAATGTGTATCATTTAATAAGACTCTGTTTTATTGAAGTGTAAAATATTAAAATGTAAAATGTTTAAATTAAAGAATTAACTTCACAATTTTAATATACCTGTTCTACCCTTTCTAATTAAGATGGTACATTAATGAACATGATATGTATATCAGCACCACTAATGAAATTATTAATTTAATTAATTATTTTCCATCTTTGTAGGAACTTCAATTACCACCATAAAGATTAGAAACCACATCATTAAACACGTATCATAATACATACGTGCAAACTAGCCCTGGAAAGATATACACATTTTGCTATCGATTGATCTGCTAGCAATCTTGGACAGATTTATGGTGCAATCTACTTTTTAAAAGTAACAAATACGAAATTTCTTTGAATGTAATTTGTGATACTTAATAAATTTTGAACTACATTTTATTATTTGTCTTTCACTAAATGGTTCTTTGGATTTATGCTCTAAAAATAAAAGAAAAGTATTAAGAGATATCTTGAATTTACAGTTATAAAGGTTACAAGATGTCACTTGTGTTAAAACTATGCATCTAATTCACGTTTTTATGGTGGAATTATATCAAGTTTTGTTATTGTTCAAAACTACCAATCAAACGATATTGCAATATGTATGGAGTTAACTATTTCCTGTAGGATTCCCGGTATTAAATAAAAAAAAAAAAAAACTAATCAGTCAAAAAGTATTCAAAGGTATTGTTGATTAGCTACATTCTAATGTTATTTACTCATTCCTCTTAAGAGAATGACACAGTGTCCTCAATTTTTTTGTTTGTAAATTGTGTAGTCAAAATTTAAGTTGCACTATTTCTAGATGTTACAATGTATAGGGTGTGATGGATGTTATGAATGCAATAGTGATACCAATCTCATCAGATAACAAATTTATGAATGTCATAGAACAAAGATATGGACAACGAACTTGCTGCAAGCACCTTGATGACATCAATAGTTTTTACCATAATAAATGACCGAACAAAATATCTCATCAAAATAAATAGTCCGTTCGAGAAGAAGGTCGTAGATTTTTTTTTTTTTTACCAGTAATCAGCAAAGTTATATTAACATCAGGCCAAAATAGGATCAAATGATCCTATGTCTGTACATGCTACCTCTAGTAGCCAAAGTGGAAAGTTTTCCTTCCAGCTCCGAGGGACATTTCCCTCCAAAATGAATTCTCTTAATCTAAAAAAAGTGCTATTACAACATCTATGACCAAAAGAATAATTACAAGCAAGAAAAAAAGATTCTAAAACGTAGATATCTTTAATTATGATTAATGCTTCAGGTACCGGACACCTTTTATCATTTAGACAGTCCACCAAAGTCTTAACATCTAACTCCACCTGTACATTCTTCCACAAATTCATTTGTGCAAAAATTAGAGCCACTCAAACTTCATCTAAGGTTGCCACTACTGGATTTTGAAGACGATCCCTAGCAACTGTCCAAGCTTGCAGAAGACTGCCTCTACAATCTCTAGAAACAATACCTACTCCAGTTATACCAGCATACTATTAAAATAAAGCACTTACATTTAATTTGATCACCCCCTCTGCTGGTTGACTCCAATGCGAGTGTTGTTGTGCTCGAGTGTGATGAATCCGGCTTGGAAGAAGAACCTTGCAGTGGGCTTCATATTCCAACCATTCCTCCATTGCCTTATTGACTACCTCCCATTGCGAAAGAAACTGAGTATTGAACATCCAATTATTTCTCCATTTCCATATATTCCATAACAAAAATACAGAAAAATAGACTCTTCTCTGGCCTTCACAATTATTGCCCACTTTCATCATATGAAAACACCATTCCTTAAAAAGAATATGTATGAGCCTCCAAGCCATCCCACTTCACTGGAGCTAGTTCCCATATATGTTTTACTGCTGGACAAAGGAGGAAAAGATGTTCCTCAGATTCCAACTCCTCCCCACACAACTTACACTTTGGATCGACAGGGATGCCTCTTCTTAGCAGGTTACTTCCTAGTGCTAAAGTGTTGTTACAACAGCTCCAAAGAAAATGGTGCACCTTACCCTTTACTTTGAGTTTCTAAATACCTTTCCAAATTAATTTGTCCCTCACAGTTGCACTACTAGTTTCATCTCTATCATACCCATTATCCAGCATATTTTTTGCAATCCTATATGCTGAATTTACAGAATAGACCCCTTCTTTTTCAGCCTTCCACCACAATTTATCCATTGCTCCCGTTACACTTAGTGGAATCGAAAGGATCAAATAAACCTCTTCTGGTGAGAACAACTGTTGTAATACCTCCAGATCCCAGCCAGCAGAGTTAACACACATAAGATCTCTTACTAACACCGAGTGACAACCTATTGGCTTAGCCGAAAAAGACTTTTTAATGATTTCAAAAGGCAACCAGTTGTCATCCCATATTCTAATACATTTGCCATCTCCCACTTGCCATCTACTTCCCTCTATCACTACCCTTTTTGCAGCACATAACCCTTTCCAAAACCAAGAATCCCCAGATTTAGGTTCAGTATAGAGAACACTTGCATTCGGGAAATACTTAACCTTCAAAACTCTAGACACCAGTAGATTAGGTCTAGTAATGAGCCTCCAAATTTGTTTGCCCAACAAAGCATCATTAAAAGCTTCTAAATCCCTAAACCCCAGCCCTCCATCCTCCCTAAGATTCGCCAATTTCCTCCACGACAACCAGTGCAACTTATTTTCCTTCTCACCACTACTCCACCAAAACTCAACAGCTAAACCAGCAATTTCTTGACACAAGCCTTTAGGCAGTTTAAAACACGACATACAATATACAGGCAATGACATAACAACAGATTTCAACAGTACCTCCTTGCCTGCTTTGCTTAGAAATTTGGATTTTCAATTTTTCAGCCTCTATAAGACCCTTTCTTTCACAAAATTGAAGACCTGCTTCTTTAATCTACCAACCACCACAGGCAGTCCAAGGTACTTGCAATTCACTTGCTCTGAAACTCCCATCAATATTTGACAAGTTGTGACCTTTGAGAAGAAGGTCGTAGATTGGAAAGAACAAATCAGTTAAAGGAAGATGATAGTTGTCATTCGGAAAATTTGGCCGATCTATCCAAAGGTTGACATGCGTTGTCAATTTCACCTTATTCTTTTTCGGTTAGCCAATATTACCCTAAGTTATCCAACTGTTAGCCGATTTTGTCCAATTTGCCAATTTCCGTTTAAATTAAAGGAATTCTGTTAGTTTTAATTTCAGAGAAAATACCTTAATAATTTTAAAAATTATAAAAATAACCCCAAAAATTTGTAAAAATAACCAAACAGTTTTTTTTTCACTTTTTATTTAATTTTTTCTGTTTTCTATTTCTTTTCACTATTTCTCATAACTATAAAAATATATTATATAATCTTTTAAAAAAAGCTATTTATTTTTAAAACACTATTGTGTAAATTTATAGATATGTATATTCGTAACTCATGGTTAATTTACATAAACATATTAATTTTAATATGTTTATGTAAAACTATCTTGCGTTGTCATTCCATGTAAAAAAAAGAGAATTTTTCCGTTGTCATTCCATGTGATCAAACAAAGAACCATCTTGCAAAACTATAAACTTATTGGAAAAAAGACTCCACCAAAGACTTAGTAGGTCTTAGGGGTTCAAGTCAAACAACAATATTTAATAAATATTCTGTGACTGTTTCATTGCTTCTTTTGGCAAATATATTGTCACAAAGTAAAATCAATTTTCATATGGTAGCTTACTTCATAAATGTAGAAATGTCTTAATATTATTAATCTATCTATTACTATATAAAAGCAAGAGGGGCCAAATCTACAGTAATCTTGTGGTTGTTCCCTCTTGTCTATTACTTATGGAACTTGACTAAATAAATGAATAAAAAAAATTCTCCCACTTATATCAAACTCCCAACTGTGGACATGTGTCAAAATTCTCCCACTTAATTACACGTTTTGTAACTTGTCAATGTTCATTTTTCTTAACCCCATCAAGGAGAGAACTGAATTTATAACATCACATTTTCTTCTCAATATTTTCTTTAAAAATATTTTCAAAAATTTTGTTAAAAAATATTTGTCTTTTAACTTGATCAAAAATCTTGTGCGAACCCCGTGTAAAATATCATAACATTTCTATCACATCTTTTTTACTAACTTTTGTCAGTATTGTTTAAACATGTAAAATAACTTTCATTATTTCATTTTAGATTTCATCTAGTAGTTAGTTATGAACGTATTTAATTTGCATATTTAAATACTGTTCTACAATTAGAAAAAGAAAACCTTTATCAATATTTTTTTTTTTGGGGTAAAATGAAGAAGACAAATGCTTATAATTCTAAATTAGTGCATGTGGGTGAAAAATCTAAGCTCGTAAAATCAAAAGAATAATTTGCTCCAAATAAACAGTTTGAAGATCTGATTCTACTTATGCATATCGTACTTTCCAAATTTAAGTAACATTTTAACTAGACCTTTCCTAATTAAGTTTCATAATGCTAAATCAGGTAAATTTAAGCCAATTGGAAACGGATAAATTTGTTTTTTTGTTAATTATTATTTTGGCAATAACAATTCTCGAAAAGGTGTTCAATTTTATGAGCATGAATTGAACACGAATAGATGATGCACGTTTAATGTATAATTTTAGGATTCACAATCACAGAATAATTATTACTATTAAACAATTGATGTTCGGAAAACTCTTCAAATTATCATCTTCTACCTTTTGTACATCAACAATTTATTCTCCTTCCTTTCATCCCTCCTCCTACTCCAAAGAAGACGATTGATTCTTGTTACTGGAATCAAATAGTTCCCAAAGGAGACTTATTCTTGTTGCTAGAATCAATTTGACGTTTTGGTGTAATTAACTATAGTTCTAAATCATTTCGCACTTTTCTCACCAATATTAGGAAAAAAAAAATTCAATATAGTTCAATATGTGAATCCTTAAAGTGGCAAAAAAATTCATCCTCTTTACGTCATGGAAAAAAGAAATTTCTTTCGTTTTATTATGTTAGTGTGACAAGTATGAATTTTTATTACTTTCTTCCAGATAAAGAAAGTATCTTAAAACGATCATATATCATTGAAATGGAGCATTTTCAAACTTTTGTGATAATTTTGACGATATTTGAATAGATTATTATTTTGATTGAAGTAATAAATAAGAAGTATAGTTTGTTAATGTACATTTAGGTTAAATTTAAAAGACTTAAGCTTATTATTAAGATTGATACACATTCAGCAATTCACGAATTGACAAATACAACAAGAAAGCCACGTATCTTGGAATGTTGCTGAAAACTTTGACGTTCATGCAACCTAGTTGGAGTTTGACGATCCGATCACAGGTTTATAAATTTGTAATAATATTTTTAGTAAAATTTTTCATTTTATTCCTTAATAAAAGAAGGCGCAAAGCCTAACGAGTAATGATTAAACATAACAACAATAGAATGTTGATGAAATATTGACTGTAAATTTCTAATAACCTATAGCAACATGTAACAATAGAGTATTTTGTGCAATATTTTCCATTCACAAATTATTGTTAAACTGAAATGTCTGAAAAAAATTATGTATACTCTTTTTTGAGATTAAAAATTGATTAATCTAATATTTATTCATAAATACGTAATAATAAAAAAGAAAACGATATTGATAGTAACAAATATATAGGAAAAAAATATAGTGATTAAGGTGTATTTATTTTTTAATTTTAGTAGTATTATGACTCGTTATTGTCACTGTTTACTAGATATTTTATTTTTTCCTCCCAAATTATACTTTACCTATAATTGTTATATGCACATGAGTCAATATAAATTTTCACTAGCTCTATCGCTACTTTATCAAAAAAAAAAAAATCCTAAAAATAATACTTATCTATTAAAAGAAGAGAATTTTATGACAAATTGAGCATTCTGGCTCAACTGAAAAATATCTCAAGACATGTATCAGAATGATAAGAAGCGTAAAAAAATATTAATTTAAAGTAATAATTTTCTAAATTTTAAGAATCAATTATTTAAACTTGAAGATGAGATTTACTAGGATAAGAGAATATATAAGATACAATTCGAATTAAGAAGAAACATCTATTTGAGTTTGAAACCATATTTTCTCTAACAAATTTAACATATCTTCAAATCTTATATCTTAAACGAGAAGTGTTTTGGGACACGTGGTGAGACATTGGTTGATCAATAAAAAAATTTGACAAATAAAGATCAATTAGGTAAAGTAAATATTTTCGATTTGACTAATCAATTCACTTATTTATCTATATAGTTTATGAACTAAAGTAAATAAATTTCAAGATTTCCAAATCGTGTGGATGTTCAATCAATTTGGATGATTTTTTGGTTAGGTTGTTGTGACATTTGTTTAACTAATTATTATGACTAATGATTTTCAGGATTCCCATTAATAATTTCCATCCATACTTCTAAAAACATTTTCACAACGAACCTAGACATATTTATCACATTAACCATCAAATTATAGTCTAATATATCCCATATTAATGTTTTCATATTATTACGATAAGATGAGATTCAATGATTATTAACATAAACACAACTGGTAAAATTATCATCACAACTGATTAAGCATGATATTATTTAGTAATTAACCTTATTATTTTTTTTATCTCTTTTAACGACTTAAAACAAAGAAAAATAAACATAATTTTATCAGATAGATATCCATACATAAATAAAAAAAATCATGTAATTAGTTTTCATGATTTTTTTTCTAAAGGAAAACTAAACCGAATAATCATTATCCTAGCAACCTTCATCGAGGGTCAAATATAAACAAATCGATTTCACAAAAATCAAAATTTACAATTGAAAATGTTATTTTTTCTCCCAATATTATCCCGTCCAACATTATTATTTTTTTTTTCCTTTTTCAGTCCTATAAATACCCCATACATTTATCATGGAGAGTCACACCAAAATAATACAATCGATATTATTTTTTTAATATGGTGGCCAAATTCAACATATTTAACAAAATTGATAACTCTTAGAGTTTTAGGTGAATTGTGAAAATGCGATTACTATGATCGAGTGTATATTAATTGACGAATAGGCTCTTTATTTATATCAATGATGTGTTAAATTCAAATTCTCTATTTTATATTAATTTTATTATTATTATTTATATTAACATCATCTTTATTTTATTAGTTTTAATTTTTTGGGTACAATAGACTCAAGGTTTTTTTTTTTTAAAAAAATATGAATTAAATTGAAGGTTAAAGTTTTTTCAAGAATGTATTTTTCCTCTCACAGCACCCGCACGTGATAAGTATATGTATCGACTAAATGAATAGAGATTTGCATTTTTAGATTTGATTATTTTAAGTTTAAAATTAACACCTCTCATCTGGTAAGACTAGTGTGTGTGTGTTGTTTTTTTTTGTTTTGAAAAGAAAGAAATTCATTCAATTCCTGAAACACCGTCCAGAACTGGAACAAAGGAGTAAGATACAATTAGTGTTACCACATCATAACACATATTACCTCCGTTTTTTTTATCTGTTATTTTAGGGTGAACTTAAAGTGTTTTTTTATCTGTCGCACTTCATTTCTAATACAATATTAAATACAAGTTTTTCAATTTTACACTTATCTCTCTCTACTTTTAATAACATATATTAATGACAATTACTTACTTTTTTATTTCAATTTCAAAATTTTTAGAGTTCCAATAGATAAGAAAGACACTACCTTTATAAATTAAATTCTCAATCATTATTTTCTTAATAGTTGTGCAAACCCTAAAGCGATGATAAAAAAAATGGAGGTAGTAACTAGTACAGCATGTGGTAAGACTAGTTCGTCATTATTATAGTATAGTGAAAATTCAAATCGAAAAAATTATTAAGCCAAGATTTTAGCAACTATTGCAAATATTCTTTTCCTTTTTGTTTTTAAGAAAATATATACTACTAGCGGACTAATAATTTGCATAAACCCTCGTTTTTGTTATTAAGTATTGCTAATGTGTCATCGATTTTCTCCATTCCATTTGCTACTCGAAAAAACAGTCACACAGTGGACGCGCACAAAACTCACTTCGCAATTTACTCAAAAAAGATTTTAAATTTCTGTTCTGTTTTCTCTGGCCTGATTCCGCGGAAGGGGGATTATTGCCAATTCTGGCGTTTTCATCTTCACTAGCATTGCGGAGAAGCATCGATTCCCCAAATCGTCGTTGAGAAATTGGCCGTGAGTTTCATTCTTGGAACCCTAATTTGAATCATATTCTATACCAATTGTGGTGTTTTCCGTCTTAAATTTGATGAATTCGAGCACCAGGTAGCGTGTTTATGGGGTTAATTTCTTTGCTACGTTCAAAGCCTGTCGATTTGGTGGAGCTCTGTGGATGAATTGTCGGGGGCGTATTCTTCTCCTTCTTCTTCGTCTAGGGTTTCGTGGATTTTGCATACAATGGGAGCTTTGACGAGTAATAGAAAGCGAGTGGATGAATCTGTCAGCGTAAATTTGAAAAGCCCGGTTACATATTCTCCCTCTTCTGAGTTTCACGTCGCCAAAAAGCCCCGAATTTCGTCTTGTTTCAAGCACGTTGCTGATCGGTCGAAAGTATTGAATTATTTCCGTTACCCGACTGCGAAATCCGAGCTCAAGAGGGAGCCCCACGCTCCTGTAAGGCAGCACAGAGTTCGGAATTCTTTGAATTCTAAACAAGACGCCCCTGAGGTTAGTTTCTTGGGTAGTTCAGCTACAAATATGGGAAATTTTTTTACTTCGTTTAATGATAAGAAGGAAGCTTATGAAAATAAGAAGAGAACAGCTTTTGAAAGTCTTAGACACGTTAAGATAGTAGAAGATACTAAGGCGGATGAGGCTGCTGTTTCTGAGGACTCGAGTATTGAGGTTGAGGTAGAGATTTTGGGAGATGAGAAGGATCAGAAGTGGAAGGAGAGTAGTGGTGTTGTTTTGGAGGAGAGTCCCGCGAAAGTAGATGATATGATTGTAGAGCAGGATTCTCGGCCTTCAACTTCGTCGGTGTTGACCAATGGAAATTTGAAGGGGGAGGAGAGTCCAGAAAAGTTGCTGGAGTCCTTGCATTTGGATGGGGATTACAATGCTAAGGATCCAAGAGTATACAAGAAATTATGGCATTTTGCGGAGAGGAGTAATAGTAAACTGAGTGCTTTGCAGTTTGAGATTGAGCTGAAACAAAAAGAGTGGGAGATACAGCAATTATTGCGACCCCAAAAGAAAGAAGAAGCGGTCAAGGAGGTAACTTTTCGGAATAGAGATGTAATAACATCATTGTTTGTATATATTTGTAGTGTTTGTATATCTGTTTGACTATATCAAATTGCAGGATGTGGCATCTGAGGCATTTAAGCCTCTTACTGAGGAGGAAGAGGCCGAGGTTGCATCCGCCCTTTCGAATTCCAATCGGTATGAGTTGGTACTTAATTTTGTGTCTGATGAATGGGGTCTATCTTATGTGATGAATGGGTTGTTGGATTGTAAATGTGTAGATCAATGTATAGATCAAGAAGATTGGTGATTTGTGGAAACTCTAATGTTTGCAGAAGTGCGTCTATGTTGTTATGTGATCAATGCTGTATTAGTTAATTAAATGTAGGGTTAAAATCCTGTTGTGCATATAAGCTTCACTTGTAGCATAAGTGGGTCTATGATTGGTCATTAATTGTTTTATTGGTTATTGAATCAATGAATGAATTGACATGAAAATTTCGATAAATCTATGAAGCTCTAACTTAAGCAAAATGGGCTATGTTATCGCATTCATGTTTTATAGGGCAGGTAACATAGGTCAAAAGATTTGGCAACATATGAAAGCTTCATAATTTATGTTATTGGTAACTTACGAAAGCTTCATAATTTGTGTTATTGGGTCCATCAATCTGAATTTCTTTTTTATACTTGTTTTATTGGTTGGTAATGCATAGGAGAAAACAGTTGGCAACTCATGAAAGCTCCAATATTACGATTACTGGGGAAATATTGCAATGCTTGAGGCCGGGAGCATGGTTAAATGATGAGGTACTATCTTCTTCATGAGCTTCCTTTAGCAGCTGAAGTGGTTTTTTTCACCTTAGCAGTTGCTTTACTCCTGTTTATTTCTATTATGCAGGTTATAAACTTATATTTTGAGCTTCTAAAAGAAAGGGAGAAGAGAGAACCTCAGAAGTTCTTGAAGTGTCATTTCTTTAATACATTCTTTTACAAGAAGGTGGGTTATGTGTGCTTACAAACTTGTTTAGTTTTAGAAAAAAATTTATTTCACTAGATTACTGCGTAGTGTTGGTAGTAGAAGCCCCTTTGGATTTGGACCATTTGATTTTATTAAGATATGAGATGCAAGTTGGAATCTTGCTTTCGATTTCTTTTTTGATGCCTGCTTCTCCTTGATGTCATCATTATTTTGTTAGTGGACGAGTCTGTCTTATTCATGCTGTGTGATTCTTCTAAGTTTTTTAAAGTTTCTGCATTGTCTGGAAAGTCTGTGTGAAGTAGCTGTGGGCTTTTGATTTTGTTTAAGCATTACTCGCGGTGTTGGGTTATTCAGTGTTATAATATAGTTGTACTTTTTTTTCTATATTCAGTTTTTTTTTTTAATCTTTATACTTCTAAGTGGCGGTTTTATGTGAAACTTCAGTTAACAAGTGGAAGAGGGGGATATAACTATCAATCAGTTCGAAGATGGACTTCTCAACGGAAACTTGGATATTGCATTTACGATTGTGATAAGGTTATTTTTTAAACTGATGTGTTGTCAGTTGCTGCTCTTTTTGTTGCTTTCTGTTCTTTATAACTTGCTATTCCCCTAATTGGTGTAGATCTTTGTACCCATCCACAAAGAAGTTCACTGGTGTTTAGCAGTCATCAACAAGAAGGAAACAAAAATTCAATATCTTGATTCACTCGGTGGAGGCGATAGTCATGTGATGGCAGCATTGGTAAAGTCTTTTTTTATGCTCTATATGCTTTAATTGCTAGATCTTTTGTTAGAATAATATATCAGATGATATGAAGTTTTTGTAGTATTGAGAAAAGCAAGAATTTTTTTGGGGGGTATTGAGAAGAGCTAGTGATGCAGGAATTCATGTTATTTTAATTCAATAAAAAACTGCTGTAAACGTAGTGCAGCAGTCCTTTAAATAGCCAAACCCTAAAATACTAATAATAAGGATACCGAAAAGACCAACCCTATAACTTCTAGAAGAGTCCAAAATTATTTAAACAAATCTTTCCTAATTTAACTTAATAAAGTGAAATTCTGTATCAGTTAGAATGGCTCTGATCAAATGAAATCAAGAACGGAGATTATTGTTGTCAGCAACAGGGTTTTAAGAACAAAGTTAATGTTTTAAGCTGTTAGCTGTACGGGATTGAATTTCCTTGCCTTTGTGTATGGCGAAATGGTTGTGGTCCCTTAGTATTATGGTTTAAGACTGTATCTTCCTGTTCTTTGTGCTCCCAGTCCAGGTATATTGTGGATGAAGTGAAGGAGAAAAATGGCAAAGATCTTGATGTGAGCTCTTGGGGAAGAGAATTTGTTGAGGACCTTCCAGAACAGCGTAACGGGTATATTGAATAATGAGGACTATCTACTATCTATATTGTTTGAGTAAATTCCTCCTGAATTCATTTTCTGCTGAAAAATAGCTGCAACTATCTAGTGCTGCTGTTTTAGTTCACCATGCCCCTTCGCTCCCATCTGTTAGATTTCCTCCATTTGCACTAGGGCTCCTTTCTTATTTGTCTTAAACCTGTGGATGAATTCGAAACATATGCTGCTGTTTATTTTTGAATGCTGGATGTTGCCCTTGAAGAGGCTTTTACTGTGTAATGCGGGGACTCTTTTCTGTCATGAAGTTATAATTTTTCTGCCTTTCTATTCCTAATTTGATTGTAGGCCATGTAAACTTTGTAATCAGGTCTGGTGTAATTTGTATTATGTGTTTTCTGATTAGAATACATATACATATTTTTACTTTGCACTTTCATCCGTTCCAATTCAGGCTGGCAATTCATTTGTGTTTATTAAGTTGTACTGTTAAAGAGTTGATCTGATTTTGTTTTATCTATAAGCATAACAGAAAAGTTTAAGACTTTGTATTTTTGTTACCTTCAATCCATTGATCATTTATCGTCTTTGTTTTTATGTCGACAGGTTTGATTGTGGCGTCTTTATGATCAAATACGCTGACTTCTATAGTAGAGATATAGGACTCTGTTTTAGTCAGGTATGCTCCTTTTTGTAGAGATTTAATGGTAGCCAACTGCGTCTGTTAGTACAGGCTCGCACACTATTCTCAGGAATTTCTTCGTGTCATTTATATCCTGCAAAATTTGTATCTAAAGTTGTTTCCACTCTCTTCTTGAGCACAGGACGACATGCCATACTTCAGGATGAGGACAGCCAAAGAGATTTTGAGACTAAAAGCAGAATGATGTGCCCTATTCATTGAATATGTTATACAGTGCTTATGCCTCGGAAAGTGGATATTTATTTAATTCTAGTGAGAAAGAAAGCACCTAATGTATTTTTTGGTTGTTGTCACTAGGTGTATTAATTTTGAAGATGTAAAGTTGTTCTTTTTGTAGCACCTGAGTGGCGAGTTTTGGAAGTTCTCTCATTTTGGTGTTTGTTTGCTTCCACTTCTTTCAGCCATACTTACTTTCTTTTGTGTTTGGAGTTAGTAAATTCTTTTTTTAAAAAAATTATTTTATAATAATTATTATTATTATTTTTTATCTTGGTAGGCTTAGCATGCTCCCGTGCTTTGTGTTGGTAACCATTCTTAACACCTTAAATCAATGTGTGAAATGACCCCAAGGTTTTTACTACAACACTAATAACAACACAAAACATATTGTTATTTCCCCCTTTTTTGGGGTAACATGTTTTCAGTTAAATAATGCAAAATCACATGTTCACTATCATATTTGTCCACCAAAATCATTCCAAAAACCATTTCAATCAACAGTCAGCCCATGCCATTCTTGTCTATACACTACAAGCAAATAAAATTTCCTGCCTGGAAAAAGTTGACTTAAAGCTTCATCTTTACAAACAAAGTTACAGTAGAAAGGCTATAAATGCCTCTAAAGTTTGTGATTGACCACCGCCTTACAACAGCTGCACCAACTTAAACAGTCTAATGTTTAAGTCCCAATGTTTAAGTCCCAAGTCCACAAGAGAACCACTTCACCATTTATCATAAGTTCCCAGATTGTGCAATCTTTTAACGAGTGCTGTTGAAAAGTAGAGAAAGCTACTGCATCCAATGGGGAATAATCCACTCAGCGTGGCACCCGTTTTCTACTCAATATTTCTTGCTCCTTCAATCGATGTTGGAATCTGGCAAGGCGAGCCTGCAGGCTGACTAGGCTTGCAGCTTTGCGAGATAACACAAAGCTCAACTGTGTGACATAGTTATCAATAAGACTGCCAGGTTGATCAACCTCAGCCAACAGTTTCATCTCCTGGAATAAGAAGCGCACCTTAAGTAGATGAACTATAGACCTTATCACTTCATAAAGGGCGTTCTCTTCCTCACATTGATTTTTCTGCTTTGTCATTTTTATGAACTTATAAACTAATACTATCGTGGAAAAAAGAGAGGATTTTTTCAACTTCACATATATGTAAAAACTGCATAACAAAAAATCCATCCAAGGACTAAAAAACCGTAATTAAAATGCCACCAAACTGCCTCATGACAAGCAATTAAATAGCATATCTTGGCACATGCGAACAATGAAATAAGGATCTAGAGTAACATGCAATACACCAGCTCAAAGCACCAAGAATGCCATCCACAAATTAAACAAGCAGAAGACTTCTCCAAGAGTGCTTACCTCACGCACAATCTCCATGGTATCTTCAATTTCTTTTCTGTGTGCAGCAATGAGGGCCTCTTCTTCCTTCGTAAGCAAAATGCCAGAAAAGTTAAACAAAATCCAACAACAGAACAGAGACTCAACATGCAAAATCCAATTAAAGACCATCAAACCTGAAGTATCTCATTGATACGATCCTCCTGAGGCGTCTCAATCTCATATGATTTAGATCCAACGTGATTTGTGCTGGCACTGTTCACATTCTGCTGTCTTGACCAATCAGAACCAAAACCATCTTTTTTGGGCAAGCTTCCCACTTTTTCAGGCCTTTCATCCCTGTAAGCTTTTCGACGAGGAGGAGAAACTTTCTGAACTTTTTCCTCTGTGTCAACTAAAATTTGTGAAGTTGAAGCCGATCCAACTTTCTGACTTGTGGTGCTCCCATGAGAAGATTTCATGTCAAACTTCTCCTTTTCTGGAGCATTAGAAGTTGCCTGAGGTTCCTCCCGTCCATTGGAATTATAATTTGAGATAAAACTCGATGGTGGCTTATCAAAATCACTTGAAGAATTGTAAGCAGCATGTTCTTTTTCTACAGATCCTCTGTTTGTTTCCACTCCTCTAGATTCTGGATATGGTTCAAATGCATCTTCTACATCACCAGAGATAGAAGTAGAAGGTGCTGAAGCGGGAACAGTTGGGGGTAATGAATTTGAGCCTTGATCTTTCTTTGTGTTCCCACTTTTGGAAAGACTTTTGACCCTGTCCATTAAAGTATCACCCAAAAAGCTTTAGAATTTCATAAAGTTCAGCAACATCACAAGTGAATGTATATGAGGCTGAAAAAGTGATACCTGTCAGCATATCTTAATGTATTCAGCGTATGCTCACAGGAACCAGCATTTGGTGAAATGCACGAAATCATAACAGTCCTGGAGTTGCCAACAAAGGAGTCACGCAGCACTTCAGTAAGTTTGCTACCTCGGAAAGGAATATGGAGCTGGTCATTGTCCAGCGCACGAATACATTCTTTAAGAGCCAAAAGACTCTTGTTGATTTCCGCACCTTCAATTCTGAATGAAAAATAAGTGATTTATTCCAATGCCAGCAGAAACACAAGTAAATAAAGTGATGGAAATAAGAAACTTCTCCGGATATAATAATTAAGGGAAAAAAACAGCTATTACAACAAGAAAACTATCACCACCCAGCAAATTTAAAAATTATTCAGCCTGCTGAATTCCCACACATGATGCACAGGTACCATTTGACTAGTCCCATTACACTCCAATAAGAGGGATGGGAAGATTGGGGGTTTTGGTTTACAAGATTATAAAAAGAACAAAATATTCTCTGGGATACCTACCGTGTTTGCCGATCATTGTCAGTTGTATCAGCACCTCTCTCACTACCAGCAAGGTCAATAAAAGAGATCTTCCCGACAACCTTTCCATGCCGGGAATCATTCACATCAATGTTCTTCCTGGAGTCTTTTACCTCAATATGTTTTTTCACTGTAAGCTGTAAAATTGCATGAGATCGAGATGATTCCTCATTAGCACCAGTAGAGCCTGTACTTCTGGCTGCATTTCCCCTCTCAATATATTCTTTCACAATTTGGACATCAGAGACTTCAAATTCTTGCAATCCAACGATACAAACTTGTTGCCGTCCATCTTCCCTCATGCACAGCTTTCTGCAGGACAAGCAAAAAGCAAACAAAATAGTCTAAGTATACTTAATCAGAAGAATTTAAGAAAAGAAGAGCAAAGCTGCCAGAAGCAAACAATGTAAACATGTAACACATCTTGGGGATACTATTATTACCCTACACAAAATGGCAAAATGTGGAGATTGCAAAGAATGCTTTTTGGCATTCAACACAGAAACTATTATCGATCATATAATTTGACTGCAAAAAATGGTTTCATTTAGCTAGGATATTGACAGCAACAACTTCATGAAGTACTACAACAAGTGTAAATCATAACATTCACTATAACAACGATAGAATGTCGATGATCCGGCCATATTAAAGCACTTGATTCCTTGCAGTCGTTTAAATTGTTTCTTTTTATTCAACTAATGAGGAACATCAGCAAAATAGAAGAATACTATCATTTAAAATGTTTCAGTTTATCAAGTAGTGAGAAACGTTGGCAACAACAGAAGAACACTAACTTCCTCTCGCTGAGAAGATCAAAGAGTTTTCCGCCATATATCTCGAAGAAGCTAAGCCACAACTTGAATCTCTGATTACGATAGACAGGCTGATGCAGCAATCTAACAAGATCAGCAGCAGCTCTAAGAGGTAACGGCTGCATTGTGTATGTCTTGCCACTACCTGCAAAGGATAAAAAGGATCATGAAAACCTACAAATAGTATGCAGTAACCCAAAACAGATGAATTTAGCTGGCCAGCAGACAACTATTTGAACACTTGATAACAGAAAATAATGCTTAAATACATGAGCGTAAAACACTCAAAATATATCATACTTAAGAAAAAATTTCAAAAGAAAAGCAAAAAGAACTAAGGAAAGATGTCCAAATTACCGGTCTGGCCGTATGCAAAACATGTAGCTTTTGTGCGTTGAAAAATTGTAGGGATTATTGGTTCTACAGTTTCTCGATATACCTGATGTCATAAAACAGAATACCAGAAATCTTAAATTAAACTAAAGGGAAAGAGGAAGTGATCAAGAAAAACAAGAGAAACAGGGGCATCCCGCCAACCAACAAGAGCCAACTATAAGTAGCCACAATTCACGAAGTTCTCAATGAATCAAGAGATAGAACAAGCCTGGCAAAAGAACAAAACAAACTTTGAAGAATCAAGAAAGTGTTACCTCATCATTAGTGACATTCTGATCTAGAACAGCATCAAAACAAAACTCGTGCTTCTCAACATAGGCAGTCAAGTCAACCTCCATTAAAACAAAAAGGCCAAAATGAGATCAGACCCTCCAAATGTTCACCAATCACTATTCTTATTTGCAGGCAATGTTTCAACAATGTGAGAGAATTATGTATATCCAAACCTTTAATTTCGGCTCATGCACTGTCAAATATGCATTCTCATGTACAGTCACAATATCATCCTCCTTCCGAGAAATTTCTTTCTTGTTCAAGGGTCTTTTACGCACCTAAGACAGACATCAGATTTGAAACATTAAAATTACCCCAAAAACTCACCTATGCACCAAAAAGATGAATAAATATGAGCTTTCAAACAAAAAGCAAATGAGTTAGATATGGCAACAACAAATTGCATTATATACACAATAGTCATGTTTTAAATGTTTAGAATACTTTCACATATACTATGCATTAGGCAGCTCCAGGGGAGAAGTATTGAAAAGATATCTTGCAATCTGAAAGAAAAACCATGAACATTTTTAAACTTAGTCCTTGAAAGTATTTTTACTGAAATAATTACCGAAAATTGTTAAAATTTTTCTTAACAGCCCTAAATCTAGCAAAGAGAAAAGCACACTCATATAAGGAAGTGTGATGGTAAAAAGTTTTTAACATTTTCTTTCAAGTGTCATCACAATTTCACCCCAATAGATGGTCAATATTACTGAACCCCAAAACTCCAAACACCTGCGCGCCCAATTTTTATGCACACATACAGTGTTATGAGTAACTAATTTCATATCCAGTTCTTACAGAAAAAAATACCCATCATTTATTGGCTGACAGGAAGAAGATTTTCTCCCATACAATAAAGAACAGCATTAACAATTTGTGCTTTTCTGTTGCCTAGTTTAGTTCAAATTGCTAGTCACTACTCAAAAAAAATACCAGTAGGAGAAAAGAGTAAAAAGCTAATCTATAACTTTTCATTCTCATAAAGCACATACAAATTTAGAGGGGAAAATAAGGTGGTGTACGCACCACGACTTTGATCTTCGCCACATTGTTCTCTCTTGTACTACTATCTTTGTCAGTCGCAAGTAATCCAGCTTGAGCATCTGCATCCATTTTTCCTTTTTGCTGCTGACTGGTGATCATCTCATAGTCGTTATCAATTGCTTTTGAAACAGCAGGCATGAAAGGTGATGGTTCAAAAGGTTCAGAAATTACATGCTGTAATCAAAGCAACAGATTCGTTAGTAAGTAGGCATTGATCGACATGAGAAGTTAAAAAATGGGAATAAAGAAGATATAAAAATTGCAAGAGTGAAACTACTATATGAGGAAACTGCTTCCTAACATACAAGGTTTTTCCAAAAACAGCAAGAAACTCAAAGAAGTGCCCCTAAAAATAGTACTAAATATAGAGGCAAAATAAAACCAATAAGAAGCTCAGAGGGAAGTAATCATTAATTGAAAAACTCTTACAACAAGTAGACTCCAGAAAATCCAATGCTAAACTTAGAAATCTCAAGGGAAAAAAAGAACAACACAAAACAAAACAAAAAACATTATAGAAGACTAAGAGATTTTCATGAAAAGAGAACAGAAATCTCAAAAATATGGAACAAAATGCCAAAATATCAATCCTTGTAAATTAAACAGTGAAGCTACAAGAATCCAAACAATAAATATTCCATGAGAACTGAGATGATTCAAACCTCAGATAAGAGCTCTGTGTCATCCATAGAGTGTAGGTCCAGGAGACCAGCACCAAAATCACCCCTAAATTCAGGCGAATACAACCCATCTGAAGAAGCAAATCCACCTGAACTTTGGGCAGTCGGAGTGTATGGCTCGGAACCAGGTTCTCCATTAAAATTAAGGTTTCTCATTAGTTTGAAAAGCCGTTGCTTCTCTTCTGCAGATTGTGCTCCATATCCCTGCAAAAATTATCCAAATTTTACCATTACTGATGACCTAAAATCAAATTCACGATAAGAGGATAACACAGAAGATATAGGACGGCCCTTCTAAATACAACATTTCCAAGTTAAAATTATACTAATAACAAACTGAAAAATTAGATTCATAAAACACAACCATCGCCCTTTTAAGTGAACCAAGTACTAATATATAAAAAGCAAAACCATTGTCCTTTTAAGTGAACCAAATAACATGAGTTGCCACTTGTCTAAAAAGGATGTGATGGGGCATATCCAAGTTACTTTTCAAGTTGATGCTAGAAACCCTCTCATTACGTCAGGAATGAAAACACAAAATTGAACACCAAGTCACCAGCCATCAAATTCATTGGACATAATTCTACATACATGTTCCACGTACTTAAACAAAACTACAATAACCCAATAACTTCCTCAGGGGAAAAATCACTCACATCCTACTCAAAACATGCAGTTCCCAAATCCAAACACTATACCCCAGAAATTCCCCGACCAGCTTCAGTCATTATGCATAAGAAAATTTTAAGAATTCAATACTTTGACACACTGATTCGACACATTGTTTCCTTCAAATAAAATGAGAACTAGGCAGCAGCATCATCATCACGAGAAGATAATTACCTGCATAAGAAGGTTGGGCAGCAGGCGATTATCGATTCCCGTCGAAGCCAATGGAGAGGCCAGATGCTGTAACCCTGCGGATTGAAGCCACCGAGCCATGACGGCGTCTCCGGCATCACCGCCGGCGGGGGCCCCATTTCCAGGGTGATCATACAGAGCAGTAGCCGCAGCATTGCTCTGCTGCATCTGGCCACCCATGTGGCGCTGTGATCGTCGTTGAGGAGCCAATTTTTAAGATCTAATTTCCAAAAACTTCCCCAATTGGATTGAAAAAAAGAGCAGAAAACAACGCAAACAACTTAGCCAACCAACCTCCCAAATCCAAAGAACTACTAACATCACAAAATCAAAAAATTACTTACTGTGAGGAGAGAAGTCGAAATCAAAGCGGCACATGGAACGAATTGAATTCAAACCGGCAATCAGAACGACCCAATCATGTGGAAGCGGAAATGGGGAATAATCCGAAAAAACGAATTCCGGCCTTCAAAAAAATCCGATCAAAAAATGCATGTCAGAAATAAAACATAAAAAATCAGTACCCAACAAAAAAAAAAAACAAAAAAGGAACAAGGAAAACGCACCTGATGTATGAGAAACAGTGGGAATTCCGGGATCTAGAAAAAATTTTTGGAAAATTGGGGGAAATGATAAATGGATCTGAGAGAATCTAAAAAACCCCTAAATTCATGGTACAATGTAATGGGGGAAAAAATGGAGAAAATTAGAATTTGTTTGTTTAAAATGGAAACGAATTCCAGTGTGTGACTGTGTGTGTTGTTTTCTTTGGGAGAGATGGCTTATTACAGAGGGAAGGCTCACAAGCGGAGGAAGGAAGGAAAGGAAGAAAGACAGAGACAATTTTGCTGGTGAATTTAATAATTCAAAAATATTAATAATGATAATAATTTACTTCGTAACTATATATTTAAAATGATTTACATTTTTCTAATGGGATGTATTATTTTATTTTTTCGTGACTATGTTCTTGTTTATAAAAAAAAAATCATCATGTTTATTGGGACGGTATTTAATGGACAAAGTATTTTATTTCGACGTTACAAAAAGTTAGTTAAATTAAAAACATATACATGAAAATATACTTCTATTTCTAAGTTTACTAAGTTTTGATTACATTCCAAATGTGTATAATTGCTAATCAAATGTCTGATGGAGAAAATTTCGAAATCTCGTAAATAAAAAAATATTTTTACTATAAATTAAAATGTCAAAAACTTATTATTGTAAAGGTAATTCAAGCCACACTCGTATACCGTAAATAACCTTATGACTTTTTTTTCAAGAAAGAAACAATTGCATTACTCAAACAAACTTTAATAGATTTAGAAGTTGCAAAATTAATTTATAGAATGTACTTATTAATTACTCTAACCATCAAATTTCAGCCTTGTAAAACTTGAAAAAGATGGTAGGTAAAACTCAAATAATAACAGATGATAATAATAATAATGGTTGTGCTTTTTTAAAAAAGAAAACAAAATAAAATAAAACGAGGGGGGCAGGTTTGATTTGGAAGCTAAGATATTATGATTATTAAAATAGGCATCTAAATGCTTAGGCGGCACAAGTTTACTCCAAACTCACTTTAAAGGATATATCATCATGGGATAATTTTTAAATTAAGGTAAATTAATCACTTCCTCAAATAATCATATTCTTTTGTGAAGCCGACCAGAATTGGGTCCCCAAGTCGACGCATGTCCCCTTTCATGAAGGTAATTTGGGATTGTTTGTTTTCGTCATTATGAATGAAATCAAATTATCACAATTTCACAAACCTCTATGAATGTCTTGTTTAGATGGTAAAGCTCGTTCAAATAAACTTGAAATTTGGTAGATTGAGAACTTTAAAAATATGATAAAATGTCGTAATCACAATTTTTATTACTAATCAAGTTTTGATAATAAACAAACAATAATGCACTAACGCGAACATCAGTTGGTGATTGTTCTTCAATCAATTCTAGTACTACCTCTGTCCAAAAAAAATAGTCCATATTGAGTTTTCAAATTTGTACTAAAAGCAGTACCAAATTCAAAACTGAATGTAGACTATTTTTGTGAGACGGAGGAAGTATTGTTTTCTTGTTATTAGTAACAATTCATACAGTTTATTACAGTAATATCCTGTAAACATTTTACTATACCATCTCGTGAGAAGCAAATATACTTTTTCTTTATATTAGAGTTTGGTACGTACGTACGTAGTAATTCGACTTGTTCAATACTTACAAGCAACTGTAATTCCACATTACTATAATTATTATTATCATCATTATTATTATGTTACAGGGTATTCAACATCGACATTTTAATTTACATATGTATTCTTTCCTTTTCATAAATATTGTTCAATTATATTTTCATTTTTAGTTCAAATTATTCTCAAATTGGATAATAATTTTGGGACATCGTATTAACTTGGTCTTAGTTTTTCTTTTTTTCTTTTTAACTTGGTTTTAGCTTTTTAATTTCTAATAGAATTATAGAAAGTAAACCCTAAAAATCAAGAGCAAACTCACAAAAGGAAACCCTAGAAAATCAGTATTACTACTAGCATGCTAGTACATAGATTCTCTGAAACAGTGCCCCTGAATTTCTGAACCTACAAATATTGTAAGCAATTCATTTAGGGCACAGGTCTACGTAGTACGATGCAGAAGCTGCAAAGCACACACAGGTCAAGAAAAAACTCGTTAAAGCTGACATTTTTCACTCCATAACGTTTTCGTTTCAGAGCTCAAACTTGCATGCAAGTATTTCTTAAAAATTCTTCTCTACCTATCATTCATTTCCTTTTCTGTCGTTTCTCCTCAGTACTTCTTCTGGGTTGTCCCAATAGAATTCATCCCCAGATTTTGCCAATTGTCCTCTTTTTCCATAAACAACCATATTTTTTCTTTGGATTTGACATGAGTGGTAGTATTCTTTTCGCAAATCAAATATTTATAATTTTTTTTGACACAAAATTACAAATATTTATAATCTCGTTTTACTTTTTGATTAGTTTCATTCTGTTTTCTCTTCTTACTTTTTTTTTTCATTTACGACTACCGCTTTTTTTCAGAAAAATAGTCTAATTTAAAAAACTTAAAATATAAAAATTAGGTGATATAATCTTACAAATTAAAAAATTAATATAAAATTGATTAAAGTTTAACTATTTATTAATTTAATAATCAATTTCAGATTATGACAACCTCATAAGTTTAATTTAAAATTTTACATTTCTAAAATTAGACTCTTTTTTTTTTCTGAGACTAAAGTAGTGTTATTTTCAGATACATCGACATGGGTAGAGAGTATTCTCTTTTTGAAATAAAATTACGCTTTTTGTTTAATTATTTTAACATAATAAATCAAATTCTTATTTTTCGAGACGTGACGAAAATCAAATTAAAGAAACTAGATGGAGGGTGGAATGCATTTTTTAGACTGTGAGGCATCATCATTAACACTAACGTTGAACTGTTTGTGTTTGTCTGATAACTAGGGAGGCATCGAAGCTGGTATATATATGTGTTCCACAAATGTAATACTCGAGTTCACTTAATTTTGTTTTCTGTTTTTATTTGTTCCTTCTAGGAGGAGATTGTTACTTTCTCCGTCCCAAAAATATTATCGCAGTTTGAGATTTCACTTTTAGTACAATTTGAACTAAAAATGAAAACTCAAACTGGACAATAATTATGAAGCGGAAAGAGTACTATTTATGGGGACTTTAATTAAGAACATTACCGTAATTTTGTATTAATTTCTTAGGCACAAATAATTATGAACGCACGTGAACCGGTCCAATTATTATTTTTCTTTTTCCCGCAAAGAAACAAATAATGCACTGATCTCTTGGCAAAATTCAATCTGATCTCAACAACTTTCATCATCCTTCTTCTCCATACCCCTTTACTCCATCGATATTGATACACTTATGACTTATCACTCTGGATTTCAAGAATATTCAAGGTCAACCATTCATCTTTAATCCCTTCTAGCTGTGTGTATATATATATATATATATATATATATATATTTACGGCCAAAGTTTTGTGTAACCCTTTTATTTTATCCTTTTGATATCACTTTTTCCCTAAATGTTTGATTTGTATCTACGTATTTAATCATCCTTGTATTCGGACATTTGTTAATCATGTATGTAAAATTCATATTATAGAGTGTTATACAGGGAACTTTATATATATATATATTTTATCTGTATAAAAATGATTATCGGTTTAGAATTTTTCTTAACATAAAATATACATTTAGTGAAAATCAAAATAAAACAACTATTTTGAGATGGGAAAAAGTATTACTTTCATCATACGAAATTCATTCGATAATATATTAAGACAAAATAATATTCTTTCTGTCAATGGATGAGAGTTTTTAATTGAAATAAATTAATTTCATAAGTACGATTGTTATTTTAGGATAGATGAGGGTTCCCCAATCACTTAATCTCTTTTTTTGTTTGGGAGGGAAGAATCAAAGAAGGACTAATTTGATTTAAAATTTGTATGAAAAATGACATATGATTAATATATCTGAAACACATTCTTAAAAGTCCTAACTTAGGTTGCTACCTTTCCAATCTGTCTTAATCTTGTGTGTTGGCATTTGGTCAGGGATGATACATTAATTTAATAGTACCCATCACATGCTTCAATTATTTCTGTTATTATGAGATTTTTTCTTTTTTTGGGAATAATTGATTTACTATTTGGAACAAGGTTCCTCTGATCATGGCAACTACAGTTGTATGTCTGGATTAATGCAGATATTTTTGCTTCTTTTAGTTTTCTTTTCGAATCACCTATTGGTTAATTAAGGTGAAAAACACTATATACTCATCATGACATGACATCGCTGTTTGAAATGTAAAAAAGATTATTAATCTTGCCACCAACTAAATCTGGAACAATATTGTTGTGATTTTCCTTAAAAAAAAAAAGAAGAAGAAAAAGTCTAGATAAATGGTATTTTCCCAAAATAGGCATAACCTTGAATTATCTGTTTGCTAGGACGTAAAATATGCGATCCGTTGAGTTATTACAAATCATCAAGGTTACTAACGCACTACCTCCGTTTTAGAAAAATATTCTACATGGAGTTTTCAAATTTGTACTAAAAACAGTACAAAACTCAAAATCTAATATGAATTATTTTTTTGGGACTGG